TCCCGCAGGTAAAACCCGGCGTGAGAATGTCGACCAGCGAAAAAATCCTCCTCTCCCCCATAAATTTCGTTTGCCAAATTTCGCCGGTCTAAACGCCCGTGAAAAAACCTGAGTCACTTTATCTATTCACGCTAATAATGACATGAAGATTTCGGTGTGATTTTTTCCATACACGAACCACCCCATTCAGGGGTAAACCCGCACAAAAAATAATCGGATCGTTGAAGGGTTTTGTGGCCTTATAGAGTGTCGGATATTATTTACGAAGGGCGCAGCGGGGGCCCAAAGGGTTGAAGAGGGGGCCCCGTGCAGATGTCACTCTTCTATCAGTTTGATCGCGATTTCGCGCGGACGTGGTCAGGGGTGGGTTTTCTGCGACTGGCCACACCCCGGTCCAGTGCGCCCCCCGCACTCCGTGCCCGGATCGACCATTCCAAAATGGAAATTCGCTAAATTACCGCTTATTTACGGGGGCTGATCGGTCACGTGGGCGTTAAAAATGCGCGTGATTTGGGAGGATTCGGGGAGAATATATCGGGCTAAATTAGGTAGTTGTAGCCGACACTGACATATAAACTTCGGCTGGCGACAAAAACCAAATCCCATTCCCTCGAGTCGCCCCTAGTCCGGGCTTATTTAAATCAGGGGCCTTGGAGACGGCTGATAGCTTCTGACGCCACAATGCGACGCTGGCCTACCCGTAAATATACATGAATATGACAGCAACAATCTCGGCTCCCAGCAATCGGAAACATCGGCGGTAAGTGAAATCGCACTCTTGTTTGTATCCCAAAAACGCTCATTACAAATGGCGCAGTCGGTAGGATTCAGATCAAAAATAGCATTTTTCGCACCAAATTTTGTAAAACTGTGTTGGATTGTGTGTGCTTTTATTTTTTTTTAGTTTTATGGGGTTTATGCACCGAACTCGTCGAAGATCGACACCCGACCCTCGCCCGGGCCGCCGCTAATGGGCAAAAATCCAGCCCTCGTATTAATTACGCGTGCATTGCCTAAGCCGTTCCCGAAAAAAGCCCGGATAGTAAAGTTGGGCCGTAAAGCGTGTAATAAGGTTCTGGCAAGTCCGGAGATCCGGGCCGGAGCGGGTCAGCTCGCATTACGTTTCGACCCTAAGGAAATAAGGCGAAGATGGTGCGGCAGTTCCCTGACGGCTGATGTATGTTCGGGTTGGCCTATTCCCAGATATTTATTGTGTACTTAAGTGGAACGAGATACGTTTCGACCGAAGCTCTATTATCTAAACAAAAACTGTATCTAAACAGACGCAGACGATTGTATCGGATCACAGAAGGGCCTAATTTGTTTATGGAAGCAATTCCGGGGAGTGTTTCTGTCCACCGACATAAAACGGACGACTATGGAAGAGATTCGCATTTGATAAGACGCAAAATGAAAAATTCACCGCGGCGGACTGACGCTGCACGGAGCCGAGATGCGACATTAAAACTGACAACAGTTGGCGATGTGATAAGGCTGGCGCGTTTTCAGAAATGGGGCCGGAGTGCTGAATTATTTACGGGTGGATTAGGTGCAATTGGGGCATCGAGACATGCACACAATGCTGCTTGTGCATGTAATGCGAAGTCGCGGTAGAAAAAAAATCACACCGACTGCGCCATTTACTCGTACTCACTTCCAAACCGCTACTCCAAACCGAATTGTTGCTTCTACATTTTTTGCACAAACTTAATCCAAGCCAAATAAAAAATTGTATTGTTGTTGTATTGTTCGTTGATATTTTGTGCGTTTTATTTGGAAGTTTATTATTATTATTTTGAAACGAGGATTAAGTGTCTGCTCGTATTTTCCTTTTCTTTGGAACAGTCATCCCGTGTCGGTGGAAATCGGCCAATTTGGCCGAACGTAGGCAAGAAAGTAACGCCATTAGGAGCATCCGTGACCGTTTGTCATTCTAGCCACGAAGCGATCATTTCGTGGGTAGAAGCGTGGCCATTAGGTTGGGGGCGCCTGGGGGTGGCCATCGATTCCGCCTTCCGAAACCTCGTTCCGGCAAAGGAACATAACATGTGTTCCGCATGCCGGACGCGCCCGACGCGCCGTTTGATTTCATGGACGTTTTTCCGGGTATACGTCATAAAAAATTGCCGGAGCCAGCGGAATTAGTTGGCTTTGTGGGGAGACGCACTGGCGGACAATTTATAATATAAATATATACGTTCACCTTGACCCTGAGATGGGTGCGTAATTTTTATCCTATCGACTGCTCCAATTTCGCACCTAACGCGATTAAACTACCCATTAAAAGCGCCTTGTTTCGTAAAACTCTGCTCCCCGATAAGTTTCGCGACTCCCTTCATTCCATTACCGTCCCCCCCAGTAGATATTTTCGCCGAAGTTCGCCTCCAGTTTCGCTTTTAATTTTTGTTTGCAACGAAGACGCAGCATCGGTTCCGGTGGAAGGCACACAATATGGCCTGGCGGAAACTCCCGGAGGGATCGGAAACTCATTACAGTCGTCTTTGACCCCCAGTCCGGCCCCAGAGACTGGATCAAACTGCTGCGAACGAGTCCACAACCCCGCAACAGACAACGACCGAATTACAACAAAGAAAATAACGAAGAATGGGCCATAGAAAGTAGTTTTATGTCGGCAGCACCGGACGGGCCAACTCCCGACTTTGGAAGTTTGCTGCATTTGTTACGTCGGTGGACCTCACACGGCTGATTTATGCCCTGAACGGCACGATAAAACTTTCCAAGTTCGATTGCGAACTCGGCGATGTATGTTTTTAAATGAGTTCGATTATTTCTAGCTCGGATCGAGGCGGAAGGAGTTGTTTTTCTTGTATAATGGCCGCTGCTAAATGAGCTGGAGGTGGTAATGGAGAGGTGATTGATGAAAGCGGGTATTAACCTGATGAAAATAAGAAACATGTGCGGGGGCATCGCGACAGATGGTGTTAACGGGTTATGGAGCCAAATTGATCAATGGGCTAACCTCAGGGGCGGCCCGAGAAGTCTAACTTGCGGAGGACGGCCGCGATGGGCATTGTAACGCAAAGCTCCAGCTGATTTATCATCGCAAAAATTATTACCTTAAACTTGAACCAACTAAACGATATGAAAAAAAATCCTACCGACTGCGCCATCCATTTAATTACAAATGTTGCCAAAAATAAATCAAACGCGCTTATAACCCCATAAAGAGCATCCCCTTTGCCCTATGACCCGCACACCGTGTCCAGCACGCTCTGAATTTAATCTTCGCACCCTCCACTCGCTGGACCACTTGCTCGTGCACCTTGCGCTCCCGTTTTGATCTCGTTTGCTGACCCTCGCTGACCTCTGACCACCATTCAGGCCGTATCAAATCCCGCTTTTTCGTATAATTGAGTTTTTTTTCGACGGTGATAAAAGTTTTATGCGTCGGAATGGGGAGAGGGGACTACAAGCACATAATAACGCACTTCTCCGCTTTTATTAGCTTGCACGCCGTACTATAATGTGGAAAGAATATGTGAGGAAACAAATCCGCGTTGTTGGGATTTTTATAGGACATCTGTGATTCCATAAGAATAAAGCCCGACGTCGGTGAGCGCTAAGGACGGCCGGACCAATGGTTGCGGAGGTGGTAATCCCGCCAGTAGATCCTTTGTCACATTGTTTAGCTTCTTCGCGAGGTACAGCGCGATCAGGATCACGGGATATTGAGGGAGGAATTCGGGGCGGCTCGGGGGGAACGGGTCATTACTGCGTCTACGTAATTGTTATTTTTGACTCCTACAAGTTGGAATAGTCGGTAGGATTTCAATCAAAAAAATTTACGACGTCAAAATACGGTGTGTCTAATTACAACCACCAATCACCCGTAGACTTACTATTTAAAACAAAACCGTTGAGATTTGTTACCGAAAAATTAGTTTAATTTTCTTCGTCACACCTTGGCGCGCGTTTTCGACACTTCGTCCCTATAGTCACGAACGCAATATCAGCGCAGAAAATTGAGTTTATCGAGTTATTATCTTTTAATGTGAGTCGCAAAGCTCCTTTCTTGCAGTGATAGCGCTGTAAAAGGACACAACACACGCCCAGAACATTCCAATATAATGTTATATTCTGATCAAGCAATAAAACTGGATGCCACATCATTGTGCGCGCCTTTAGCATGTGAATTAGGGTGTTACGTTCTTTGATTTCTCGGATACAAACTCCCGAGCCCATTTTTACTGACCTTCCAGAGATACAAGACGATACTCTTCGATGAATTATGCATCGATTCGGCTGTTCCCGGTTATAGAAAATGCAATGATAAATTCGTCATTTCCATACAAACGTCGGGGTTTTCTGGCTGTGGAGCGAGGCGACGAGTCTGCGAGCGCGAACGCAACCCTCACCACATCCACGTACTAATTAGCGCCTGGCGTGAATGTTGGGTTGCATACTCACTTTTTTTATAGTTTAATATCGCGGTGAGAATTTTCATTGTCCGAAAGCATCTGCGTGCTGCAGCGAGGGGCGGCCATTTGCTAATGTAACTCGTCAATCTCGGCCTAACAGACCCGGACTATTCCGGATCTTAGAGACGCAGGACCGCAAAGTAAACATTGCCTCATCCGCATTGTCCAGGATAGATTAGTGTGCTCTTCGACCGCATACTAATTTATAAAGGGATTTCGCACACTGAGGTCGCAGTTAAGGTCTTCAAACCCACTTAAGGGACGCTGGAGAAACTAAGCACTAACCGCTGCACCTCTCGAACCAACTTTATTGACGATCTCTACAATAAATTACTCAATTAATAGTTGAAAACCCCATTTGCGAAGGTTTAACCGATTTTAAGGCAAGGACCAACACAACTTTACATATATATGAGCAGCCTCAGATTTAAATGTATTTGATAATTTTATGATTTTCTAATAAATATGTATAAGCAAGACCAGTTTTTAACGGAGTGTTAGTTCTTTCTGTACTCCGGTTGATTTAATACCCGTGATAGTACGGTTTTTAAAAAAGTACTCTTCTATAACGGTGAAAATACTTTATTTCTTTAGAATCGCAACTTATCCTCATTTATGCCGATTTATCTGTTATTACTAGCGCTTCATGTGCAGCCAGAGTCACATTCGCAGGCAAAACTGGCGCCCTGAAACATACAAATAAGACTAAACTTACAAAAACCAGTCCACACTTACCCCAATTCCTTCGTAGAGTTAATACTCTTGATCAAAATACCATTCCGTGCTGAAACATCTTCGCTCACGTCAACATCCACCGCCTCTTCTCCTTTATTAAAAAGCAGTACCACCGAATCATTTTCGTACCTCCTCTTCAGCAAAACCACGTCCTCGGTCACCGCTTTAATCGCCACGTCGCCACTAAGCAAAACCTCGTTACTTCTAAGCTTCGCCAAATCTTGGTACACTTTATAATGGCTAGAGCCAGCGGTAGCAATTTCGATCTTCAAATTCGTCTCGTGGTACTTCTCGCTGACCGGCAGCCACGGTTTAGCACCAGTATTAAACCCAGCGTTCACACTATCGTCCCACTGGTACGGCGTTCGTTCAAAATCTCTACTAACCGCATCGAAAATATCAGGATCTCTAGCACTAGGATCTTGGCCCTCTTCATAGGAAACTTCCCCGTTTTCTTGACCGATTTCTTCGCCGTTGTAAGTGACGGCGACTCCCGGAAGCAGCGATTTTAGCATGTTGAAACCGTCGACGTTGTCTGGACCTAGTCTGGTTGCCACTCTGTGGTTGTCGTGGTTGCCTAGAACCCAGTTCGACGTGTAGATATCTGGGATGGCTTCTAACCACTTGTTCACGGAATCTACAACGTCTTGAGCTGTAGAGTTGATGTTGAGGTCGGTGATTAGGTTGAAATTGAAGCTGAAGTGAGCTCCTAGTCTGGTACCATCTGCAGTACCGAAGTATAGCATGGTGGTGTTGATGTCGGCGTAGGCTTCCGTCATTAGTACTCGTGCGTCTCCTCCGTTTTCTGTAACAAAGTCATCGACGACTTGTCGCCATTGATAGATCATGTCCAAAGTTTCTGGTAAGTTCTGGGTGTAAATGTGATCGAGGTACTCGTAGTCGGTGCTGTTGTAACCCGGGAGGTTTGAAAGAGGTTCGTCTAGGAGATCTTCGTTTTCGAAAAGGTACGGTACTGCGTCTATACGAAAACCGTCAACACCCTTGTCAAGCCAAAATCGCAGAATATTCTATAAAAGCACAACGTATAAAACTGGATTTGAAAACTGGAACTAACCTTCATGGCTTCCACAACCACCGGGTTTCTGTAGTTCAAATCAGGCTGAGCTGAAGCAAACTCGTGTAGGTAGTACTGTTGACGTTCGTCGCTCCACGTCCAAGCGGAATTTTTAAATACGCTAATCTGAAACGTCAAATCATAATCGTGAAGTGTCACTCTTTCTTAATTCGTTACCCAGTTGTTTGGCGGTACTCTGTTACCATCTTCATCCACCTTCGCGTTTGCCCAAACATAATAATCCCTATACTCCTCCACACCGTTAACTGAATCAATAAACCACTGATGCTTATCACTCGTATGGTTCGGAACAAAGTCTAAAACAACTTTAACACCTCTGGAATGAGCCTCTTCTATCAACGTGTTCAAAATTTCGTTGGTTCCGTAAGCTGGATCTACTTTCGTGTAGTTGCTAATGTCGTACCCTTGATCCACCTGTGGTGACTCGAAAATAGGTGACAACCACACCGCATCTACACCGGATGCTGGAAAATGGTCAATTTTGTTAATTATACCTTGAAGGTCCCCGATTCCGTCATTATCGCTATCTTCAAAGGAGCGCGGATAAATCTGGTAGAAAGTGGCGTGTTTCCACCAGTCTTGACTATCTGCTCGGGCAGAGTACGTCAAAGAATAAAGTGTGACGAAGAGTACGAATGTTTTTAGACACATTTTGTTACTACAATGAATGCGGTGATTGCTTGGTTTATATAGTCAAGTAATCACAGATAATTGTAGATTAAACCTTGAGTACCGGCTCGAGAAAAATCATATTGTTATAAAAATACGTATCATTCGGGAATTGTTTATTGAGTGTAGAAATACAGCGTTTTAAATAGAGCAAAATATAATCAACGCCTCGTGCGGCTCCATTTTCAAATGATGAGGGTCCACAGCGTACCCTATCTCTTTTGGTGATTGGACACTTTTAATTTCAACGTAGTTCGTCTTGGACACATCCTCTGACACATTAAGTACCACCTGCGAGACCCCTTTGTTGAAAACGAGTACCACTGAGGAACCGTCGTGACTTCTCCTAACCAAAATCGTATGTTCGGACACACTCTTTACCACGGTACTTCCTCGTACCAACACCACGTTAGACCGAATTCTCGTCAGCTCCCTAAACACCTTATAATGACTAGGTCCATCCCCTTTCTGTTTCTTCAAATTCGTCTCCAAGTACTTGCTACTGACAGGCAACCACGGCTTGGCCCCATCATTAAACCCAGCATTTACAGAATCGTCCCACTGGAACGGGGTTCGTTCGAAATCCCGACACAACTTTTCAAACATTCCCCGATTTTTCACTTTCAAATCTTGATTTTCCTCGTACAGGATTTCTCCGTTCTCTTGGCCGATTTCTTCGCCGTAGTACGTGACGTCGATTCCCGGAAGGATAGCTTTGAGCATGTTAAACCCATCTATGTTTCCTGGGCCACATCTCGTCGATATTCTATGGTTGTCGTGGTTGCTCAAAACCCAGCTTGATGTATAAATGGGTGGAATGTTGTCCAACCATTTGTTGATTGAAACGACTATATCGTGGGCGCTCGCGCCCGCTGTGGCATCACCCACTAAGAAAAAGTTGAAAGTGAAGTGGGCGCCCAATTTAGTACCATCGCGAGTACCAAAGTACCGCATGGTATTTTCGATAGTGGTGTAAGCCTCAGACATCAGGATTCTAGCATGTCCTCTGTTTTTTTCGCTGTAAGAGTCTAAAAGTTGTCGCCACTGGTGCATGAGTTCGTAGGTTTCAGGCTGGTCCTTGGTGTGTACATGGTCAAGACTTTCGAATTCGTAGTCGGGTACTCCTGGCCAGTACGATGGGGGTTCGTCATACAGATTTTCGCTTTCGAAGATGTAAGGGATTGCGTCTACTCTAAAACCGTCGATTCCTTGGTCCAACCAGAAAAGTAGTACTTTCTGGAAACAATCGTTAAGAGAAAAATTTTGCAAACGTGGCACTTACATTCATGGCTTCTACTACTTTCGGGTTACGAAAATTCAAGTCAGGCTGTGTGGGGTGGAACTGGTGCAAGTAGTACTGTTGTCGCGTTTCGTTCCAGCTCCATGCGGAATGGTGGAAAACGCTGAGCTAACGTTTAATAGAACGTGAATCAGAGAAATCTAAAGAAGAATATATTTTGTTACCCAGTTATTTGGTGGCTGTCTGTTTCCGCTGCCGTCGTACTTCGCGTCCACCCAAATATAAAAGTCACGGTACTCATCAACCCCTTTCACCGAATCGACGAACCATTGGTGCTGGTCGCTGGTATGATTCGGCACAAAATCCAGAAGGATTTTCAAGTTTCTTTCATGCGACTGGGTAATAAGTTCCTTCAAATCGTCCATCGTCCCAAATTCAGGGTCCACATCCATGAAATCACTGACATCATACCCTTGATCAATCTTCGGAGACTGAAATATTGGCGATAAAAAGATGGCATCGATCCCTGAGTCTGGAAAATGGTCAATTTTCTCGATTACACCCCGGATATCACCGATCCCGTCGTTGTTGCTATCCCTGAAAGACTTGACGTAGACGTGGTAGAAGGAGGCGTGTTTCCACCAATCCCAGTCGATGGTACCGCCGGTACTCTGATCTAAAAAACAAAGTCTGAATACGGGAATAGTCGTTCGGGCTTTATGGCACGCGAATTGTTCGTCTAGACGCGGAATAAATGGCTGTAATTCGATCCTGGACAAACAGACATCCCACATAATTGAGGTCTTTGTGAAAAGCACACAAAGACTCTCCGGGACGAGCTTTATCAATTAATGAGAGGTAAAATAAAATTCCATTAAACGCTTCATGGAAAAGATAGCGTGACAATTGTCGGAGCGATTACATTGTGACTAATGTACTAAGTACCGACCGGTACTACTCTCCAGCAACTCTTATAAAACTCCATCATAAATAATTTTTACGAAAACACGTGCAAAGTAAAATTAAACATGTAACTAAATCATCCCTTGTTCGCCTTCCGATCTCATATAACTGTGTCATGAATTTTGATGAAGACAAATCTTGTTATTAATTCTGCGGAAATAAGAAAGCTAATTATTTTTAGGCTTAAGAGAGGGTGCTTCTCTCTATGCGATCTCATTAAAAAGGAAAATTCCCGATACTGATTTAAAATGTAGATTAAATTATTCAGGACTAGGTATACATATTTATCAAACAACTGACAATTCACCAATACGAAACAAGCTGTTGGTCATAGAATGGTGTGAGAAATTCCATGCAAATTTAACTAATTTAGATCAGATCCGTCAGAGACGACATCGGGCAGCGGAGCAGTATCCCAAATATTACACTGGATCGCTCTGTTTGGGACCAAGACTGTTTCACACACACAAATTAAAAGAAATTAGCATATTTTCGGGTTTTTGCCACGAAGTGCATCACAGGCATTTCAAAACGCTTGTCATTTTCCCAAAAGTGGATTTTAGATTTTTGATAATTTTTTTGTTTAAAAAAAAATTGATCGAATCAAATTGTTTTGGTTATCAATAGTTCTTTTCAGGATTATCTATATTCGCAATCAGAGTTTTTATCTCTTATTAATTTTTGGTCTGTCATTGTCTATTGTTTTATAATTACTTTTTTTGCTGGGGTTTATTGTTTTGAAATTTCTTTGTAATCGATTTTCTCCATTTTGATTTCCCATACTGAATTTGTATTTCTAATTTTCTAGATTGTTTTATTACATTTATTTTGTTTGGTGGAAATTTTTGAAAGACTAATTTCGGAATCTGCGATACTATCTTGGTAGAGATAGTAGACCCTTTGGAAAATTTTACAATTTATCTCAGAGACAACTTGTTATCACTAATTATGAAATTTTATTATTCAAATTGTGTTTATCCAAGAATGGGTGACAGCATCTTCGCATTCTCCTGCCGTGTTAATTTTTCCCCCTTCGATTTCCTGGGCTGTGTGATCCCGGCTGAAGCATCCAAGACGGGTTGTCAGGCAGCAGGAAGGGGCAAGTTAGCCACGGGGCAAGGGACGGAAGGTCGGGTTTGGGGCTTACACGTATTCCACATCTGCGGTATGCATTATTCATGTCCGGCCTGGCCGCTGTCCTAAGTTTCTAGCCCTCCACCGCATGTCCCTGTCTGGAATGACGACGGACAAGAAATCGAACCCCTGCTAAATGGCCACTGACGTGCCACCCGGTTATACAAAATGAATCGACCAATGGGCGTGCGAGCCCTTCAGCGGTGTGGGGAAATCGGACACGGGGTGGGTGGGAAAGAACTAAATAAAATATGTGACGCAAATGCATTGTCTTCCAAAACAAGAACGACAATTTTTTAATGTGTGGCTAATTTTTAGAAACAAACCTTGTGTTATCGTTACCGACAAGAATGCCTCGTCCCCCTCTGGGCACTCATGTACAAACCATAAACAATAAACCATATTGATAACAAATTCGTTCCGATCGGCTCCGACAGCGATATAATTGAATGGGCCGCGACGGCACAAGCCGAATATTGTGCTGGGACGGAGGGACTTGAGCTATTTGTTTCTTTCAGGATGCGGAAATCGACGCCCCTGACGTGTGTGCTTAATAAATTTATTTTATTTTCGATCCACCAGAGACCGGCAACGAAATTTCTCCCAGCTTTGAAATTTTAAATCTGGATGGACAAACCTTGAAGTAGATCAACACAATTAGTATTTAGTCACGACCAGGAAGATTTTTTTTAATAAAGTCGTACCGTGGCTCCTGAAACTAACAGAAATTCGAAGGAAAACAAAATTTTATTTTTGAAAGTATGCAACCAGTTTTACAAGTCAACAGAAAATTGAGCGATAAACAGCAATCCAAGTTAAAATAATAATAACTTGATGACATGTGGTCAAAATTATAATGAAAAAAAGAAGTAGACAGAAAATGCGACAACTAATTATTAGATAAAAATATAAGTAACAAGAGAACTTTTTTCACAATGAATACACAATTTCCTTCTTGAGCAATTACGGGTTTAGAAAACTTGGGTCATAAATAAAAACCCGTCCGAGGAAGCGTAAATTTTATCGAACTGCATAAAACGGATAAAACATGTGCGCAGCGACACATCCTCATTATCACCTGCCAACTAACACCCTTTGAAAAATAGCCGATGAAATTGTAATGAAACCGCACTCGTGTGGTGTCACATTCTGAGCGTGTGAGAGGCGCGGAAAGGAAGGTGTATGTTTGCGAATGGGGCTGTCAAGGAGGCCGTACGAGTCCCTGGGGGGCCCCGAGGTCCTGCTCTTGGCTCGCACTCCGAGACTAAAAACCCCATCCTTGCTTTTCTTGCTGGCCTTGCCCACCTGATCCCGCGCGTTTATATAAATAATTTCGAAAGTTTGCCGCTTTGGCCGTACGACTGCAGCCGTTATGGATTATAAATAACAGGGATGTGCTGCTGGATTGGGTAATTATTGAGGGGGGAAAAAGGGAAACGTACCAGAGGGAAATTCTTACTAATTGTGAACGAACTAAAAACTCACCATCAAGACGCAAGGACTCAATAAATGGATCGTCGTTCAAATTCAAACCCATTTTAAGGTGATAGTAACTATACTTTAAAACATACACTAACACGGTATGCAGGTGTTTTACAACATTTTTTTGTTAAATATAAGTGACGAGTATGATAATATTCTACCACATAAATAAATGTTATCGTAGCAGTTATCGGCTTTTGTTAAATTCATACCCCAATTCGTGGAAAGTGCCTACTTTTTACCGCCGATAATTAACAAACCAGTGACCAAAAATATTTTCCATTATTTAGCTTTCTAATTAAACAAAACGTCAACAGTGTATTTTACATCATTTATAACAGTATTACTTTTTGAATCCATACACCTCCAACAACATTCTCATCCCTTTCCCAGAATAAACAAATACGTAAATTTCGGCCTGTCCATCTTCCTCTTCATTAAGAAGTCCAATGGCTTTGGTCGCTCCGTGATATCTTCCGAAATTCATAAGCTTGACTCTTGTTACCACACTTTTCGAAAACGTGTAAGTGTGAGCAAAACTTTCTTCGCCGTCATTAGTTACCAAAATTTTAGTCAAAAGTAACTCTTCTGTGACATTCAGACTTCCACCGACGCTGCAAAATCCGTCACCATAATTTCCTTCGTCCGGCTCTGAAGGATCAGCGAAGTAGTCACAGTAAAGAGAAGGGTAACTGGGAGCAGTTGTGTCCTGGGTGATTGTAGTAATGGTGTTATCACAATTTATACACAAGAACAAAGCTAAAAAGAAAAGTTGTTGAAACATGACTGGGCACTGATGAAATAGTCAGGATGAAATCACTTTAATAGATCTGTCTTGTCGAGATTTGAGGATTTAGATTACGCCATCTTCACTGATTAAAAATAGATCAACTGGTGTCCTTTCAACAAAAATTCAAAAAAATGCTACTAGGTAATATTTATTTAGTACTTCAATCCATACACCTCCACAAACATCCTAATCCCTTTTCCCGAAAAAATGTCGACGTAAATTTCGACCCCCCCATCACCGCTTTCGTTGATAATATCGATGGCGTTGGTCGCGCCATGGTACCTTCCAAAATTTAGCAAAACCACTCTGGTCACCAGACTTGCGGGAAAGTGGTACGAATCCGAGACAAAAGTGTCACCGTCGTACGTGGATATAATTTTTCTTAAAAACAGTTGTTCGTTTGGGAAACTACCATCCAGCTGGCAAAAACCGTCGCCGTAGTTTCCTACATCCTCTTCCGACGGTTCTGGGAAGTAGTCGCAGTAGATGCTCGAAGATTCTGGCGTCGTGTGGGTGGTCCAGGGAGTCGTGGTTGTCGTATCGTTGTCGTCAGCCCTCACGACGAACGCAAAAATCACAACAAAAAATATTTTGAACATTTTTTAGCTCGAGGGTTAGATTAAGACTAAGATGTTGAATGATGTGTAGGGATTACTAGGAAAAACATGGATTAAGATTAGATGATTTTGTCGTTGAGAGAGATGTATTACATTTTGGTGACGATATTGATAATCTTGAGTATTGTTTGCTGTCAAGGTATATTTAGAAACAACAATAATAATAATTTAATTACATTACAAATAAAATCCGTATATCTCCAAAACCATCCTGACCGCTTTCCCCGAAAAAATTTCCACGAAAATTTCCACCGTGCCATTGCCATCGTCCCCATTTAAAATGTCAATGGCCTTCGTGGCTCCATGGAACCGACCGAAATTCAGTAAATTAACGCGTGTCACTTTGATTCCAGGAAAATTGTAAGCCTCCTGGAGAAAAGTCTGCCCATCGTCGGTAACCAGTATTTCCATCAAAAGAAGGTCGTCTGCATATGTTCCGTCAATGTAACAAACCGCATCACCGTAATTTCCCTCATCAACGTCAGAAGGTTGGGGAAAATGATCGCAGTAAATGTTTGGATAATCTCCTGTGGGAACCGTTGGAAGAGTCGGAGTTTCATTAAGTGCGTAGTTAGCTGGCAGTTGCAAAAAAACGCAGAAGAGGAAGACGTGGAACATGGTTTCGGTGAAGACTATGTACTGAAAAAAGACTAAAAATAAGTTCTGTCGTTTTTGAGAGATATGTTATTAAATAAATAATCTGTGGATAAAGCAATTGATATGTTGATAAGTAGGTAAGGTACACGTGTGTAAATCTAGGCTTCTTTTTTACTTCCCGAGCGTAATCGAATCCGTCGGCCGACTCTCTACTTTTGTCCGTCCGTCCGTCTGTCTGTCCGTCTGTCCGTCTGTCTGCCGTCCCGGACAGATAATCTCCGAAAGTACTAGACCGATTGTTGTCAAATTTTGTATTTATATTAGGTATATCATGTAGATGGTAAAACCCTAAAGAAAATTGTCTAATCATCCCCACCACTAATGTGATGACGTCACTTCAAAATTGTACATAGTAATTGGGTTTTAAATTGTATCAAATAACATAGTCTTAGACATGCAGTTTATGACTCCGAATTGAGATTTTACCCGAAACGTCCAGATTTTTGGAAAAAAATCAAAATTAGGAAACAACATTTTGACATTTAATTTGGAATCTACAAAATCGAATGCTTTTAAATCTTGTAGATGGTTTACAGTGTATAATAAGCATGATAAAATTTTAATCACAATATACCCCCTCCAAAAAAGTTTGGCGAATAAATGCTATCTAAAATGTACAAAATATGATGAGTGTGTACTTGTGATTTATCTTTCCATTCATATTTTTTGGATTTGTATGTATATACTGAGTGAATCAAAAAAATTAATGAATGCGTGAATTTATTTTATTGATTTAATCAGAAACTCCAAAACCAAATGCGTTGAAACCTTGGAGATGTTTTAAAGTTATCATAAGCATGGTAAATTTTCCATCAAAATGTATGGGCTCATCCCCCCTAAAAAATTGATGACGTCACCCCAAAATTTTGCTGAATAAATTGTATCTAAAATGTACAAAATATGAGTCTGTACATGTGATTTATCATTCCATTCATATTTTTTGGATTTGCGTATACAGGGTGACTCAAAAAAATTAATGAATGCGTGAATTTATTTTATTGATTTAATCAGAAACTACAAAACCGAATGATTTGAAATCTTGGAGATGTTTTAAATTTATCATAATCATGGTAAATTTTTGATCAAAATGTATTTGCTCATCCCCCCTAAAAAACTGATGACGACGCCCCAAAATTTTGCTGAAAAAATGCTATCTTAATTGTGTAAAGAATGATGAGTGTATACTTGTGATTTATCACTTATTATATTAATATTTTTTGGGGTGTCTGAAAAAAATTAATGACTGAGTCAATTAATTTTGTTGATTAAATCAAGTATTGCAAAACTGAATACTTTGAAATCATGCAGACGTTTTAAAGTCATTGTAAGCATGGTAAACTGTTAATCCAAATAAATCTGTTTCTTTCCCCCCAAAAAATTGATAACGTTATTTCAAAATTTGCGGAATAAAGTCTACCGAAAATGTGCAAAATCTGAGTTTTTACTTGTGATTCATCATAGTATTCATATTTTTTATTGATCAAATTAAGAACGACTCATCCCATTTTCTCGAAAATATGAAAATACAAACGTCTTTATTTAATAAGAATTATAATAATTATATTCAGAACTTTATGTCGATTGTACCTTACTAGTTAATTGTTTTGTTCCTTTGCTTTGGGGGGTCGAATGTATTCAAATCAAACTAATTTCTACGTGACATTCTTCCGATATACAGTTTCCGACAAAAAATTTCAAACATCACTTTTCTGTCATGTCAAAAATTTTAATGTAGTCTATGCTTTATTGTCATTATTTCGGACAGCTGGAGTGTCAAACTTTCAAAATTCCAGCTTACGCTACATTCATGTAAGTGTCAAATGTAAAAGTTAAAAATGACCGTCAAATATTTAGGTTAGAAACAGTGTTACCAACCTTCGTAATGTCGAATTCCTTACATGGACGATAAAAAATCCCTTTTCAGCCTCAAAATTCTCTTTTGCATATAGGTACCTACCTATTACTACCATTACAAATTGATACGATTTCTCTCGGATCAAGAAAACACTTAATCTACTAATTTCCTCCCCAAAAACAACGCTCCTTTCTTTTTAACTTCTTTTAAAATAATAATATAGTAAACAAACATTATAATTTCAAAATTGACAAGACAAGGTAACAAAAATATAGTTCTATAATTACAGTACAAATAAAAGACAAAAATCTAGCCTTTTTATCAGTGTTTAAATGAATACATTGCAACATTATGTAACTGCATGGCCTTGTGTCACAGTAGATCAGTAACGAAACTTCAGCAACATTTGCGGAACGGGTGTGACCTTGGGAGCCCGTTCCCGGGAAACACGAAGATTCAAATATTTCGTAGCATTCGTATGTGATTCATATAATACTAATAATTGTACACAAAAATAAAAATAGTTGGCATGTACTAGTGACATTGGTCATTTTTTTCTTTCCTATAAATTATTAATATATTCAAGCAAAACATTTTTATTCAATTTTGACGTTTTAAACTGCGTTTATTAAAACCTTAACAAGTCTGACAAATAAGTTGTTATCCACAAGTGAATTGCAAAATTTTTAATTCACTCTTAATATTTTTAAATCACTCACAAAAAAATAAAAAACAACTTCAGGAACATAAAAATTTTGCTTATTATTTTTACTAGTTTTCACAGAATACAATTTGTTTACAATTTTCACTAAAAGGTTGCTGCAACTAAATCAGTATTGTTTGACATATTTCTTTGGCTCTGTGAGGCGTCAATTTGGGAATTGTATAAATCCCACACCAATAGAATTCCAAAGAACGTTTCGGAAACTATTTACTACAGATTATTTCGATACAAGTGCAAGAACCAACTGTGAAACACTATTTTATTTGAAATGAAAAATTTGTTAAGGTGTTCTTTTAAATAAACTTCCACAACACATCTTCCCTGTATTCCGGTCTCTTCAACAATCATTAAGTGATGTGAGTTACCGGAAACTCACCTTGAAAGAACACAACTGTTTATGGTATGTTTGTGGATATTCATTAATACAAAAATTCTTACACCACCACTTCTGCGAAGTTTGTGAGAACTTTGGACATTCTTACGAAGTGGTACATCCTCTTTTAATTCTGTGACATTTTAAAGTTTTCAATGAAGATGTGATTTTTGGCGATTTAATGATGCCACCTGAACATTTTGCAGTTTATACTCCGGTAGTGGGTAATACATTTTGTGAGTTTTTCCCAATTTATGCACTGTATTCGTTAACTGGTTTGCGGCTAAAAAACGAACCATACAAAAATACCATTCCACCACCCCTGCAAAGACTTTCCTCTTGATTACCTCGTCTCAGTTTTTATTAGTTAGAATTTTTTACACACTAAAATTTAAAAATAAATCTTGGACCGCTCAAACACGCACACATCGAAAATTAAACTATTTCGTTTAACCTGCAGTTTGTTGACCTCTTTAGCCTGGAATTTTCTAGTATTTTTTACATGTATCGTAAGACTGTGTCGTAAGTATCTATTACTTTGTTACAATAAATTTTACATTTGTTTTTAACCCCATAACCTAACATCCCGTATGATTCCGTAAATAATATGACATTTCTTGTTGACAAAACCAGACAAAACATTCACCGAAAACCTTAAAATGAAAAAGAAACTATGTTCTTCAAGGTCGGAGCACCTTTAGTGACGCCAGTGACCTCTTTATGTCGTTCCGTAAGCTCCCCATGTATTTCTTATGGAGTCAGCTGAGACTTTCATAGCCCTGCTTGTGTTATTGGATACTTAACAACATCTAGTTCTGTTGCTTCTAAAAAGCTCCTAAAAACAGCAACAGCGTTTAAAGAACTCTCCCCAATCCTGTTTCTTCTTTTGGTCTTGTCAATGACAAGTTGACCTACGTTTTACATTTAGTACATTTTGTCTACTCTTGACTCAACACACAACCAAGACCTACCAAACTATGTTGCTCTTTTCTAAGCTGAAAAAATTATGATTTATCAATTTTCACATTTTCTTTGCTGCGTTGTCAGCCTACTTAAGAATGTTTCTAAAAATTCCCCAAAATTGCCGACTTTTGTCAAAAAATTCCCTTTTTCCCTTTCTTATCCTAAAATTCCCTTAAAAGGGAAAATTCCCTGCAGTTGGCAACACTGGTTAGAAACATCTATGAGGAATGACATTGACGTCTGAAATTTTTTGGCGGCAACTGTATAAACATAAAAACTTTGAAGTTGTTTTTCTTGTCGAGGATAATCTAAGGACGTACAGTAATGGAGTCCATTGGTCAATTTGGGATGCTCCCCTAGATATAAACAAGTTATAATTAACCAAATGTGAATTACAGCATTAAAAAACCAAATAAAATGTAGTATTTTATTCAATAAACGGAAGTCAGAGCAATAAAAAAGTCTGGACCGTCGCATCGTCATCCGGTTATTGCAATTCGTAGAAACCATGTTTCAGTTTCGTTTGTATTTCACCGTCACGTCTACAGGTTGATAAGTATTATGGTTATTTGTCTTAAATTACAGGATGTTCATTTTATCTGTTCACTTTATCTGTTCACACCGGACAATTTTTGTATAGGCAACATATTATACACTCCAGAGACGACTTCGTGCAATTTATTTGTTTTTAATACGCAATCAAAGCAATCACAGAAAACTGACAATGATATCAATGCCAAATAATGACAAAGTTGGAAAAATTAATTCAATTTATTTTAAATTTAAAAATAGGCATGCAATCTTCACGTTTCCTACAACGAGAGAAGAACTGTCTAAACTCTTTAGACCACTTTTTTAATTCTTACCATTAATTACGATATTAATTAATCTTCCGCCTGTTTTCTACTAGCGTAGAACGCAAATGCCAAAAAAGACGGGCGCAATATTAGAGAAAAATATCTGCGTCCATTTTAATTTGCGTTTGTTTATTTCCCCCTTATAAAATTCCCCTGTAAAAATATCCACATGTCTCCGGCCATAACAACGTTTATTATTCCATATGCGGCCCCGTTATGTTGGTCTGTTTCTATTTGCATCCGGGATATATCTTGGAAATATATCAAATAATAAAGTCGACTGTAAATGTAGCGTCGTACCTGTGGTATAGTTGTCCTGTTTGATCCCGAGTCCTGCGGCGTATTCGAGAGACCAGAAGCAGGTGGGGAGATCTGGAAGAATGTAATTTTGCCAGGACGAGTCCCCGAGGGCTTGCGGTCTTCCCTTTTTGCAAACAGTCCGGTCTCGACCACGACATGCTTAGACTGTGAACGAGGACGATCCGGTCGCTCAAAGGAGTTTTACTTAATAAGAAAAAATAAAATGCGAGCCCTCCGGTTTTATTGCCGCTTTTATGTTTATTGATTGATGGTGGTCAGGTAGAGAATTTAAGCGCAGGACTAGCTGCTTTTATAGTTTTTTTTTTACTGGGGGTATAAAAGAGCCGTTTTACTATTTCTTAGATTAGAGAGACGTTTGTTTTAAATGAAATTGGATGGGAGATATTGGGTCCAAACGTGACAAGATCGAAGTGATATATATATAATTATCGTTACTCTTGTATTACTTTGTGTAGAAATCGTCATTTGTAAACAGAAACTCAGTCATTTCGTTGTACATTGGTGATCACTGATCAGTGTTGAGAACGTGCTCCTACGAATCGATAAAAAGAAATAAAAGTTTCACGCAGCTCTCGGTCATGACGAATTAATTTCAGTATGTATACGTTGTGTCGTGGCGTTATTTTATTCTGTACTCATTTAATAATTTAAGATTACGTCATAAACTTTCAGGAATGGATAAGTAAACAAGATATAAATAATGTTGTCATTTTATTATTTTTATTTTCACAATAATACATTTAAACCTCGAAATAATTGTCAATGTGCTCAGTTAAACATTTGTTTTTATACTAGCCATTCTGACGATTTGTTTGTACGTCAAGTCCATGTTTGAAATGAATAGGTCATCAACAAAACCACTGTAACTTCCTCAACCTTTATTTTTTCCTACCCCTTATTACAAGTCCTTTTCTACACTTCAACAAAAACTGTTGGCGCTACTGAACAACTTTATTACAATTACTCAATCATAATTCAAATCAGTAATCCACTAAAGACCTGCCACTGCGTTCCTCTCTCCTGTCCCTATCACGTTCCCGATCATAACTATCCCTTCTATAATCCCTATCCCGTTCATAATCCTCCCTCCGCCGCTCCCTTCTATCCCTATACACAGTTCTTTTTTCACTACACCGTCTCGGCGACCTTGAGTTTCTTCTTTCCCGGCTGTGTTCTCTCCTCTCCCTGCTGCCGTCTCTTCGTTCAAATCTTCTGGACTCCCTTTCCCGGTAGTCGTCCCTTTTGGTGACGTGAGGACTAGGGCTTTTGGGCTTATTTTCGACTGTCGGCGGAGGACTTTTGCTCTTGCTCGATTCCGAATCGGAGCTGCTCGAGCTTTTGTTACTGTCATAAGCATGACGCTTTTCTCTTTGCCTGCAATGACGAATGAAACGGTTAACGAACAAGAAGAAAACTCACCTCCTGCGCAATTTGATTGCCATTTCTCTGAGCTCGTCTTCTCTGTGTTGCTGCTCTTGTTTTTCGCGTTCGGTTTTCAACTGTTCCGCGATTTTGTCGGCCTTAACTGGAAGCACGATTTTTTTTTGACGAATTTGAAAAATACTAAATTCTTACATTGCTTATTTAGGAGCGCCTGCCGCTTCCGCTTAAGCCGCTCTTGAATGCTCAAATTCTGCCCCGTTTTCTGCAAACAGTCAACAATTACCCACAAATCGCCCACCCTCAAACATCCACACCACAAACTTAGTCAACAAAAAACTAAACAAAGAAAATTGCTAGGAAAAACAATATTTAAGTGATTCTTACTGACTTTGGTCACGATGCCTGAATTACCATAGCCAGACCATTTTTCGCTGTTGACTCTATAAAAGATGACACGGTCAAAGTTAAAGACGCTCGGGTTGGCGGTACTCACGGGCTATTGGCCACTTTCATGTCGACATCCTTCACGCTGCTATCGCTCAGTTCTGACGAACTCTGGTCGCTTTTTTTCCTGCCGTAGTACCTGGGGATGACCTTGGGCGGCGACTCGTGCTTCAGGGGGCTCCGGGATTTGCTCTTCACGGGCGAGGCGGAACGTGTCGACGGTGGCGACATTTTTCTGTACCTAGGCGAAGACGAACGCGACTTGCTTGGCGAAGACGACGAAGAAGAAGACGACGACGACACGGACGAAGAAGTCGAGGAATGACGGCGGCGGTAGCGGCTGCGACCTTTGGAGCGGGAACGCGACTTTCGGTACCTGGAAAAAAAATTGGTCGAGAGTGGTTTTATGTTTTTTCGACGTTTCACAGATTTATAACTGGCGGTCGATTGAACAAATTTTATACATTTTTTTTTAATTTTTGAAAAATCGAAAAACCAAAAAATTGAAAAATCGAAAAATTACCAATCGAAAAATTGAAAAATCAACAAACTAATAGATCGGAAAAATTTAATAATCGAGAAACTGAAGAAAAGAGAAATAGCAAATTCGAAAAATTGCAAATGGAAGAAGTGAAGAAATGAAAAATTGAAAAGTTAAAAATCGAAAAATTTAATTAGTCAAAAAGTTGGAAATAAGAAAAAATAAATCGAATCGAAAAATTGGAGAACTCAAAAATTGTAGAATCGGAAAATTATGGAATTGTCAAAGTTGTAAAGTCGAAAAACATAACATTGAAACACGAAAAATTGAAAAAATTAACTTGAATTAATGAAGAAGCTTTAAAATCCAAATGAAAAAATTCAAATCGCAAAATTGAAAAATTTTTTAAATTATGAATTATGATTATTATTACATATTTAAAACGAAAACTAGAGAAACTGAGAAATCTAAAATTGAAAAAACGAAAAATTAAAGAATCTAAAAGTTGAAAAATCTCACACTGAAAAAAGAAAAATTAAAAATAGAAAACTAAAAAATCAAAAAACCAAAAAAAATTGCAAAATCCAAAAAGTGGAAATCGAAGTACTGAAGAAACGAAAAATTCGAGAAACTTAAAAATCTAAAAAATTTATGAATCGAAAAATTAGAAAACCCAATAATTGTAAAATCGGAAAATTATGAAATCGTCAAAATTGTAAAGTCGAAACACTGTGATATTGAAAGAAAAATTAAAAACTGAAAAGTAGAAAAATTAAATATATGAAGGCGTTTTAAAATCCAATACTAATAGTTGAAAAATGTAGAAATTCCAAAACTGTAAAACTGAAAAGGTGAAAAATTTTAAAATTCCAATTATTATTAGCTTTAAAACTAAGAAAATTGCAAATCAAAAATTGGAGAAACGGAAAATTGAAAAATCGGGAAAGTGAAAAATCTAAAACTGAAAATACGAAAAATTGTCGCATTTATTGAACCAGATATCGTGAGGGCGATTTTAGATTTGTAACTGGCGCAAGATTTTCAATGAATTGAGCCAATTTTAACCATTTTATTGAAAAATTTTTGAATCAAATTTTACTTTTATTTCAATGCATTTGGTGAAGACGATTTCGGATTTGTAACCGGCGGAAAATTATCCACAATTTGACACCAATTTTCGGTCGATTGAACAAATTTTTACCATTTTTTTTGGAAAATTCTTGAATTTGGAATTCACTTTTCGTATTTATTGGAAAAAATATCGTTACGGCGATTTCAGATTTGTAACTAGAGAAAGATTATCAACAATTTAACACCAATTTCGGTCGATTGAACAAATTGTAACCATTTTTTTGGAAATTTTTTGAAAATTTTGAATTCACTTTTAGAATTTATTGAACTAAATATTGTGACGGCGATTTCAGATTTGTAACTGGCGGAAGATTATCTACTATTTGGCACCAATTTTCAGTGGATTGAGCGAATTTTAACCATTTTTTTGAAGAATTTTGAAAATTTTGGAATCATATTTTACTTTTATTTCAATAGATTCGGTGAAGACGATTTCGATTTGTAACTTGCGGAAGAGTATCAACAACTTTCGGTCGATTGAACAAATTTTAACCTTTTTTTTTTTGAAAATTTTTGAATTCAATTTTTGTGTTTATTGGAACAGATATCCTGAGGTGATCTAAGATTTGTGACTGGCGGAAGGTTATCTACAATTTGACACTAATTTTCAGTCGATCGAACCAATTTTAACCACTTTTCTGGAAATTTTTTGACAATTTTGGAATGATATTTTACCTTTATTTCAATAGATGTCGTAAAGGTGATTTCGGATTTGTAACTGGTGCAAGATTATCTAAAATTTGACACGAATTTTCAGTCGTTTGAACCAATTTTAACCATTTTTGTGGAAAATTTTTGAAAATCGAAAAACTAAAAAATTGAAAAATCGAAAAATTTAATAATCGAGAAACTGAAGAAAAGAGAAATAGCAAATTCGAAAAATTGCAAATAAAAGAACTGAAGAAATGAAAAATAGAAACATCGAAAAACTAAAAATCGAGAAAGTTAAAAATCGAAAAATTGGAAAACTCAAAAATTGTGGAACCGGAAAATTATGAAATCGTCAAAGTTGTCAAGTCGAAAAACATAACATTGAAACATCGAAAAATTGCAAAAATTAACTTGAATTAATGAAGAAGCTTTAAAATTCAAATGAAAAAATTCAAATCGCAAAATTGAAATAGAGATTTTTTTTACATTATGATTATTATTACCTACATATTTAAAACGAAAAATAGAGAAACCGAGAAATCTAAAATCGAAAAAACCAGAAATTAAAGAATCTAAAAGTAGAAAAATCTCACACTGAAAAAAGAAAAAATAAAAATAAAAAAACTAAAAAATCAAAAACCAAAAAAAAATTGCAAAATCAAAAAAGTGGAAATCGAAAAATTGCAAATCGAAGTACTGAAGACACGAAAAATTCAAGAAACTTAAAAATCTAAAAAATGTATGAACCGAAAAATTGGAAAGAAAAAACGAACCATTTTTTTGAAACATTTTGAAAATTTTTGACTCAAATTTTACTATTATTTCAACAGATGTCGTGAAGACGATTTCGGATTTGTAACTGCCGGAAGAGTATCTAAAATTTGACAATTTTCAGTGAATTGAACCGATTTTAACCATTTTTTTGGAAAATTTTTGAAAATTTTGAATTCACTTTTCGGGTTTATTGGAATAGATGTCCTGACGGTGATTTCAGATTTGTAAGTAATGAAAGATTATCTAAAATTTGACACCAATTTTCGGTCGATTAAACCAATTTTGAAAATTTTTTGAAAAATTTTTGAAAAATCGAAAAACTAAAAAATAGAAAAATCGAAAAATTACAAATCGAAAAATTGAAACATCGCCAAACTAAAAGATCGGAAAAATTTAATAATCGAGAAACTGAAGAAATGAAAAATTGAAACATTGAAAAACAAAAAATCGAGAAAGTTAAAAACCGAAAAATTGGAAAACCCAAAAATTGTGGAATCGGAAAATTATGGAATCGTCAAAGTTGTAAAGTCGAAAAACATGACATTGAAACTTCGAAAAATTGAAAAATTGACTTGAATTAATGAAGAAGCTTTAAAATCCAAATGAAAAAATTCAAATCGCAAAATTAAAAAAGTGATTTTTTTTTTAAATTATGATTATAATTACATATTTAAAACGAAAACTAGCGAAACTGAGATATCTAAAATTCAAAAAACGAACAGTTAAAGAATCTAAAAGTTGAAAAATCTCACACTGAAAAAAGAAAAATTAAAAATAAAAAAACTAAAAAATCAAAAAACCAAAAAAATTGCAAAATCCAAAAAGTGGAAATCGAAAAATTGCAAATCGAAGTACTGAAGAAACGAAAAATTCGAGAAACCTAAAAATCTAAAAAATTTATGAATCGAAAATTTGGAAAGAAAAAACGAATCGAATCGAAAAATTAGAAAACCCAATAACTGTAAAATAGAAAAATTATGAAATCGTCAAAATTGTAATGTCGAAAAACTGTAATATGGAAAGAAAAATTAAAAACTGAAAAGTCGAAAAATTAAATAAATGAATGCGTTTTAAAATCCAATAATGAAAAATGTAGAAATTCCAAAACCGTAAAACTGAAAAGGTGAAACATTTTTAAATCCTAATTATTATTACGTTTAAAACTAAGAAAATTGCAAATCTAAAACTGAAAATACGAAAAATTGTCTCATTTATTGAACCAGATATCGTGAGGGCGATTTCAGATTTGTAACTGGAGCAAGATTTTCAATGGATTGAGCCAATTTTAAGCATTTTTTTGAAAATTTTTTGAAAATTTTGAATTCACTTTTCGGGTTTATTGGAATAGATATCCTGACGGTGATTTCAGATTTGTAACTAATGAAAGATTATCTAAAATTTGACATCAATTTTCGGTCGATTAAACCAATTTTTAACCATTTTTTTGGAAAATTTTTGAAAAATCGAAAAACTAAAAAATTGAAAAATCGAAAAATTACGAATAGAAAAATTTAAAAATTGACGAACTAAAAGATCGGAAAAAATTAAACGATCTAAAAACTGAAGAAAAGAAAAATTGAAACATTGAAAAAGTAAAAATGGGGAAAGTTAAAAATCGAAAACAATTAGTGAATAAAAAAACTGGAAAAAAGAAAAAATTAATTGAACCGAAAAATTGGAAAACCCAAAAAGTGTAAAATCGGAAAATTATGGAAGTAAAATCGTAAAACAACATCGAAACATCGAACAATTGAAAAATTAAATGTCGAGAAATTGAAAAATTAACTCGGATAAATGAAAAAGTTTTAAAATCCAATACTTAAAAAAATGGAAAATTTTAAAAATTATGATTATTATTACATATTTAAAGCAAATACAAAAAAAAAATGCAAATTAAAAATTGAACAAATAATTTTCCAGTTTTCGATTTCTCAACTTTTCAGCACTTCTATTTTGGGAATTTTTTCGTTTCTGTATTTTTATCAGTTTTCTGATATTTTAATTTTAGATTTTCCGGTTTATCGATTCCTCGCGTTTTCGACTTTTCAATTTCTCGATTTTTGATGTTTCGATTTCTCGGTGTTTCAATTTTTCGATGTTTCGGTTTCTCGATTTCGCGTTATTTCGATTTTTCGACTTTTCGGCCTTGCGATATTGCAAATTCTCAACTTTCGAAATATCAAATTTTCGATTTTTCCATTTATCAAATTTTCGGTCTTTCGATATTCCAATTTTTTTTATTTTGACCTTACCTGACCGGATTCGTTGAATTTTCGATTTTTCAATATTCAAATTTTCAATGTATTTCCTTTACGATTTTTCGACTTTCAGTTTTTCAATTCTTCGATTTTTCAAACTTCCGAATTTCCGCATTCTCGATGTTTCAATTTTTCAATGTTTCTATTCTTTAGTTCTTAGACTTTTCACTTTTTTTACTTTCCAATTTTCACTGTTTCCGTTCTTTCGTTTTTAAGTCGAAAAATTGAAAAATCGAAACATCGAAATCTGTAGAATTCGAAAAATTGAAAACCGATAAAACTAAAAAACTGAAACATTTTAAAATCATAAAATTGAAACATCAAAAAACGAAAAATCAAAAAAAAAAAGAGAAATCGAGATATCGAAGAAATTAACAACAAAAAATTGAAGAATCACAATTGAAAAATCCCAAAATTCGAGCTCCAAAAATTGGTCAGTCGATAAATCGAAAAATTGAAAAATCCCAAAATTGAAAAATAAAAACTGAGATATCGAAAAATTGCAAAATCGCAAAATTGAAAAGCCGAGACTTTGGAGCATCGAAAAATTGAGCAATAGAGAAATGGGGATATCAAAATATCCAAAAATCGAAAAATCTAATACTCAAAAGGTCGAGAAGTCGAAAAATCGAAAAGCCGAAAAATTGAGCAATCGAGGAATGGGAAGATCAAAATATGGAAAAATCGAAATGTCGAGAAGTCGGAAAAGTCAGAAATAGAAAAGTGGAAAAATCACAAAATCGAAAAATCAATTGATCGAAAAATCGAAAATTTAGAAACACCAAAAACTGGAATATTATAAAATCCTAAAACTCGATATATCGAAAAATTTTAAAATCGAAGAAAAATTGAAAAACTGGGACATCGAAAAACTGAGATAGGGGAATATATAAAAATAGAGAAATCGAAAAACTGAGAAGTCGAAAAATCAAAAAATCGATTGATAGAAAATTAGAAAATTTGGAAACACTGGAATATTAAACAATCAGAAAATTTAAAAGTCGAGAAATTGAAGAATCGAAAAATTGAAAAATCGTAAAACTGAAATATTGAAAAATAGAAACATCGAAAAATAAAATATTTTAATCCAGAAATCAAGAATTAACAAAAATTTGGACGTTTTGGGTAAAAACTCACCACAGAGTCATCATGTGTAGGACTATGTTATTTTATACAATTTAAAACCAATTTACTATGTACAATTTTGAAGTGACGTCATCACATTTTCGGTGGGGATGACTAGACAAATTTTGGTCAGCGTTTTACCATCTACATGATTTTCCTAATATAAATAGAAAATATGACAACAATCGGCCCAGACAGACGGACAGATAGACACACAGACAGACGGAAGCGGGAGACCTATTTTCGTACTGTAGGGGTCATGAAAGGTCGAGAAAAGGTAAAAGTAAAAAAATACATTTACATCAAAAACACACAAAAATGAACCAAATTCTCTCAATACCTATCTCTAGAATAACTCCTCCTCCTCGTCTTGGAGCGACTTCGCGACTTTCGCCTCCTGTGACTCTTCTCCTTACTGTAACTCCTCCTCTTACTTATGTACACCACCCGTTCCGAACTCTCGTTCCTCCTTCTGCTCTTAGACTTCTTCTCATTCGATTTACTCGTCGACGGACTCTCCTCCTCGTCCCCGAAACTCGTAATATACGTAATTTTTCCCGCATTTTCCGGCGACGGCGACTTCGACGGCGACTTGCTTTTCCTGAACGAAGGATACGTAGGCGAAGTCCGGGCCGCGTAACTCGGGGGACTTATCACCCTATTCGCCAGCCGCTTCTCCCGATGCGCCCTGCAACCTCCACCTAGAAATAACTCCAAACAACCGCGATCTTTACCGGCGCTCCCGCCTGGATTTGCGCCCCGAAAACAGAGCCTTCTCGTGCTCCTCCTCCTTCGCCAGCCGGAAACTCTCCGCCTCCTCGAGATCGTTCGTCAGGAATGAATAAAAATCGTTGGAACTCATCCCGAAATTCCGCCCGTGCCGGTTCATCTCGTGCGCTTGTGTAGAGTCCATTTTTGACACGTTGATGGATAAATCGACGTCCAGATCGCTGTCTGAGTTGCCTTCAGAGTCGTTATCATTGTGATAATCTGGTCCCAGAGTTTGTGCTATTTAAAAAATTTAAATAAAAAAATTACAAGTGGTTGGGTTGTTGTGGGTCAAAATACCGGTATTGTCTTCGTAATTGAACCCGATACTGGTGCCCCCGCTGCGCTGATCCTTCTTGCTTTTGCTCTCTGTGTAGCCAAACTGTTCCTCAAGATGGAGTTGTTTGAGGAACTTCTCCTCATTGATACCTAAGAAGGAGTTCTGCGCGATTATTCTGTAGCGTTCGTAGTTGATTTGGCGCTCTTCAAACGTGAGTTCTTCGTCATCTTCTTTTTTCACTGGAGGGATATAATCCAGATGGGCTCTCACGTCAAAACGATCAATTAAATTATCAGCTTGTCCTTGCCACGGCATCCTGAAACGTTTGCAATTTAATTGCGGCAAACGGAAAGTGGGAAAATTGTTACATTGCTGAAGCGCTGTCAGCAGCTGCTGCTATCGAAGGGTCCAAGTGAATTTTGCATTGGCGACCGTGCACTTGCAGAAACTGTGTCGGATCTGCCTTCTGTAATTACAGCAATCATAGTACTTTACTTATACTGACAATCTAAAGCGAAAATTACGATTTTCTCATAGAAATCCCGTCTTCTTTCAGCTCGCCTTCGATAGTCCACCAGCATGCCACGGATCTTCCGTTCTTGACGCCTCGCTTCGTGCCACATTTTTTATATTGTGAAATTAAGAAAGAAAGAAAGAAAGAAACGAACGATTGTTGCTAGTGGTTAATAAAAAAAAATAAAAATTCCGTTCACATTTCACCTGTCAAAATGCGTCGGTCGCTAAACGGAGGACGCGATCGACATTCAGACATTTGAGGTTACAAGTTACATCCGATTATTACAAAACAGTTTGAATTATTCAGTGTACGGGACAAATTTTCACTTGAAGATAAATCAAGTGAAAGCAAAAATGATTGTTCTAATATTTGTAATGGTGTTCTTTAATAAAAAGAAAAGAAAATTCAAATTTCGCGCTTGATATTTGGCGCAACCTCAACCCAACCACTGAAAGTCCCTAGGGATATTTCATAACCTCAAATTGCAACACAATAACGTGTGTTTATTGTTGGTTTATCCATGTCCGTGTCTATTTAAACTCCATAAAAATGCCTCATTTGCGGTAATTCCTCAAACTTGTCCATATTTCAACTTTACTTTGTGTTTTATCTAGGTTCGACGACGACCAAGACAATTATGATCAATCAGATTCAGATGAAGATTATACTGAAAATGAAAAAATTCTGTTGAATAAAGTCAGGAATAAACAGTCCAGAGACTCAGATAGTGACGGTGAAGTCTTTGGAGTCGGTTCAGGTTCAGAATCTGATGACCAGAGTGAAATAGCTGACAGTGATGTAGAAGGACAAGAGGATAAAGATGATTTACCTGACATCAGAGCGTGGGGCAAAAAGAAGAACAAATTCTATAACACTGACTATGTAGACCAAGACTATGGGGGCTTTCAAGGCAAAGATGCCCATTTAGCGGAATTAGAAGAAGAAGAAGCACGAAATTTGCAGAAGCAATTGGCTGAACAGCTGGATGATGATGATTTTAAACTAGATTTACCAACTAAAGTGGTTCAGGAGGATAAAGCCACTCCAGAGGAAATAATTAAAAGCGACATTTCGAAATTATCAAAAAGACAAAAACTGCAAATTTTGCAAAAAGAATCTCCTGAGTTTTTTGGGCTTGTAGAGGACTTTCAAGGTATTTCTAATAAATTTGTTAAATAAATAATAATAATAAATCGTTGCAGCGCAAATGACAACTGTGAAGGATTATTTAGGGCCTGCTTTAGATAAATATAAAAAAGGACTTGTCCAAGACTGCTCTGGAATGGAATTTGTAACAACTTATCACCAACTAATACTGAAGTAATTTGACATATTTTTAGTTTTATTGATACAAATGATTCAATTTCAGCTACTGTGTCAACATTTACATGTACCTTCTTCTTAAAGCTTCAAGAACAAACGTTCAGAATCACCCTGTTGTCAAACGTTTGTATCAATATAGGCAACTTTTATCGCAACTAGATACTGTCTATCAGGAGGTAATAAAACCTCAAATTGAGTCTATTTTGAAAGAAGACAATAAAAAACCGCTGAATATAGTACAGAAATTAACTAATCCAACGGAGAAAAACGTAGAAAAGAGTAAAAAGAGAAAGAGAGTAGAAGAACAAAAAAGCAAAAAAGTGAAATTCGCCGAAAAATTAGTAGAACATGAGAAGTCTGCTAAGGAAGAAGAAGAAGCTGCTCTGGAAATGGCAGAGGAGACTGAAGAAACCGCCGAAAATGCGAAGAGGGCGATTACTTACCAAATCGCGAAGAATAAAGGCTTGACACCTCACAGAAAGAAGGAACAGAGAAATCCAAGAGTCAAGCATAGAAATAAATTCAGAAAAGCGAAAATCAGACGACGAGGAGCTGTACGTTTTTGCGTTTTTTTGGTTTACTTTTAATTAATTTTATGTTTTCAGGTCCGCGAGCCTCGCACTGAAATGACACGATATGGTGGGGAAATTTCAGGGATTAAAGCAACCGTCACAAAGAGCATACAAATTAAATAATGTATTTTATTAATAAAATGTTTTTAAAAATGTGGTTTTAAAATAATTAAAATTGAAATCGAAATCAACCGCTAATATGTATAACCAATGGTGCAATGAGTAATGTGTCACATGATGCGGCTGTGGTCACATGACTCCAGACAGAGGCGGGGTAAAGAAGGGGTGACAATATGACAACTCACTCGCACAGTTGAAACTTGGCACCCCAGCCGTTGATGTTGGGTTTTCAACCAATCAAATTGCGGTAGTGTGCAGCGCTGCCAACCTGAAGGAAAATCCCCTGAAGTATAACTACATACATTTTGCCTTTCTTTCTTATTAATATGTGTCTTCTCACAACAAGAAAGGTAAAATATATTTAAAATAGTAAATTTTTGAAGGAAAGTATCGATTTTGCAATTAGGCTCCGCCCCTCGGTCTGACAACGAATGAAAAATTCATCAGAATTGAAATAGGGCGGGTGGGCGGGGCTTATATTTTGCCCTTTTTTTCTTAATATATACAGCGATCTTTTCACACCAAGAAACTTAAAACATGGTTAAAATGGCACATTTTTGCAAGGAAATATGGATTTTGCAATCATGGAGCGGAGTCTAATTGCAAAATCGATATTTCTTTATACAAATTTTCCATTTTAAGCATGTTTTAAGTTTAATCTTATGAAAAGAAGTCTACACATACCTATTAAAACAAAAAGGCAAAATGTAACCCCGCCCACCCGCCCTATCTCAATTGTGATGATTAGCTTAGCTGCAAAATACTTATTTCTTTACAAGAAATTAAAAACATGTTTTTGAGTATCGTGTTGTTCTAAGAATAGGATGTATATTAAGAGAAAAGGCAAAATATAAACCCCGCCCACCCACCCCATCTCAATTGTGATGATTTTTTTATTGTTAGAAACTTAAACCGCATTTAAATTGAACGAATGAAAACTTCATTACTATTTCGATCAGGGCAGGTATGGGACGAGTTTAATCCTTGGCTTTAATTTGTTCTTAATATACATAGTATTCTTTGAAGAATACGATACTCAAAAAATGTCTTACTTGGTAATTTCTTGTAGAGAAATAATAAGAATTTTGCATTTAAATTCCGCTTCTTAGGCTCTTTAAACGATTAAAAAAATCATCACAATTGGGATAGGGCGGGTGGGTGGGGCTTATATTTTGCCTCTTTTCTTAATATACGTAGTCGTCTTTTCAGAACAAGAAACTTAAAACATGGTTAAAATGGTAAATTCTTGATGACAAATGTGGATCTTGCAATTAAGCCCCGCCCCTCGATCAGACAACGAATGAAAAATTCATCATAATTGAGAATTGAAATCGGGGCGGGTATGGGTGGGGCCTAATATTTGGCTTTTTTTTTTCTTAATATGTATAGTATTCTTTGAACAACACAATAGTCAAAAACATGTTTTTAATTTTTCGTAGAGAAATAAGGATTTTGCAGTTAAACTCCGCCCCCTTAGCTCACGACGAATAAAAAAAATCATCACAATTGAGATAGGGCGGGTGGGCGGGGCTTCATTTTGTCTTTTTTTCTTAATATGTGTACACTTATTTCAAGAAACTGAAAACATGTCTAAAATGGTAAATTTTTGTAGTAATCAACTTAAAATCTCCACTTTTCTTCTACAACCCCTTTAAATACGGCAAAAGTTGAACATCAAAGTTACTATCAACGCCAACTTGGCAACGGAGTTAATAAATGACAATTTTCAGCTCTAAAAGTGACGTCAGCGGGAACACCAACTGCAGCGGTAAGTTTATAAATCCCACTGTTAACGTCACCAAAAAACAAAAAAAGATGTTCATGGAGTAGTTCCAAATCTGAAAAAAATCTACGATGAATTTTCTGCAGAGGACTGTGGTGACCGAATTTGAATTAAAATTTCGGGCTGAAAAAAATTAACAGCGGCGCGGAATCGCATTTGAATAATTTGATTCAATCAAGAAAATCGTGCACGTTTAGTTCTTTTTTTGGTAGTTGGTAGTTCTGCTTGGAATTTTAGTAATTCTTGCGGTTTTTCCAAGCGGGAATGGCGAATTTTCGACCGACGTTAACACGTTGTGTAAATTTGTTTTATTGTTTGTAAATTCACAATATCACAGTTCATGTCAAGAGTTTGATCGTTAACTGGTATAATACAATTTAACCGTCAGGAGTTTGTTTAGATATGGCGCTTGTTAGGAGATTTCATGAAATTCACTTAGTCAGGACACATCTTTTGTTTACAAAATTATGAATAACGTTTCTGGCCGCTTATACTTAAGTGTTACATTACAACACTTCTTAATTCCTCACACAACATTGCTAACAGTTCATTTACGGTAGTTAAAATTAACCTAACGTTGCCCCACTTTGGGAAAAGGACCGTGAAAGTACGGTAGAATTCATAATATCGTCACATCATCGTGACATATTTTTCTCGTTACGTTGAAAGCTACACCATCGAGACATAATTCTCACAACGAGGAATGTATTTTGTGTTTATTTATCATGTGTTTTGTTTGGGAAAAAATGGGGACAGTAATTTTCTTTGTCGTATAATTTAAATTGAACGTAAATTTTCATGTTCTGCAGTTTATAACCTCAAGTAATTTTTTTTGTCTGCACAAGTTTTATTTCACACCAGATCTGTTTTGTTTTTATAAATCTTTGCTAGTTTTTTTTTCATGCAAATATTTTGTTGATTAATACTTCCATCATATGACTTGTCTGATGTCCAATCTTAATCTCAAATAAGAATTCTTTGCTGTTTAAAAATTTCACGAGAGTGTGGCGAATTTAAGTGTTATTTATTGCTCTTTTTGAAATTTTAACACTTGTTCAGTTGTAGTTTAATGTCAGAGTTGTAGAAATTGAACATTTAAATGGAACTTGGGTTAAATAACAGAGAAACACGTGGTGGAAGTGGAGTGTGCGGTTCCTTGTTGAGCTGGCAGTCGCGCCATCTGCACAAACCACGAACACACGAGTTTGCGAGTTTTTTTTATAGCTGAGCACAAAGGTCTTCAACCTGCGCAACTTAGTCGCACCTTTTTTTTTTGTCTGTGGAGGAATAAAACATTTTGTGTCCATATATTTTGTGTTTTATTTAGCGGTAGTTTTCCAACCTTGGGGTCCACCACTCGCATCTGAACGCACTCAGCCACAAAAAAAACACAACGTGGGTTCCATTTTATTAGACGATCACAGCCAACGCCAAATTTTTGAATTTTTCGCGGGCTTTAAATTTTTTTTTCACATGTCAAATTAAGACGGGATTTTGGGTGCCAAACTACGCTACGCCGCCACTGACTACAGACACCTGATATTTGTTGATGCAAAAGTGACGTTTTCAAAATCAAACACTTTCGTCAATTTTTGTTCTAAATTCTCGCGATGTCAAACAAAACAGAAATTTACCACGACTCCACAAGCAAAATTTTGAACGTATTACAACGCCTAATCTTTGAAATTCAAGAAACGCGAAAGAAAAACAACGCCCTGAAAATGGAAGTGGAAATGATCAGAGGGACTTTCCGCAACGACGAAATGGCAAGAATAAAAGGGGTGCCAACAGAAATTGTGGGTCACTACAATCCAGAGGGAGACGCGTAACTACCGAGTGTTGATCGTCCCTCAAGTATTTTTTGATGTTAAAGTTTGTACTGACTGGAAATGGGAACAATAAAAGCATGAATGAAACAACAATGCGTTTATTTTTTACAATAAAACAATTTCTTGTGCTATTTCCTAAATAGCCTAACACTTCTTACGATATACATAGATAACTGTACAATTAGCCGTTTTGAATAAAATGGTAAAATATACAACACTGAAAAACGAAAAGCGAGAAATTAACAAAAAATAAAATAAAACATGTCCGAAATAATACTGGAAGCTGATGTAAACAATGAAAAATAAAATTCTCTAAACGTAATTGGAATGAAGGGACATCTTCGTTAAACCCTCACCTCTAATCTACACTAATTTTGTTATGAACATAGTATTGTACATTAATATCGAAAGACGGCAATGTTACCACGAAAAGTGAGGTTAAATATGGCCTACTTTAAACTACTTTAATCCTCCAAATTCCTGAAGGCTTGTTGAATATCTTCGTACAGTTGATCGAAATCTGCCTTAATCTTAGCTTCGCCGTCTTTGACGGGATCTTTGAACTTCATACTGCTCAGCTGATACAAAATGGCGCTCATGGAATCCCTGATCACAGTCCACGTGATCTTGTTCTCAGACTGCGCTGTGCTTTCAACGGCATGTCGTGACATGTCATACAAACCAATCATGTTCTTCAACATACCCACCGTCTTATAGAACGGACAGAACCTGTCGTACGACGAGTACGAGTTCTGTTGCAAGAAATCTTCTTTGAGAAGTTTGGCAATCTCAAGGGTAATTTTATCAGTCTCGGCGAGCGATGCTTTACCGACCAGTTGCACGATTTCAGACAAGTCCTCTTCCTCCTGGAGGATCTCCTTGACTTTCGTACGCAACGCGACGAACTCGGGGAAGTTCTTGTCGTAGAAGTCGTCCAAAGCGCGCGTGTATTTGGAGTAGGAGATGAGCCAATTGATGGAGGGGAAATGTTTGCGCTGGGCTAACTTCTTGTCCAACCCCCAGAACACCTGCGCACAGAGACACAATTTACATGTTCTTACATCATGTTGAAAATGAAACTTACTTGTACGATACCCAACGTAGCCGACGTCACAGGATCTGAGAAATCACCACCAGGTGGCGACACAGCTCCGACGATGGAAACCGAGCCCTCTCGATCTGGGTTACCCAAGCACTTAACTCTGCCGGCACGTTCGTAGAACGACGCCAATCTGGCACCCAAGTACGCCGGGTAGCCGGAATCGGCAGGCATTTCGGCCAAACGACCCGAAATTTCTCTCAAGGCTTCGGCCCAACGCGATGTCGAGTCAGCCATCATGGACACGTTGTAACCCATGTCACGGAAATACTCGGACAAGGTGATGCCGGTGTAGATGGAGGCTTCACGAGCCGCCACAGGCATGTTGGAGGTGTTGGCTACCAGCGCCGTACGCTTCATGATGGACTCCGTCTGCCCTTCGATTTCGACAGTCAGCTCGGGGAAGTCTCGCAATACTTCAGACATTTCGTTGCCTCTTTCTCCACACCCGACGTAGATGATCACGTCGGAGTTGGAATATTTGGACAGGGATTGCGAGATGACGGTTTTACCGCAACCGAAAGCCCCGGGGATGGCGGTGGTGCCGCCCTGGACGCACGGGAACAGGGAATCGAGGACGCGCTGGCCGGTGAGAAGGGGGTGGTTGGCGGGGAGCTTCTCGCTGACGGGGCGAGGCTGACGCACGGGCCACACTTGCAACATAGTGTATTTGGTTTTCTCGCCATCGAACTCGGTCTCCAGGACGACTTCCTGGGGGAAAAATCGGTCGCAAAATAAATACGCGTTTCTTGTTAAAACAAAAAATTACGACTTACGTCGACTGTGTAATTTCCGGGCTCGGCCATATACGTCACAGTCCCTTTAGCCCTTGGGGGTAGCAACATCTTATGCTTAACCAAAGTATTCTCATGAACAATACCATAAATATCACCCCCAGTCAGATGCGATCCCAACTAAAAACACAAAACGACCCATCATTAATAACCCCTTAACCAACCCATCGTTACCTTGATATTCAAGGGCGAGAAGTCCCACTTGGTGGTTCTAGACAGCGCTGGCACGTTCACACCCTTCGGGATATAAATACTCTGTGTCATTTCGTTAATGTCCTTCAACGGTCTCTGGATACCATCAAAAATCGAACCCATGATACCCGGCCCCAACTCCACGGACAGCGGTTTCCCAGTACGCAAAACTGGATCACCAACTGTCACACCAGAAGTTTCTTCATATACCTGGATGGTGGCCATCTCACCCTCCAAACGGATAATTTCACCCACCAGCTCTGAATAACCTACTCGCACCAGCTCGTACATAGCAGAGCCGCTCATTTTTTCGGCCGTAACGACTGCGAAAAATCAATCAACTTGTGCCAAAAAATTAAACCGAAATCTTACCGGGACCGGACACCGCGAACACGTATCCGAACTTGGACTCGCGTTCCTCATCCCCCATTTTTTGTAAAGTCGTCATTTTGGTGGTTTTTTACCTGCAAGAAACTGGGATGTTCAAAGTCACGTGAAAATAAAACTAGTTCGGTGCACTATCTTTATAGAGCCACGGTGATGAAAGGCGACGAGTCACGTGAACGAGGCGGAAAAATATGAGCGCCGCTTTATTGAGATAAGGAGCCGAAGTGTATTGGCACAGGATACGCCTACAAATTTTGGGCAATTTGGGAATCTAGGGATATGGAATGTTGATAATGGGTTCGTGGAGGTGACAGTCGAGGGCGTGAACCCTCACTGGGGGTAAAATTCCGGCACAAATGAGCACGAAAACTGGGTCGAACGAATTTTGATAAAATCGATAATTTGAAGATTTTTTGTGTCTGGTTTGTTTGCAGGGTTAGTCGAGGGTGTGGGGAGGTTCTTTAATGAATAATGAACTGATTTTAATTAATAAATTGGCTGAACACTTACGTGCTTCCTGCAAAAGCGCACCAACCCAACTCACAAGATTATCAATTTTGTCGAAATGTCACAAGACGGTCAGCTGACAGCTACTTGACAACTTTAGTCAAAAACACAACCGTGCCTACACCGTGCGAGAAAAACAGACAACAGTTATTATGTATAAAAAAATATAAAACATTTTTTATTTTTGTGTTGTTGTTAATGAAATGATCCATGTATTTATTTCTCGTACTCGTACATGATCAGTGATTTGATAACCGCAGTGACAAATTGGACAAAATAGAGGACGGAATCCGGCTGGGTTTGAAATCCAGGCTCCAAATTTTTTTCAGAACAATGCAATTTCTTAATCCTGCGACCTTTTTCTCTCTTCTCTTACGACCCCATCGAAATCACTCGCCGATACGTCAAAAAGTTCATTCTAAAACGTAGAAATGCAAATTTTTAAAGAACATTTACACTTTGCATATGAAATAAAAATTTATAACAAGCATAAAAAACTAATTTAAATCCTAGACATTATAGTTTCATTTTTTACAAGATAATTTAAAATCATCAAATCCACAATGATCGTGTCCTGTCAACAATCTTTAAATGTTTTGACGTTTGTGACAGCTGTCATTTTGGTCAAGAACACAAATGAGTCATAATCGAATTTAGCAACATTTTAGCAAAAACCAACTTTCTTTGCAAAATTCAAACACAGAACAACCCCCACAATGGAGTGGCTTTTTGGTAAACGCCTAACCCCGGAGGAACTCCTTCGCAAGAACCAACGGGCCCTCAACAAAGCAATGCGGGACTTGGACAGAGAGAAAATGAAGATGGAACAACAAGAAAAGAAAGTGATTAACGACATCAAAAAACTGGCGAAGGAAGGCCAGATGGTAAGTAATACACCCTCGTGCGACTCTTTTTCTAATTCTTCTTCAGGACGCCGTCAAAATCATGGCTCGAGATTTGGTAAGAACCCGCCGCTACGTCAAGAAATTCATGTTAATGAAAGCCAACATTCAAGCCGTTTCGTTAAAAATACAAACGCTTAGGTCACAGAATGCCATGGCACAAGCTATGAAAGGTGTCACTAAAGCCATGCAGAGTATGAACAGGCAGCTGAATTTGCCTCAGATTCAGAGGATTTTGCAAGAGTTTGAGAAACAGTCGGAGATTATGGATATGAAGGAAGAGATAATGAATGACGCGATTGACGACGCGATGGAAGATGACGGGGACGAGGAGGAGAGGTAAAGGGGGCTTGTCGGATTTAACTGTGGCTAAAGTTACTTGTTTCAGTGATGCTGTGGTCAACCAAGTTCTTGATGAATTAGGTTTGCAGCTGAATGATCAGTTGTCGGGGTTACCTCAAACAGGAGGAACTTTACCAAGCACTGGAACAAAACAACCAGCGGCTGCTGCAGCCGCAGCAGGGGGCAACGGAGGGTTGTCAGATGCTGACGCAGATTTGCAAGCACGGTTGGATAATTTGCGCAGGGAATAAATTAGGGTACGTGAAAACTATTTAATCTCAAGTGGATAGTGGCAGAGTAATGCGACAAGTTTGCCTTGTATACTCCACGTTTTTATACAGTTTACATTTGTATTTTTGTTGTATTAAATTAATTATTATGTAATTAGTGTTTTGTAGTTTAAAGCTTTAACGATGTTAAGTGCTTACATAAAATAAAGTGTATATTTTTGACACACTTTAGTGTCTGTGATTAATTCGCAACAAATAAACACTGTTACTGGAGTGGGATATTACGTTTATTGTTGACTATTACACAGGTCATAAGACATTTTTTTTGTTATAAAAAATGCCCGCGCGTCTCGGTTTCAATTATAGGGATTTTCTAGTTATACGATTTTTTGACGTAAGCACAGTGCCCTCTATCGTCGGTGACCCGCCACGTATACGTCAAACACCTGTCACCCAAGTGTCAATATTTGTGTGCACAAAAAAACCGTCTAGAACACCAAAATGAAAACATTGTCGATATGAATTGGAAAATCTGAACGACGAAGGCAAAATCCGAGAAAATGACGTACGAATAAAATCACGAATTTGTTCAATAATCACCCAATTGATGACATACGCACCGCTTTAAAACCATGTTCTTGAAAGACCCTTGCGGTGTTTGTTGCATTTTCGTTACGTATTTGTCAGTGTTTTACGCTGACTATGTGATTGTAAAATGGGTAGTACTCCAAACGATGGTCAACAGGTAAATTTGGCCTCCGACTTGACTCACACTAATTGTACACAATTTTAGTTTGTGGGGCTCTTTTAACGTAGTTATGTTCAATACTGTAATTTTCTTTCTTTGTATGGCGCACATACGAGCCGTTGTAACCGACCCAGGAACCCTACCTTTATTTCCAAGCAAGTTAGACTTCTCCGACATGCATTCCTCTGAATCTGGTATGACAAAAACAGTCCTAAGTCGTAGCTGTTACTTTTTTCTAGGCTGTGATTATGTTGATTGGACCGTTTGCACCCGCTGCGAAATTTACAGACCTCCAAGGGCCCATCACTGTCGCATCTGTCGACGATGCATCCGTCGCATGGACCACCATTGCCCATGGATTAACAACTGCGTGGGAGAAAGAAATCAGAAGTTTTTCTTACAGTTTTTGATTTATGTGGGGGTTTTATCCACGTACGCTATCGTACTAGTGGGGCTGTCCTGGTTGACAGAATGTAAAGAGTGTAGTTTGGATGTTCCACTCAAGCAAGCGCGAATGTATGACAGACACACATAAAATTTTTCCTAAATCCGTTTCTCTATGTTTTGTTTCAGAATGCACTCAGTCATTTTAGTACTAATAAGCGCTCTTTTTGGAATGTTTGTCTCTGCTATCCTCGTGGACCAAATTCAGGCCATAGTTACTGACGAAACGGCCGTTGAGCAAGTACAAAATCAAGGCCCATATCGTCCCCATAAACCAAAAATGACACTTCTGAGTGAAGTTTTCGGAAGAGAACATCCGCTCCTATGGCTTCTGCCGTGTTCTTCTACCATGAGAAAACTCGATACTCCCCTCATCAATCATCATGTGTAATTTATTTGTTTATAGATTTTCTAGTCTTTGTTTTACGTTATGTTAAGGTGAGAAAGATTTTTATACAGTATTTATTCAGATTTTTTGTTATGATTTCGATCCTCTCTATTAGATATGAAACCTACCTGTGGACTCTCAAATCTCTTAAATAAAAAGAGAATGCGTTTCCAGTATAATTATCTTTTGTAATCGAGTCCGCCGACCGACTCTCTACTTTTACGTTTTGACCTTTCATGACCCCTAGAGTACGAAGAAATAGGTCTCCCGTTTTCGTCTGTCTGCCGACCTGGATTTTTATCAGACAGATAATCTCGTACTGGGCGATTGTTGTCAAATTTTGTATTTATAGTAGAAATATCATGTAGATAGTAAAACGGCAACCAAAATTTCTCCAATCATCCCCACCAAATAACAGTCCTATACTTGTAGTTTATGACTCCGTATTAAGTTTTTACCGAAACGTCCAGATTTTTGGAAAAAAAATCATCACCTGCACAAAGAGCTGCCGCTTGAGTTTTGTTTGCAGGTCATGGTAAATTTTTAATCACAATATATCTCTTTATCCCTCCCAAAATTTTTCTACGAGAAATTACCACGGGAAATAAAAAAAATATCTTCAATTCTGGCGAAACTCAATGTCCCAATGATGTTTTGAAATACCGGCTGACTATTAATGATCAAACCAAATTTTTGATTTCAATTCTCAAAAACAACTATGTATCTTAAGAAAAAAGGGAAAATATAAGCCCCGCCCATCCGCCCTAGCTCAATTGTGATGATTTTTTTTAATCGTCGAGAGTCAAAGGAGCGGAATTTAAATGCAAAATTCTTATTATTTCTCTACAAGAAATTACCATGTAAGACATGTTTTTGAGTATCGTGTTATTCAAAGAATACAATGTATATTAAGAAAAAATTAAAGCCAAAGATTAAGCCCCAATCTAAATAGAAAAGAAGTTTTCATTCCTTACGAAAATTTACCATTTTAAACGTGTTTTAAGTTTCTCAGAATAAAAAAAAAATTGTCACAATGGAGATCGGGCGGGTGGGCGTCGTTTATATTTTGTATTTTTTTCTTAATATACATAGTATTCTTTGACAACACAATACTCAAAAACATTAATAATGTGTAAACTTCTTTTCATAACATGAAACTTAAAACATGTTTAAAATGGAAAATTTGTATAAGGAAATATCGATTTTGCAAATAGGCTCCGCCCCAGAATTGCAAAATCCATATTTCCTTGCAAAAATGTACAATGTTATGTAATATAAGCCCCGCCCACCCACCCTATCTCAATTCTGATGATTTTTTTATTCGTCGTAAGCCGAGGGGCGGAGCTAAATTGTAAAATCCTTATTTTTCTACTAGAAATTACCATGTGAAATATGTTCTTGAGTAATCGTGTTATATACAAAGAAAACTAAATTTTTAATTTTTGTTTTTTTTTGATGGTTGGATTTCTCGATTTTTTAACTTTTCGATATTTTAATTTTTCATTTTTAAAATTCTAGATTTTTCGATTTCTCGAGATTTCAGTTCTCCTATATTTTTAAATTCTGGGTTTTTAAATTTTTTGAGATCTAGATTTACCGAGATTCGGTTGTTTTGGTAGCCCAGTTTTTCGTTTTATTAATTTTTCCAGTTTTAACTTTTCGATTTTCCGATTTTGGCCTATTTCGGTTTCTCATTTGTTCGATTTTTTCACTTCTCGACTTTTCGACTCCTCCAATTTTCGATTTTTTGATTTTTCGATTTATCGGTGTCTCATTTTTTGAATTTTTCGATGTTTTGTTTTTCCCATTTGTCGGTTTTTCAATTTTTTACTTTCCGGCTTTTCGATTTTTGGATTATCCGATTTTCCAATTTTTAAATTTTCGAGTTTCGATTTCTCGACTTGTTGATTTTTCAGTTTTCGATTTTTAAATTTTAGATTATTGAATTTTAATTTTTTGATGTTTCGATTTCCCCATTTTTCAGTTTTACGATATTTTAATTTTTCAATGTTTTACAATTTAGATTTTTCGATTTTTTCAGTTCATTATTTTTTTATTTTTCAAATTTTGACGTTTTTGAATGTTCAGTTTTCCAATTTCTCAATTATTCAATTTTTTGATTTTCCCATTTCTCAACTTACCAAAAATTCGATCTTTCAGTTCTTCAATTTCTTGATTTTTCAAGTTTTTGATTTTTCAATTTTTCGATTTTTTAAGTTTACGATTTTTCGAATTTGCGATGTTTCGACTTTGCTTTTTTGACTTTTCGATTTCTCAATCTTTCAATTTTTTTGATTTCCCAATTTTTGGATATTTCGCTCAATTTTGTGATTTTTTTTAGTTTTTCGATTATTCAATTTTTCTCTAATTTTTCAATTTTTCGAATTTCAGTTTTGGGATTTGTCAGTATTTCGACTTTTCGAGTTCTGCATTTTTCGATTTCCCGATTTTTTTCTTTTTGGATTTTCTCAATTTTTCAACTTTCCGATTATTTAACTTTTCAGTTTTTAACATTCTATGTTTTTCGATTTCTCGAGTTTTCAATTCATTTTTTCCCGATTTTCCAATTGTTCGATGTTTCTTTCTTTCAATTATCCGATTATTCAATTTCTCGATTTTTAAATTTTTAGACTTTCAAATTTTTTCATGTCTGGATTTTTCGATTTTTGGATTTCTCAGTTCTTCAGTATTTCTATTTTACAATTTTTCAAATTTTGACGTTGCTAAATTTTCAGTTTTCCGATTTCTCAATTAGTTTATTTTTGATTTTCCCACTTCTCGGCTTCTCAAAGTTTCGATTTTTCAGTTGTTCAGTTCTTTGAATTTTCGACTTTGCTTTTGAATTTCTCAATTTTTGGATATTCCTTTCAGTTTTTCAATATTTCGTTTTTTCGACTTTTTATTTTTTCGATTTTGAGTTTTTCGTTTCTTAAACTTTAGATTTTTCAATTTTTCGCTTCTCGACTTTTCGACTCCTCGATTTCTCGATCTTTTGATTTTTCGTTTTCTCGATGTCTCAGTTTTTGAATTTTTCGAGTTTCGATTTCTCGACTTTTTAATTTTTCAGATTTCGATTTTTAAATTTTAGATTTTTGAATTTCAATTTTTTGATGTTTCGATTTCTCCATTTTTCAATTTTACGCCATTTTAATTTTTCGATATTTTAAATTTTAGATTTTTTGATTTTTCAGTTCTTCAATATTTTTTAATTTTTCTAGTTTTGACGTTTCTGAATGATTAGTTTTCCAATTTCTCAATTATTCTATTTTTTGATTTTCCCATTTCTCGATTTCCCCAAGGATTCGATCTTTCAGTTCTTCAATTTTTCGATTTTTTATTAAGTTTGCAAATTTTCGACTTTGCTTTTTTGACTTTTTGAATTTTCAATTTTTTAATTTCTCAATCTTTGGATATTTCGTTCAATTTTCAATTTTTCGAGTTCCGAATTTTTCGATTTCCCGACTTTTTACTTTTTGGATTTTCTCAATTTTTCAACTTTTGGATTATTTAACTTTTCAGTGTTTAAAATTCTAGGTTTTTCGATTTCTTGAGTTTTCAGTTAATTTTTTTCTCGATTTTCGAATTTTTAGATTTTCAAACTTTTACTTTTTTAATTTTTTTAATGTCTGGATTTTTCGATATTTGAATTTTTCAATGTTTTAAATTTTTCGATTTTTCGATTTTTCAGTTCTTCAATATTTTTTAATTTTGACGTTTCTGAATATTCAGTTTCCAATTTCTCAATTATTCTATTTTTTGATTTTCCCATTTCTCGACTTCCCAAATTTTTTTCGATTTTTCAGGTTTTTGATTTTTCAACTTTTCACACTTGAGACGGGGCGGGTGGGCGGGCTTACATTCTGCCTTTTTGTTTTAATATGATGTAGACTTCTTTTCACACCATGAAACTTAAAACATATTTAAAATGGAAAATTTGTATAAAGAAATTTCGATTTTGCAATTAGACTCCGCCCAATGATTGCAAAATTTATATTTCTTTGCAAAAATGTACCATTTTAATCATGTTTTAAGTTTCTTGTTGTGAAAAGGTGGTTTTATATATTAAGAAAAAAAAAAGACAGAATATGAGCCCCGCCCACCTCAATTCTCAATTCTGATGATTTTTTTATTCGTCGTAAGCCAAGGGACGGAGCTTAATTCTAAAATACTTATTTTTCTATGAGAAATTACCATAAAAAATGTCTTCAATTCTGGCGAAACTCAATGATGTTCTGAAATACCGGCTGACTATTAATTATTAAACCAAATTTTTGATCTCAATTCTCAAATGTGATGAAATTTTCATTCGTTGTCAGATCGAGGGGCGGAGCTTAATAGCAAGATCCAGATTTGTCTCGAAGAATTTACCATTTTAAAAAAGGGAAAATATAAGCCCCGCCCACCCGCCCTATCTCAATTGTAATGATTTTTTTCATTCGTCGTGAGTCAAAGAGGGGGGAGTCAACTGCAAAATCCTTCGAGAAATTAAAAACATGATTTTGAGTATTGTGTTATTAAAAAAAAATCTATGTATATTAAGAAAAAATTAAAGTCAAAAATTAAGCCCCACCTATACCTGCCCCGATCTAAATAGGCATGAAATTTTCATTCCTTACAAAAATTTACCATTTGAAACGTGTTATAAGTTTCTAAGAATAAAAAAATCATCACAATCGAGATGGGGTGGGAGGGCGTCGTATATATTTTGTATTTTATTCTTAATATACATAGTATTCTTTGAACAACACAATACTCAAAAACATGTTTTAATTTCTCGTAAAGAAGTATTTTGCAGTTAAGCTCCGCCCCCTTGGTTCACGGCGAATAAAAAAAAAACTCACAATTGAAATAGGGTGGGTGGGCGGGGCTTATATTTTGCCTTTTGTTTCTTAATACACATAGCCATCTTTTCACAACAAGAAACTTAAAACATATTTAAAATGGAAAATTTGTATAAAGAAATTTCGATTTTGCAATTAGACTCCGCTCAATGATTGCAAAATTTGTATTTCTTTGCAAAAATGTACCATTTTAATAATGTTTTAAGTATTGAGTTATTCAAAAAAAATCTATGTATATTAAGAAAAAATTAAAGTCAAAAATTAAGCCCCACCTATGCCTGCCCCGATCTAAATAGGCATGAAATTTTCATTCCTTACAAAAATTCATCACAATCGACATGGGGTGGGTGGGCGGGGCTTATATTTCCGTTCCTTTTTCTTAATATAGTAGTACTCTTTGAACAACCCAATACTGAAAAACATGTTTTTAATTTCTTGGAAAGAAATTACAATTTTGCAGTCAAGTTCCGCCTTCTTGGTTCACGGAGAATAAAAAAAAATCATCACAATTGAGACAGGGCGGGTGGGCGGGCTTACATTTTGCTTTTTTGTTTTAATATGATGTAGACTTCTTTTCACACCATGAAACTTAAAACATATTTAAAATGGAAAATTTGTATAAAGGAATTTTGCAATTAGACTCCGCCCAATGATTGCAAAATTTATATTTCTCTGCAAAAATGTACCATTTTAATCATGTTTTAAGTTTCTTGTTGTGAAAAAGTGGTTTTGTATATTGAGAAAAAAAAAGACAAAATATAAGCCCCGCCCACCCGCCCTGTCTCAATTCTGACGATTTTTTTTTTATTCGTCGTAACCAAGGAACGGAGCTTAATTCTAAAATACTTATTTTTCTATGACAAATTGCCATAAAAAATGTCTTCAATTCTGGAGAAACTCAATGATGTTCTCAAATACCGACTGACTATTAATTATTAAACCAAATTTTTGATCTCAATTCTCAATTGTGATGAAATTTTCATTCGTTGTCAGATCGAGGGGCGGAGCTTAATAGCAAGATCCTCAAACACGTTTTAAGTTTCTTGTTGTGGAAAGACGACCACATATATTAAGAAAAAAGGGAAAATATAAGCCCCGCCCACCCGCCCTGTCTCAATTGTAATGATTTTTTTCATTCGTCGTGAGTCAAAGGGGGGGGGGAATCAACTGCAAAATCCTTCGAGAAATTAAAAACATGATTTTGAGTATTGTATTATTCAAAAAAAAATCTATGTATATTAAGAAAAAATTAAAGTCAAAGATTAAACCCCACCTATACCTGCGAAGATCTAAATAGGCATGAAATTCTCATTCCTTACAAAAATTTACCATTTGAAACGTGTTTTAAGTTTCCAAGAAAAAAAAATCATCACAATCGAGATGGGGTGGGTGGGCGGGATTTAATTTCCGTTCATTTTTCTTAAACAACCCGATACTGAAAAACATGTTTTGCAGTTAAGTTCCGCCTTCTTGGTTCACGGCGAATAAAAAAAAATATCACAATTGAGATAGGGTGGGTGGGTGGGCTTACATTTTGCGTTTTTGTTTTAACATGTCTACACTTCTTTTCATAACATGAAATTTAAAACATGTTTAAAATCGAAAATTATGGAAAGGTGGCTGTGTATATTAAGAAAAAAAGACAAAATATAAGTAACTTTTTCTAACAGTCGTTTATAAGCAAGCAATAGTCCCGCCCACCCACCCCTTCTTCATTCCAGCGATTACTCTTAATATTGTTCAGTCATTTACTTTATTTTAAAAAATTAGTTTAGTTTATATTTCAAAATTTTGAAAATTCAAGCTTTTGGCAAACTTGCCTAAAAACCTACAAAAAATTTTGTGATGTAGATATCGACGAGCTAATTAAAAAAACAGTCTATAACAGTCAAAGGAAATAGTATGCAATGAAGATATTTTTAATTGTTTGTGGGAGGGGGGGTATCGTTTTAAAAATATTTCCGCATGCTCGAGCCATTTCCTGTTTCGGCACGATTTTAAAGTCATAAATAAAAGCAACAAAAATTACACACTTATATTTCAAAATAAGGCTATAATTACAGAATTAACGATAAAATCTGGCTAAATCTTTTAAAGCATACGTAACCGACTTCGACGTATCCGACCTGCAACAGATCCAATCCGAGTTATTACCCATCTGTAAAAAAACTGTCACTAACTCACCTCGTCATCGACGCGTGTATGTCATTCAACTGCTGAGGTGTCGCCGACATGATCCCCCCGTTATTTTCCTTCGGCAGTGTATCCAACCCTGTCGCTAGCCATTTCCCTGTCATCTCCCTGTCAAACTCCAACATCTCCACGAAAACGTCCGCCACTTCACTCAGCATGTAAGAATGTAAATAAAACACGCACGCATGCAGTAAATTCGTCACTAACTGCTGCCCGTATTCGTTCAGTATACTCGTCACTAGCACCTTCCTCTGCTCGAAGTCCGCCTGGTTCTTCCCGCACTTGCCCGTGTTAACCAGATCATAGAAAAACTTCATCACTGACGTATTCGCCTCTTTATGATCCAAAGTACACGCCATCAAGCTGCACTGCAGAATGTGCACCAGCGCCGCGCACTGCAAGAACGGCACTGGCGACCGCTGCATGAACCGCGCGCACAGCCTGAAGAAGTCGTCCACGGTATCGGGATGATTCCGCAGCCCGTTCTCCTCCTGGAGCAGCTGGAAAGTAGGCTCTATGAAAGCCTGCAGCATGTCGAGGAGACCTTGGACGCAGTTGGGGTCGGTAGCGTACTCGTCCACGAGGATGCTACCGACGTAGAGGAAGCACGAGTGCTTATAGGTCGCGTAAATTCGGACGATTTGACCCACCAGACTCTGGAGGATCTCGCAGATTTGCTGGCTGACGCAACGAAGCATGAAGCGCAAACCGCGGCAACACCGCTCCATGATGCGCAGGTCGCTTTGGTACTTGTCGAAGGCGCGGGAAATCACAGGCCACACTTCGAGAATGACGGGTTTGCACGGGTGGACCTGACCTGAGAAAAATCGACTGTCACTAAAGGCAAACTCCGTTGGTTTGCCGTTAGTGTTGCAACGGTCTACTTACCCTCGAATACCTTCACGTTGACATTCCTGAGTACAGAAGAAAGTCGATCCAGCCAGAGAACTGGGTCGCTCTTGGTGCCTCTGACGGGGACGACGTCCTGCTCGATGAGTTGACATAAGGGTGTTAATTGCATCAAACACAACTTGCGCATGGCGTCCGTTAGTTCGGAATGCGGCATGCAACCCACTATAGCGCTCACGCCCTTCAACAATCCGATGACTGCGTTATTGGTTATAGCGAAAGTGTCAACTTGTTGCAACAGTTGCAATAAAATGGGGACGTGCCGCGGCATGTGGTCGTTGCACGTCGCGCAGATGTTTTGAAGAGAGAGAGCTGCGGCCGCCCCCACCCCCGGCTGGTGCAAACAACAAACTAAAAAGTTGAGAATCGGGTCAAGGGTGTTGGGGTGCTTCTCAATCCATTCACACAGTTCCCCCAACAACATTACAGAGGTGTACTTCACTGCGATGTGGGTGTTTTCGGGGAGGTTGAGGATCGCTTCCACTACTTTCGGGACGACTTCGTTCTCGGTACTACACGATACAAGAATTTCGACTCAAGACGGTTTTCTTAATTTCATAAAATATACTTACGGTAAAACATTCTTCGCCACCGCTTGCATTATAAACAAAGCAGCCTCGCTGGAGTCCCACGTGACTCCCGGCGCCTGCAAATTCATGAACATCTGCCTGAAACAACTGCTACTTCCGACTATAAAAACGACGTCTTTGACCAAATCCGACACTTTTAACCTGAAGTCTTTAAAATCGTCGCCGTCTTCTAGTAACCCTTCGTGGTCGGGTTCCATCTGGCAGTGTCTGCACAACGCCGTTATTAACCTCTCCACGTACGGCCGAAACAACTCCGTCAGTTCTTTACTATTCTTTTGATACAGTTCCTCACTCAAAACATACCACAAATTAAAAGTGATTTCGGCAACTTCGTACTCGTGGTGTCCCACGCAAATTAAAACTAAATCGAGCACTTTGATCGCGTAATGAAACGATTTCGCACTGCAACTATTGATAATTTTTTCTAAAAACGATTCGCCGAGTTCCGTAAATATCCGGCAATAGTTTATCGATTTTTCTTGATCTTCGTTCGCGACCGATAAATGGTAGACCATTTCTAAATTGACGACATTGTTAAAAAGGTAACTTTCGAGAGCTTGCTGGTTGTTGTTGTCCTCGAGACTTTGCAAAAGAGTGCAAATACAGTCGGACGCCGCGTCGTGGAGCGAACCCACGACGCTGAGGGGTTTGTCACCTTCTGGCTTATAATTTAGAATAGAAAAAGCTTGCGAAACTACCATGTTGTTAGTGACGTCGTTTAACGTAATAGCACCCACCGACACCCACGACGTAAAACAACGTAATATTTTTACGTTAACCTGCACGTTTTCTTGCCAATTAGTGCCATAGGTGCCGGCGCAGTGGGTGAGGAGCTCACCCACAGTCCCTGCGCAGGATTTCAAATCTTCCAACATGGCGACGCGCCGGTTCTCACCTAACCTAAAAATGAATTCAACACAATCAGACTTCAATCCATAAAAGCAACCACAGTTAAATGTGTCTAAACAACACACACAAAAAATTTAAATAATACATAAAACCACATATCCGTAAACCACTTAATAAATAACCCACAACATTAGGGTCCTGTGACTAATGACTACAATAATTAGTCCTTAGAACCCCATGAACACAAATTCACAGGTCTGCAGACACCCCCCTAGCAACTAACCTCACAGACCGGCTCTCCAGCTCCTCCGGTAGCACGGTTAAAATCTCCAACAGCGGCCACATATTCGTGCTTGAAAATCGATTAATCAAGTCCAAAGAAGCCTGCTGCCATGTCGGCATCTGCAAAATCAAGTCCGCTAGCGCTAAACACAACTGCGTCACAATCACTGTGTTCGTTTCCTGGTTAATTTGACTTATGTGTTCTAAGAGAGAGTTCCGTAACGAATCGTGGGCCTCCGTGGGTAATTCATGGAAGGACTGATGGATTTTTGTTCGCATAGTCTGTGCCCCAAAGTAGCACGACTCAAGGTCTCGTTTGTGGTGGAGGAGTTCGTCGGCGACCGTCCACGCGTGGACCTGGCAACGGGGGGGTTAATCGGGGCTGCAGGGACTGCAAAGCGACTACTTACGGACTTCTGGAGGTCTCCTAACCATTGCGAGGCCCTTTCTTTCTCGGTTGTGTTTGGGTTGTTGTATAGCGCCGAAACGGCGGCGTGGACTAGGTTTAAACTGGGTTTAGAATCCATTTCAGTTGAAAATTACGGGGGTGTTTACATCACATACTGAGCGGGGTTGTACTTGCGTTGATTGTGGTTTTGTAAATTGTCCAATGTCAAAAATAGTCGGAAAATTTAAGGGAAAACTTTGTTGTAAATGCAAATGTCACTGAATCATTGAAAGTCACTGAACAGGAGTGCCAATAGAGAAACGTGGAGTAGGGATAGGCAACCCATTAAACACGCCGCTATAATTAGATTTGTTAAAAATAAGGTGACATCAGGGGGAAATGGACAGAAATATCTTGTCGGTGCGTTTGTCAGATATATTTTGAGCGGATTATAGCAATTTACGGTTTTGTCATATAGTGACTGCTATTTTTTCTTCAGTCTATTTATCCTATTTTACGCCCCACGACCTTGATTGTTCTATCGTATCAGCTTGTATTAACGAAATATGTATAAATAGATTTATTCCTTTCCCAGAAATTAGTTCATTTACGTTCCGATTGCTTACGAGGCATCCTCAGGAATTTGATTCCAGCGTTTGCTAAAACCGCGTAAAACTGAATTTTAAGCAAAGACATTACGTGTTATTATTATTATTATTGTATCGTCTGCGCTATAATTAGATCAAACATCGTTTTCTATATTCAGGACGCCATTTTTAAAACGACACACGATTTCACAGGTCGTGGAACCTATGCTTATTCGAGACGTTATTAACCAATTTGCTAAAAAATTCGAAACAATTTTTCGATGTTTTGCTTGTTCAAAATTGCCGTCAAACGTTATTCTGTCTTGCGATCTGTCACACCCAAACTCGTCAAAAATCTATCGTTTTCATTTCCAGTCCACCACGACTGTAGACTATCCAAAACCTTTCTCCAATGGACTTCAAGTGTTAAATTTTAGCGAAAAAAGCCAATATATTGTGACAATGTCACTTGTTGACACTAAGCAAAGAATGATACATGCTGCTGTCAACACCGATCCGCTCCAACACAACATGATAGAAAATCAGAAACAACCAATCGTATGTACCCTAGTTGTAAAATTCCTCAAAACACAGACGTTTTCAGCACTACGGTCTTAAAGAACGCAACATTCCGCACATTAAAATCAACGAAATGAAAGAGTTGCAGGTGTGGTACGATTTCGGTGGCAAACTGGGAGAAGGAGGTTTTGGCAGCGTGATGATCGTAACAGAAAAAGGCAGCAATAAAGTTTGGGCTATGAAGATCGTTTCCAAATCGAATGCAAGTATACAAAGCGTCTGTTTCTTCTACTAAATGTGGCTTCCAAAGGCTGGTGTTAATTTGCAGCTCGTTCAGCAAGAGATAGGGGTGTTGAAGCTGATTCAGCATCCGCATATCATTTACCTTGACAAAATTTTCGAGTCTTCAAAAAGCATGTACATGATTTTTGAACGGTGCTACGATTTTGCGAACATCTACGCACGCCATAAACCTTTCCCTGAGAGGTTATCCAAGAAGATCATTTCCGAGCTCGTGGATGCTGTAGCGTACTTGCATAAATACGGTAACTTGGTAAAGGTACTTTTCCAGATTTAAGATGAAGGGTTATAGATATAGTTCACAGAGATCTGAAGATGGAAAATCTTTTAGTAGGCGAAAACCCGAACGATCCGACGGATGAGTACTACATCAAGCTAACGGATTTCGGGCTTAGTATCCACAAGTTCGGCAAAGGTTTCGAAACGTCGCTGCACGATTACTGCGGCACTCTTCACTACATGGGTACTACTACTACCATTTTGAAAAGTACTTAAATTGCGCGTTTCCAGCGCCGGAGATCATCACCAAGCGCGCTTATACCGAGATGTGTGACATGTGGTCCGTCGGTGTTATCCTGTATATGTTACTTGTCGGCAATTACCCTTTCTTTGCTTCTGACGAAAAGGAACTGAAAGTCATAATTTGTACCAAAGAACCCGTTTTCAAAAAGACGGACTTGACTGCTGAAGCTACAAACCTAATTCTACAGTTGCTGGTAAAAAACCCGGTCAACCGCATACGAGCGACCGAAGTGTTGCAACATCCATGGATGCTTGACAGAAAACTATCAAAGAATATAGAGTTCAACATACTTGATAAAATGAAAGAGTGGAAATCCGAAATGAAGGTACTTGAACTTCATTAACGACCATCTTTATTTTTTTTTGGTAGGTGGAGACTGGAAGTGCGTCTGACTGGGTGCTGGGTTCTTTCGAAAATCTAGATAAATCGAGGTCTGTCAGCAAGCAGGCTATGCAGCTTCCGAAAACCAACATCATGTTCGACAGGTTGTTTACGGCGGGTACGAGTTCCTCACGCTTTTATTTTCTTCTACAGGAATAAGCGGAGATCGAGCAAATCGAAGGAAACACCTCTGAAGCCTTCACAGCACAACAATCACAAGAAAACCGGGAAAAACGGCGTACCATAGGACCGCAAATCATACGACATGGTTATTGTGTAATTGTGCTTTTATAGTACAACAAACTGACTTTATTTAGACAGTTTGTACCTTATTGAAATAAACTTTACAATTCTGAATTTGGAAGTTATTGTGGAGCGTGTTCACACAAAAATCAAAATAAAACAAAGTGGTATGAAACAATTTGTATCCATCGTTTATAGTTCACTCAAAAATCATACAACACTGTTACAAATCAATTTCTACAGATCATTATTTATTGGGTAGACAAACATTTTGTAAAACTTTCTTTTCTGTAGTAAAAATATAATATAGAAGTGAAGTGCGATCACCCGGCTGTCACAAACAAATCAGTTGGAATGAGTTCAGCCAAAAACTTCAAGTTAATTACTTGGAGAACTCATCTTTGGTCAACTTTTGTCAAGTTACGGCGTAAAACTGATAAAAATAAAGTAACAGAAGATTAAAAAAAATAGAACTGCGTGAATAAAATGCAACGATGTCGATGAGGGATGGCGAAGTCAATAACTTGGCAAAAGTCGCAGAATGAGTTGCCCATGTAAATTAAGACGAGAATTTGGCAGTGTATGAGGCGACGACTAGCACCGCAAAAACCGTATTTCCTTAATTAAATACATCTCATAAAAAAAGAAATAATTACAATGTATTATCGTACATATAGTAAACACACGGATCTAAAAACATATTAGACTAAGTTCTATGTTAGCCTACAAGTTAACACCTTATTGCCCTTCTGCGCTCGACAAACTGGTACAACCATTACACAATAACGGTCGTTCCCAAATAGAAATACACTTTAATTTTTTGAAGGCTTTCCTGAGAAAGCCGCGGGTTCAGCGACATCTTCAAAAAACATTTTTTGTACAAGTATTTAATTAAAAAAAAAAGAAAAAAAAAACACTGTTATCAGAGACAAACTTAATCTAAAATTTATACCTATTTTTACATAAATTGGACAATTTTTTTACAAATTGAAGGGGATACGTAGTAATAAGTTAGAAGAGTCAGGTACCGCGGATTACACGCAGTTCACACACGGTCACTGAACAGTTCTTGCTCAAGCAAAGGTCGCGAGGTAGCCTGTGGCCGAATGTAGAAGATCCTGCTTCTAAAGTGGCTGCTACTGACAGAACAGTTGACGGTAGTCGACAATGGCTAGCATAAAACGCACTGAATTACTTTTGGAACTTAAAAATTAGTTGTTTGGCCACAAAGTAGCTCGAGACTTTGCACTGAGGAGTCCGTCACAGGTCGCACACGGGTTTGTCGGCCGTGTGCTCCATTATGCGTCGTCCTCCTCTTCGTCCACCCCTTCTTCGCCCTCCACGTCTTCTTCATCTTCGTCTAGAAAACGAACACGTCAACAACAACCTACTAACGTCATACTTGTGTTTACCCTCTCCTTCCAATTCCTCGTCGTCGCCTTCGGGGAGCTCCTCTTCTTCGTCGTCTTCCTCTCCTTCAACTCCCTCTTCCTCCTCTTCTTCGAGCTCTTCGCCCTCCGAACCCGCACCGTTTTCCTCCTTTCGCGCCTTTTTCACTTCCTCCGTTTTGTCCTAACACGAAAACGGTAATTGTAACAAATTAGAAATACACAATGTTTTTGATTATTCGTTCAGTATTTTCGGGCTCGACTATCAAAACGGTTCGTACGACTTGACAAATTTAACATCGTGCTTGTTTCGTTATCTCCCGGATAACATTTGACAACAAAAACATAATATAAATCAACGCTTTCTTTAATTGCTAGCACGAGATAAACCAAAATAAACACTGGTAACTAGCCGATAACGAATTTAAAGTTTTTGCTCTACAACGTGATCGAGATAACTTGTCTGATTTTTTTCTGAGTACCAATTTAAACTCCGCATGATGCCACAATACGAATGTTTGGTGTGCGTCTAGACGAAAGCGGCATTTTCGAACTCGGTAAGAATTTAAAAAAAAGCACTTTACTTGACCACGTGTTTTTGTAGTCATAATTACGAGCAAATCCGAATTCTGCGAGTCAAAGTAGGTACTCCTAGTCCCTTTTATATAGCGATCCCCGTTTTTCCGGTAAATCTACCTGGCGTGGGTAACAAAGTACATTATAATGACCCAACGGTTTTAATGTAGCCGTAAAGTACGCTAGGGTCATATTTAATTTTTCACATGAGTTCTTGCGCGCGAAGAGCAAACCTAACCGACCACATCCAACAATAAAAATGTTAGCGCGTCCTCCTGTCCACCTGTATCTGCACGACGTGACAGCAACAAATAAAAGTGGACATTTCCATCTCGAAAGTACGTTGTACCGTACCCAAGGTTAAATATAATAAAGATGAATTATTGACGCTAAACGCGAAAATGTGCCAAGTTCCCGTGAGTCAGGTAGATTTAGCCCACGGGAGTAAACAAGAAAATTCCGTCAACAATGGCGGGAAAACGTCAAGGGGCATCTAGTGGGCCGCGTCGATCTTTGAATTGGCTCGCGAGGAAATTTTTGCGCGGTTTTCCCGACGAAAACAAGCGCCGGTCGCGTTTTACGGCACTCAGGCCGAAATCTTTCTAGAAGCAATGTTGTGAAGCGTAGTGTGGCATCTAGCCTCGCTCCGGGCCGCATCCGAGTGGCTATTGATTTCGCCATATTGAATCGAGCAGCGATGCTAGCCTCGCACCGGGTGTGCCTGGTATATGGCGGGACGGCTCCACGGCGTGTTTACACCACATGCCAGAGAGCAAAACGGCGGCGGCTCCATGGCAACACGGGATTTGGCACGGTCTGCCATCCGCGGCCCGCTGCGTCTCCTGGAGGACGCGGAGAGCCCTGTCCACATGGCACGAGAGCGCGGCGGCGACACGGGGGCTCCGGGCCGCCGCCGGCGCCCCGAGTGGGCACGCCGCCGCCATGTGACCTTATCGCGGTGAATGCAAGAAAGGGTACTCACCTCCGCCGCTCGCTTCGTTCCCTTCAACTCACATTTCGCGTCCGCACTCTTGTCGTTGTCGATTTTCTCGACTGCAACTTCGTTATTTTCCTTCGAACTCATTTTGTTTATGTTTTTGGCGTGGGTTTTACTCTTTCGCGAAAAGTGACGTTCACCAACGTTGAACACTACTGACCGGCTACTCGTTAGCTTTGTTCAAAAATTAAGATGGCGCCGCTCAAACCGACCGGCCACGGACTTGGACGATCGACCGAGTTCATAAACGCGGACGAATTTATATTTGCGAGGCGCACGCCAGCTTTCGACAAGTCCGGGTCTGTTTTTTGGTGCCAAAAATACGGACACGCTTGTTGTAATAATGCGACAATTTTTTTTACAATTTTCCGAAATGAGGGTTCCGAGAGTACGAGTTGAATTTTACGAACTGCTCCGAGATTAAAAACGTGATTCGGGTATGCCTCCGCCAGGGGCGCTGTTCAAAAAATTTCCCTCCGGTTGTTACTGCCACAGTTTTATCGGTTTTACGAGCTACACAAACTTCGGTCGGGGTTGAACAAAGAAGAAGAGACGTTTTATGACCGGAAAACTGGTGTTTCTTAGATTATGTTTCACGTACAAATATGACTAGCACAACAACACCTGTTGCATAAGCACACCAGGCGCTCGAAACTTATTTAAATAATTAGTTCGCTGATATAAGCGGACTGAATAACATACGCGATAATAAAAAACAATTGTCGACAAGGTTTTATTACAACAACAAGTTTTAAATTAACAACGTACTGATAACACACATCATAATACAGGGTATATTTTTACGATATACGATTTTAGTTCCGTACGAAAATGAATGAAAAAATATATCAAACACTTCGACATTCCAAACTGTCCGCTAATATACAACTAAATTAATAATAAATACATAAAATAAACAGTTGAACAGTTGTATCATAAAATAAAACTTTGTTCTGTAAAAAGTAATACTGATAATTTTATTATTTTCTTATGGACAATTTTAATTACCTACCGGAAGTTGATGTTTTCACAAATTTTAGAAAAAAAAAATACATATTTAATAATTTTTCAAGATAGCATCATTATATTTTTTTAATGAGAATAAATATATACTAATTTCGTTTTGTACATATGCAATCATCATAACGTACGGAAGTTTCCAAAAACATTCGTGCAAATTTTGAAATGTGGTTGAAGCACTAAACATTGAGAGAATTAAAAAAACTTAAATAAGATATTCCTAAAATAAACGATAAATAGAGACTTGGATATATGTATATTTTTTTTATTTTTCTGAGAGTTAGTCGTTTCAGAATCTTGAAATCAACGTCGTGTTTTACTAAAATCTCAAAAAAGTTTGTTACACTATCCTTGAAGATAAAATCTAAAATTTAATCCTCTAAACTTTTTTAAACAATGCCTTAACACAATTATAGTAGATATACTATCAAACCATAGATAAAAGAGCAAGTTACTCAGTATATTTAAAATGAGACTTACCTAACAATGTTTTAAACAAGTTACGTCACCAGTTTTCGACAAACTGCACATATTTTGTAAAAATATAAATTTTGCTTGACGTTTTACCACCTACACTATAATTTTAAAGTACCTTCAGTAATCGATTCAGCAATTTTACCATTAATAAAATTTGTATACAGAATTCAAATCAAGTGGTCATTTTTTATCCGTTTATAACGTTGAATTCTGAAAATATCCGAATTAAGAATTGAAATTTGTATCAACTTGTGTAAAAAAAACACACACTATTGGGAAAAGTTTTTATTATATAACACACCAAACACAATGTGCATAATTATTCGAATTCAAAATCGGCGCCATCTTCTATCGTTGGCATGCCTGCGTCACATGACACAAACGTCACCCTGCCTCTCCAATCTTCTGTCTCTTTCTTTAGCAACCAAAAAGTAGAAATCCGCTATGGTAAGTAAACACCATTTAAAAATCCGCCCAAATCTAAATCATCCTTATCCATTTTCGCGTTTTTCCATTAAAAACCGCCACCCTGATCCCCGTTTTCATCAATTTCGAGCAACTACAATACCAATTTGTCCACTTTGAGGTTATGGTGTTTTTCAGGTTAACGTTCCAAAACAACGTCGCACTTTTTGCAAAAAGTGCAAAGTGCATAAGCTGCATAAAGTGACCCAGTACAAGAAATCGAAGGAACGTCATGCCTCCCAAGGTAGACGGCGTTACGACAGAAAACAGCAGGGTTTCGGTGGTCAAACTAAACCTATTTTCAGGAAGAAGGTAATTTTTACTTACCTCTGTGAAGGGGCTTTGTTCATTCTGTGTTGTAGGCAAAAACCACCAAGAAAATCGTACTCAGGATGGAATGCACTGAGTGCAAGTACAGAAAGCAGATTCCTTTGAAGCGATGCAAACACTTTGAATTGGGTGGTGACAAGAAGCGTAAGGGTCAAATGATTCAGTTTTAGTTGCGTTAAAGGAATAAATGACTTTTTCTAATTCATCACGTGTTTTATTTTTGAAAAACATTGGATTATTTAACTTAAACATGATCTGTTTGTTCGATGGTTGATTTTGATGGTGCACTAAAAACGCAGCTTTGACTGTAGAATACACAAAGAAATGAAACTTACTCTAAAATGTTTGGGTCAACTCCTTCAGATTGCATTTTCAACTTGACAGCAGCTGGAGGAACCCCGAATTGCAACATCTTGAAAAACTTTTGGTACCTTGGATCTATACTTAAATCAACTTCAACAACGCTCTCTTTTGTTTCCTCTTCATCTTCATCTTTAACAACTGGAAGATTCAACTCTGAATTTGCGTCGTTTTGGGGCAAATTTTCAACTTTTATTTCGTCTTCACCTAAATGCGGCACAGACGCCAACTGTAACAACACTGATTCATTTTGACCACAATTACATTAATTACTAACACACGATACGACAAATAATTGTTTCATACTTACTTGCGACTCGAGAATCAGTAAAGAAGCTTCAACTTCTTGCAATTTGTATTCAAATTCCATTAAACGCGATTCACATGATTGTGCAAAATGGTTTAAAAATGAGACCGTGTTCATAACAAAGTGGTTAATAAAGGCTATCGTGCGCTTTTGTTGTATGGGTAAAATCTATTTGGAGAAGTTAAGAAAAACTTCAATCTTTTTTTTAAGGATTGTATTTGCTTCGAAAGACATACCTGGGTGTAATCCACATTTGGATCAATTGACGTCAGGTCGTTCACTTGCATTATTTAGGAAATGAAAACATTGGGGGATTATTTAGTCATCGCATGGCACCTTACCGGGGAAAAAATTAACACAAGCAAATTCCGCAGTTGCCCCAGTGGTCAATGACCAAATTACCGATGACAGATATGACAGGAAAAAACGAGGTTAGGTGTCACACCGTGACACAACAGAAATTATTTCGTTGAAGAACTAAACTTAAAGTTTAAAGTTACAAAGGCGTTAAAGAACGCTGATGATAACTATTTTTTTTAATTTAATATAGTCGCACCATATTCATATTGTTGGTTGCATAAGTATAACCAGAATTGACAAAATCCGTTATTACCAACTAAAACAAATAAATAAAACTATGATAAAATTTTAATATTTCAACTAAATACAATCCAATTTTCGCTAAACAAATCATGTATTGTCAGCATTTACACTAATATCACTTCATTAACTAAATACATTTTTGGTTTAAAAGATAAGTATTTCAAACTACATGTAATTTAACGAAACATGCAAACTACATAAACAACAAGAATATCGTTATACCTCCAGATTTTTTAATCTCAAACTATCAACTTTCGCCCAGTCCATCCTCGCGAACTTGTAAGGTTCATGCTTGTCTTTAATAATCCAAAACGAATCAATCACAGCCCCCTGCTTATCGTCTGACACTTGTTCCAAATACAAATGACTAGCATTGTACGCCTTTAATCTCGTGTACCCGTAATCTCTACTAATTAAAGCTGACCATGTCGGTCGTGTCGCGTTAAAATCCTCCCTCCCTTCTTTACACCCAGCTGACCCAGTGACCACGTGCACCGGCGCTCCAGGATTTACATATGGATCCTCATATGACCCGTTATACACCTGGTAGTCATAAATAGGCCACAAACGCTCATAAGAATGCTCATGTGCCCATATCTCTAAATCAACACCATAGTCATAGAGTAATTTTTCTAATCCAAAGAAGTGTAAAAACGGCAAACCCACTCGTGTGAGGGTTTCATGGTGAGTACAATCGTCGGTATTAGAGTTACTGCAATACATAGGGCGGTGACCCATCACGACAATCCATGGTTGTTTTTCGCGGTTTTCTGGCAAGTTGGCTTTTGCTAAATCGTTTTCTAACCACTCATACTGAAAAATTAGGGGTTTAATACCGTAGTTGAGAAAATAGTAGACTTCAGTGGAGATTGAGATAACATGCATAGGGCCTATGTTTATACTGTACATGTATGAGCCGGAGCCCCCTGGCATGCTGAAGCGCTCTTTATAGTTGCTGAAGTTACTACAAAACGTCAATAATTAATAATGACAACAACAAAACATTTTTCCTTTTATAACTTACTATTTTTCTTCGTGGTTGCCTGCACACGTCATATATGGTAAATACGCAGCTACTGACTGTATCTGGCGCATAAATGCGTCACCCACCTCTGCGTTCTCCTATAAACAAAAACAATAGCGTCCTTGAGCGATAAACGGCCACTTTATCTCATACCGAGTCCATATCATAGGCAAAATCTCCCACATGTAAAATAGCGTCATAGATCCCCCTTTGTGCCTCTTGTTGCAACCGGGCTAATGATTGGGCATTCTCGTTGCCCATGTCGCCAAAAATGGCTAAATGGGGCTGCCAGTTCGCCTCAGGGGGAGTCTGGAACCAGAATTCGTCCGACCAACCTTGGCTGCTGCCACAATGATACACTGCAATCACAAACAATAAAAACCAACATACTGTCGTCGGATATAGTTACCATAGCGTGAATTATACGTGAGATTCCCTAAGCGCACCGTGTGTATGTACTGAGAGTGTTTTGCATCACCCCCATCCACAAAGAGCTTCGAAGAGCCTTTCGCTGTCAAGATAAAGCCTCCAATTCCATACTCCACCACTGATTCTGTCGTGTCGTTGAATGTGGACCATGTCACCACTATTTCGTTCACGGTATCACCGTAAGCCAGGTGTACTTGCTCGGGTTGATACCAAAAAATTTGGTTATATACGAAGCGGGGATTTATTAACAGGAACACTAAACAGAGGGGCCACATCGTTTCTGATTGTTCGCGTTATCTGGCGATTGCACAAAACTCCGACGTTAGAATTTTATCGGACATTGTTATTAAACATTTTTGACATTTGTGTGACGCACATGTGCAATTTGATAAAAATTGGGATTGCGAGTATCGACTGTTATGTAAAAAACGGCCAATCACGTTGCGGAATCAAGATGACGTTAGAGTGAACGGCCAATAGCGGGGCGAAAATATCACGTGATTTCTAGCGGGAAAGAATTGACAGGAAAACACTTTTGAGTTTTTAAAACTCATTTTTAAGAATTTAACTTTGATCAGTATTTTAACATGTTAAACACACTATTTTTGCTACGACCCTAAGAAGAAAAATGTATATTCTTGTCTTTTTGGTGGAATAAAAATTACAAATCAAACTGGCATCACGAATAAAATGACAAAGAAGTCTGTAGAACATCTTCAATTTAATTAGTGATACCTGGAGTAGGTTGAAAGTTCAACAGATTATAAATCACCTCATCATACACTTTAACGTTACGTGTATTGTTGGTTGCATATATGTATAAAATATTATCAATCTGATGTTTACATCACAGTATATCTTACATTTTTAAATAACGAAAAATAAAAAAATTAAATTTGGACTTCGCAGTCTCTTTCCTACAAACATGATGTCTATTGTTTTTACTTCTCGAGTGTAAGCGAAGGAAGTATTGTAATCGAGTCCATCGATCGACTGGCTACTTTTACGTTTACTCGACCTTTCATGACCCCTAGAGGACGAAGAAATATTTATAAATTTATATTGGGCAGATAATCTCCGAAAGTACATTTTGTATTTTATTTATAACCATTAAGAATATCATGTAAATGACCAAAATTTGTCTAAAATGTCAAAGATATGATGAGTGATTCCATTTACATTTTTTGGATTGACTTATACAAATGACTCAAAAAAATTAATGAAAGCGTGAATGTATTTTATGTGTAATATAACTATTTGCTCTTAAATGTGCAAAGTATGATGAATCTGTAGTGGGCTTTATGAGTTTGTTGAAAAGAGAATTCAATTGTTAATTTTGAATTGGCATTGTTTTTTGGCGTTCAAGATAAAAATTACTTTTTCGTATGTAGTGGGCTTGGTGAGTTTGTTGACAAGAGAATTCAATTATTAATTTTGAATTGGCATTGTTTTTTAACGTTCAAAATAAAAATTACTTTTTCTTTCATTTAAAGAAGAGTATTTTATTGAATAATACTAGAGATAAAACAACAAGTCAATACTTGTGATTTATCACTGCATTAAATTTTTTTGGATTTGCTTATACAGGTGTCTCAAAAAATTAATAATTAAGTCAATTCATTTTATTGTGTAAGCCCGCCCACCCGCCGTGAACCAAAGGGACGGAGCCTAACCGCCAACACGAATTACAGTTCGTCGTCTGAGAACTTGTTTGATCTACAGACCAGAGCGCACTCAGGCCAATGTCGACTCTAAGCGTTTCGTGATCTCATACACATCCTAACCGATTTCGACCATAATTTCTGCTGTTTCGACTTTCGAATTCTCAGTTTTTCAAAATTTTAGTTTGGGGACTTTTCAGTTTACTCCTATTTATTTTTCAGTTTTTGGATTTTACAATTTCTGGGTTTTCAGTTTTTCTCTTCAATTTTACTATTTTTTTATATTTCAATTTTTCAATTTTTGACTTTCGTAAACTCTTTATTTGTCGATTTTTCAATTAATTGATTTTTCAGGTTTTTTGGTTCTTCAATTTTTCTATTTTTTCAGGCTTCGATTTTTCAAATCCAATTTTTCGATTTTTCGATTTCTCAATTTTTCAACTTTTTAATTTCTCAATTTTTGAACGTTTCAGTTTTGGGATTTTTCAATTTCTTTATTATTCAATTTTTCGATCAGGTTGTTGATTTTACAATTGTTCGATTTTTTTAAGGTTTCGATATTTCGACTTCACTTTTTTGATTTTTCGATTTTTCAATTTTTCGATTCTTTAGATTCTCAGTTTTTCGATTCGTCAGTTTTTCTTTCATTTTTCAGTTTTTCGATATTTCAGTTTTGGGATTTGTCAATATTTCTGTTCTTCGACTTTTCCATTTTTGACTTCTGGATTTTTCGATGTGTCGACTTTTTACTTTTTCGATTTCTCGATTTTTCATTTCAGATCTTCCGTATTTAAATTTTTCAAATGTTTCGATTTTTTAATCTTTCGATTTTTCGACTTCTCGGTTTTAGATTTTCTGTTTTTCAATTGTAGTTTTTTCAATTTTTCGATTTTTCAGTTTTTTGATATTTCAATTTTTCAATATTTAAAATTTTAGATTTTTCGATTTCACTTCTTGGATATTTCAGTTTTTCAAGTGTTTGTATACAGTGAATGAATTCTTGGTTTGATTTATGTCTTTGTAAATGTATTCTCTTTTGTTTTATTTTCTATACTGACGATTTCCATACAAATGTATTTGTCTTTCTGGAAATAAAATTATTATTATTATTAAGTTTTCGAATTTTTCAAGTGTTTTGATTTCTTAATCACTCGATTTTTCGATTTCCCGGTTTTAGATTTTCTGTTTTTCAATTGTCGTTTTTTCAAATCTTCAATTTTTCAATTTTTCGATTTTTCAATGTGTTCGATGTTTTGATTTTCTCATTTCTTGACTTTCGAGCGTTTCGATATTCTTCAATTCGTTAATTTTTTTCGATTTTTAAATTTTAGATTTCTCAGTTTTTTGATGTTTTAATTTTTCAATATTTAAAATTTTAGATTTTTCGATTTCTCGATTTTTCATTTCAGTTCTTCGATATTTCCGTTTTTCATGTTTTCGAATTTTTCAAATGTTTTAATTTTTCAAATTTGACATTTAAACTGTCAAATTTTCGATTTTTCGGGTTTTTCATTGTTTATTTTTTAATTTTTTTAAGGTTTCGTTTTGGATGTTTCGATTGCTCAGTTTTTCGACTTTTTAGGTTCTCAGTTTTTGGATATTTCAGGTTTTCCATTTTTCAGTTTTTGGATATCTCAGTTTTGGGATTTTTCGATTTTTGACTCCTGGATTTTTCGATGCGTCTACCTTTTTACTTTTTCGATTTTTCAATTTTTGGATTTCTAAATTTTAGATTTTTTAATTTTTAAAATTTTAGATTTTTCGATTTCTCGATTTTTCAGTTCAATTCTTCGATATTTGAATTTTTTAAGTTTTCGAATTTTGCAAATGTTTCGATTTCTTAATCTTTTGATTTTTCGAATTCCCGGTTTTAGATTTTCTGTTTTTCAATTGTCATTTTGTCAAATTTTAGATTTTTTAATTTTTCAAATTTGACTTTTATGAACTCTCAATTTTTCAATTTTTCAATTAATCGATGTTTTGATTTTCTCATTTCTTGACCTTCGAGTGTTTCGATTTTCTTGTTCTTCAATTCTTTAATTTTCTGATTTTTCAGGTTTTTGATATTTCAATTTTTTGATATTTTAATTTTTCAATATTTAAAATTTTAGATTTTTCTATTCTTCGACTTTTCGATTTTTGACTCCTGGATTTTTCGATGTGTCTACCTTTTTATTTTTTCGATTTTTCAATTTTTGAATTTTTAAATTTTAGATTTTTTAATTTTTAAAATTTTAGATTTTTCGTTTTCTCGATTTTTCAGTTCAATTCTTCGATATTTGAATTTTTTAAGTTTTCGAATTTTGCAAATGTTTCGATTTCTTAATCTTTTGATTTTTCGAATTCCCGGTTTTAGATTTTCTGTTTTTCAATTGTCATTTTGTCAAATTTTAGATTTTTTAATTTTTCAAATTTGACTTTTATAAACTCTCAATTTTTCAATTTTTCAATTAATCGATGTTTTGATTATCTCATTTCTTGACCTTCAAGTGTTTCGATTTTCCTGTTCTTCAATTCTTTAATTTTCTGATTTTTCAGGTTTTTGATATTTCAATTTTTTGATATTTTAATTTTTCAATATTTAAAATTTTAGATTTTTCGTTTTCTCGATTTTTCATTTCAATTTTTCGATATTTCAGTTTTTCAATTTTTCGAATTTTTCAAATGTTTTGATTTCTTAATCAATCGATTTTTCGATTTCCCGGTTTTAGACTTTCTGTTTTTCAATTGTCTTTTTTTTAAATTTTCGATTTTTCGGTTTTTGAATTTTTCAAATTTGACATTTATAAACTGTCAATTTTTCGATTTTTCAATTAATCGATGTTTTGATTTTCTCATTTCTTGACCTTCAAGTGTTTCGATTTTCCTGTTCTTCAATTCTTTAATTTTCTGATTTTTCAGGTTTTTGATATTTCAATTTTTTGATATTTTAATTTTTCAATATTTAAAATTTTAGATTTTTCGATTTCTCGATTTTTCATTTCAATTTTTCGATATTTCAGTTTTTCAATTTTTCGAATTTTTCAAATGTTTTGATTTCTTAATCAATCGATTTTTCGATTTCCCGGTTTTAGACTTTCTGTTTTTCAATTGTCTTTTTTTCAAATTTTCGATTTTTCGGTTTTTGAATTTTTCAAATTTGACATTTATAAACTGTCAATTTTTCGATTTTTCAATTAATCGATGTTTTGATTTTCCCATTTCTTGACTTTCAAGGGTTTCGATATTCCTGTTCTTCAATTTTTTAATGTTTCGATTTTTCAGGTTTTTGATTTTTTAATTTTTGATTTTTTGATTTTTAATTTTTTGATTTTTTATTTTTTGATTTTTTATTTTTTTATTTTTTTATTTTTTATTTTTTGATTTTTTATTTTTTGATTTTTTATTTTTTGATTTTTTATTTTTTGATTTTTTATTTTTTGATTTTAATTTTTTAATTTTTTTAAGGTTTCAATTTTTTGACTGCACTTTTTGGATTTTTCTATTGCTCAATTTTTCGACTTTTTTGGTTCTCAGTTTTTGGATATTTCAGTTTTCGGATTTTTTAAGTTTTCCATTTCTCAGTTTTGGGATTTTTCAATATTTTGATTCTTCGACTTTTCAATTTTTGAATTTTTAAATTTTAGATTTTTTAATTTTTAAAATTTTAGATTTTTCGATTTCTCGATTTTTCAGTTCAATTCTTCGATATTTGAATTTTTTAAGTTTTCGAATTTTGCAAATGTTTCGATTTCTTAATCTTTTGATTTTTCCAATTCCCGGTTTTAGATTTTCTGTTTTTCAATTGTCATTTTGTCAAATTTTAGATTTTTTAATTTTTCAAATTTGACTTTTATGAACTCTCAATTTTTCAATTTTTCAATTAATCGATGTTTTGATTTTCTCATTTCTTGACCTTCGAGTGTTTCGATTTTCCTGTTCTTCAATTCTTTAATTTTCTGATTTTTCAGGTTTTTGATATTTCAATTTTTTGATATTTTAATTTTTCAATATTTAAAATTTTAGATTTTTCTATTCTTCAACTTTTCGATTTTTGACTCCTGGATTTTTCGATGTGTCTACCTTTTTATTTTTTCGATTTTTCAATTTTTGGATTTCTAATTTTAGATATTTTAATTTTTAAAATTTTAGATTTTTCGATTTCTCGATTTTTCAGTTCAATTCTTCGATATTTGAATTTTTTAAGTTTTCGAATTTTGCAAATGTTTCGATTTCTTAATCTTTTGATTTTTCGAATTCCCGGTTTTAGATTTTCTGTTTTTCAATTGTCATTTTGTCAAATTTTAGATTTTTTAATTTTTCAAATTTGACTTTTATGAACTCTCAATTTTTCAATTTTTCAATTAATCGATGTTTTGATTTTCTCATTTCTTGACCTTCGAGTGTTACGATTTTCCTGTTCTTCAATTCTTTAATTTTCTGATTTTTCAGGTTTTTGATATTTCAATTTTTTGATATTTTAATTTTTCAATATTTAAAATTTTAGATTTTTCTATTCTTCGACTTTTCGATTTTTGACTCCTGGATTTTTCGATGTGTCTACCTTTTTATTTTTTCGATTTTTCAATTTTTGGATTTTTAAATTTTAGATTTTTTAATTTTTAAAATTTTAGATTTTTCGATTTCTCGATTTTTCAGTTCAATTCTTCGATATTTGAATTTTTTAAGTTTTCGAATTTTGCAAATGTTTCGATTTCGTAATCTTTTGATTTTTCGAATTCCCAGTTTTAGATTTTCTGTTTTTCAATTGTCATTTTGTCAAATTTTAGATTTTTTAATTTTTCAAATTTGACTTTTATAAACTCTCAATTTTTCGATTTTTCAATTAATCGATGTTTTGATTTTCTCATTTCTTGACCTTCGAGTGTTTCGATTTTCCTGTTCTTCAATTTTTTAATTTTCTGATTTTTCAGGTTTTTGATTTTTCAGTTTTTTGATATTTTAATTTTTCAATATTTAAAATTTTAGATTTTTCGATTTCTCGATTTTTCATTTCAATTTTTCGATATTTCAGTTTTTCAAGTTTTCGAATTTTTCAAATGTTTCGATTTCTTAATCAATCGATTTTTCGAGTTCCCGGTTTTAGATTTACTGTTTTTCAATTGTCTTTTTTTCAAATTTTCGATTTTTCAATTTTTCGATTTTTCAACTAATCGATGTTTTGATTTTCCCATTTCTTGACTTTCGAGGGTTTCGATATTCCTGTTCTTCAATTCTTTAATTTTTTGATTTTTCAGGTTTTTGATTGTTTATTTTTTAATTTTTTTAAGGTTTCAATTTTTCGACTTCACTTTTTGGATTTTTATATTGCTCAATTTTTTGACTTTTTAAATTCTCAGTTTTTGGATATTTCAGTTTTCGTATTTTTCAAGTTTTCCATTTTTCAGTTTTTCTTTAATTTTGCAGTTTTGGAATTCTTCAATATTTTGATTCTTCCACATTTCGATTTTTGGCTTCTGGAGTTTTCGATGTGTGGATTTTTTTACTTTTTCGATTTTTCAATTTTTCGATTGCTTAATCTTTTGATTTTTCGACTTCCCGGTTTTAGATTTTCTGTTTTTCAATTGTCATTTTGTCAAATTTTCGATTTTTTAATATTTCAAATTTGACTTTTATAAACTCTCAAATTTTCGATTTTTCAATTAATCGATGTTTTGATTTTCCCATTTGTTGACCTTCGAGTGTTTCGATTTTCCTGTCCGTCAATTCTTTAATTTTTTGATTTTTCAGTTTTTTGATTTTTTAAGTTTTCTACTTTTCGACTTCACTTTTTTGATTTTTCGATTTTTCAGTTTTAGGATTTGTCAATATTTCAATTCTTCGGCTTTTCTATTTTTGAGTTCTGGGTTTTTCGATGTGTCTACTTTTTAACTTTTTCAATTTTTCAATTTTTGGATTTTTAAATTTTAGATTTTTCAATCTTTTGATATTTTAATTTTTCAATATTTCTTAATCTTTCGATATTTCGACTTCCTGGTTTTTTCAATTTTTCGATGTGTTAATTTTTCATTCCCGATTTATCAAGATTTGATTGTTCAGGTTTTCGATTGATCAGTTTTTTAATTTTTTATTTTGGCCTATTTCGGTTTCTCAGTTTTTCCACTTTTACAATTTTTCAACTTTTAACTTTTTGTTTGTCGATTTCTCTATGTTTCGATTTTTCGACTTCATCACTTTTCGATTTCTCGTTCTTTGCATCTTTCAACCTCTCAATTTTTCGAATTTTTAGGTTTTTTGATTTCTCGATTTATCGAGATTTGGATTTTTCGATATTTTGATTGTCAATTTCTCAATTTATAAACTGTACAATTTTTAACTTTTCGATTTTGGCCTATTTCGGTTTCTCAATTGTTCGACTTTTCGACTCCACGATTTCTTGCGTTTCTGATTTTTCAATGTTTCGGTTTTACGATTTTTTAAGGTTCCTATTAATACTGAACCCGTTTTAAAATAGAACTGAAGCATCAATCTTTAATGTAGCAGATGCAGACAACTTTAAAAACCCGCTAAGAAGTTTTTGACAATCTTGTCAAAAAATGTATGCTCTTTTGAATGAACATTAGCCACCACTCATTACATCCCATGTATGTTGCTAACTGTCAGATTCTATTTATTAACAGCCCCATCAAAATATTTACCTTAACACCAACTGAACAAAGATTTATTACGGAGATTATTTATGACAGCTTGACATTTATTTTTCGCCATGCAAATTAGCAACAGTATGTTCTACACTCATAGTACAAACATACGCAAATTTTTGTAATTAAAAATATTTCACTTAATTGTAAGTGATTGCGTAATCAGGTCAAGTTCAGGTGACGCTGATCGCTATGACTTTTTCCACGAACATATCATTAACCCCATAGGCGTGCACCGCGCGTCCCTGCTGGGCATAACATAAAGAACTACGCAAATTTTGCTCCTTTTTCAATAAAACCAGCTGGACGCTCTCGAAATCACCTTCACAGCTGTGAATTCCCACCACACCTCGACATAAATCGACGTCGTCCTCAACCAAAATAAAAAATACCACAAACTTCGCTCACCATTTGTATTTTGACCTAAAGCCAAAACAAAAAACCGGCGATCTTTCGTCAAAATCCAGCGTCTAATCCGTTCGTTCGCGTTCTTATCATGCACAGGGAGTAAAGTTCGCATGCGCCTCGTGTTGACTTTATAGTGACTGCTTTCCAGACACACTCATTCGAAAATATTGTGTCGACCCGGTCTTTGACTGCAGCGCGAGTGCAGCATTGCGGCCCCACTAAATCCGAAACGTTGTGTCATCACTACACTGTGTAAGTTTGTCTTTTTTTTTTCAATGACGTTTTCATTTGAACAATTACGTAAACCACGAACGTGTATTTTGTTTGTTAATAAATATTTATTACACTAGGATTAAAATGTTCGTGCGTGGATTAACGATCGAATAATTAAAAAAGTCGTGGTTGTTTTGTAGAAAACTGGAAATTTAATTGGTCACGGTCTGATGGATATGGATGCTACAATGACCGCTTTAATTGATTTGTTTTTATTTAATTTTTTAGACAACGTCACGAATCTACAATTCTAATTTTACTGTCAACCGGAGTGAAATGCGGTCTAAAAATACCGCATTTCTGTGTATACTTTCAAAATTGCAAAATGTATTATTGCACAGTGTGTTATTGTTTTTCTCCTTCGACGTTATTACGCAACGAATGTGTCGTGATTCCGATAAAGACAAAGTCCAAAGGAACGATTTAATTTGGAAATGTTCTTTAATAATGTTCAAGTTCGTCGTTTCTAATTAGCCGGCCAACAACAGCGATTGTTACGTTAATAAATTCCAGACTCGAATAACGCTTCAATTTTAATATTTTACCTGAGTCGGCCAATTACTATTATCACATTAAAAGAAAACCGATAAAAAAATAGAAGTTTGACCTTCGTCTCGGACAGACAAAAATGTCAATAAAACGTCCTAGATATCATTGCATCGCCTTTGGTATTAATAACCGTAAAAACTTTTATTTCTAATCTTTTATGTAACGTACGAAGACCGTGACTGGGATTTACGGTCGCGTGACAAAATTTTCGAATTGTGAACATATAATTTGACAACTCTTGTAATAAAAAAAAAACAATAAAACTTGAAAATGTTTACTGTCTTTTACTATTCTAAACGAGTCGTCGCCAATAATAGGCTATGTTTAGCTTTGTTTATAACATTAACGTGGACGTTGTATACGCATATAAATTGAACATATTTCTCCTTTACTCGTAATGATTTCTTTTTGCTGTTTTTTTCTACCTTGAATCTATACGTTGTGCCATGGAGGTGCGACTTTCAAGGTTATACGTTGGCCAATAATTGCACATAATTTTATTTTCCACTTATTATTATTAAAGCGAAGCAAATATTTTTAAATCTTATGTTTACGCTACTTTTTTATCTATCAGAGTATCAAAACAGTGACGATCAGAGCAAGCCTATTTCAAAGGTCGATTTCATACTTCAAAAAATTACGATTTTATGTGTAAAGTACAGACCATTGAAAGTTTTTTGGTGAGATTTTATCCCGCGCTTCTAAACAACTATTGAAGATTAGATAAAAAGTGTAAATTGTTACGATAAACTGAATGGAAACTAGGATTAGTTTTGTAAAGAGTAAACAATGTTCCAAAAGGTTATCACTTGTTGTATGTAACGGTATTTTGTTGTAAAAATAGGACATATTTAAGACAAACACACAAAATTCCAGTATAGTATAGTTATACGAAGAAAGTTAATGCTGCTTATCAAATCAGATAGATTTGATGACAGATTCGTATAAATAAAAGTAGGTTATCTGTACCGAAAATCCAAAAAAATTTGGTCGTTTCAGAACAAATATCTACACAATGTTATTCCGCGTCGTCACAACAAAAACGCTCCTGCGCTCCTCCCAGCACCTCGCCAGCCTCCCAAACAGATGCAGCTACTCCACAAAAGTCGAATACAAACCAATTAGAAGCGTCCTCGTGGCAAACCGAGGCGAAATCGCCATTAGAGTGTTCCGAGCATGCACAGAACTGGGGATCAAATCCGTGGCCATTTACTCCAAAGAAGACAGAGCCCACATCCACCGACTGAAAGCGGACGAAAGTTACTTGGTGGGAGATGGCCTGCCGCCGGTGCAAGCCTATCTCCACATCCCTGAAATAATAAAAATTTGTAAGGACAACGGCATCGATGCAGTCCATCCCGGATACGGGTTTCTTTCAGAGAGGTCCGACTTCGCTCAAGCTGTCATCGATGCCGGGATTAGGTTTATCGGTCCTTCGCCGAAGGTGGTGCACCAGATGGGGGATAAAGTGGCGGCTAGGGAAGCCGCAATCGCTGCAGGTGCGTAAAAATTCCTAGCGACTGCGCCAAAAACATGTTGTTTGTTTAGGGGTTCCTATCGTGCCCGGTACCGATGGCCCCGTCACCACCAAAGAAGAAGCGATGGAATTCTGCGTCAAGCACGGCCTACCCGTCATCTTCAAGGTACACAATCCGCGTTGTCGATAGCGTCTTCATCGATTTGTTCCAGGCGGCGTACGGGGGCGGCGGTCGCGGCATGCGTGTGGTCCGCAAAATGGACGAAGTGGAAGAAAACTTCCAGCGAGCGTCGTCAGAAGCTTTAAGCGCGTTCGGCAACGGCGCCATGTTCATCGAAAAGTTCATCGAACGTCCGCGGCACATTGAAGTACAACTTATGGGTGATAAGGCCGGTAATGTCGTCCATTTGTACGAACGCGACTGCTCGGTCCAGAGAAGGCACCAGAAGGTCGTCGAGATGGCACCCGCGCCCCATCTAGACCTTAAAGTTAGGGACCGAATGACTGATTTGGCTGTGAAATTAGCTAGGCATGTAGGTTACGAGAACGCAGGCACTGTGGAATTTTTATGCGACGAAAAAGGCAATTTTTACTTTATCGAAGTCAACGCTAGGCTGCAAGTTGAACATACCGTCACGGAGGAGATCACCGGGATCGATTTGGTCCAAACACAAATCCGCGTCGCCGAAGGCATGACGTTACCGGAAATGGGGATCACGCAGGATCGCATACGAACCGACGTAAGATCCAGCTTAACAAACCTTGTCGACAGTGACGTATTTCGTTTGTCGCTAGGGTTTCGCCATTCAGTGTCGAGTGACCACAGAAGACCCGGCCAAGAACTTCCAGCCCGACACAGGAAGGATCGAGGTGTTCCGTTCCGGAGAAGGCATGGGGATCCGGTTAGACGGCGCTTCGGCTTTCGCAGGCGCTATCATTTCGCCCTACTACGACTCCCTCTTGGTCAAAGTTATAGCGCAATCCAAAGATCTGCAGTCGTCTTGTGCTAAAATGAATCGAGCCCTGAGAGAGTTCAGGGTTCGTGGAGTCAAAACTAACATTCCGTTCCTTTTGAATGTTCTGGAGAACCAGAAGTTCTTGAACGGGTCCGTCGATACGTACTTCATCGACGAGCATCCGCAACTTTTCAATTTTGCTCCTACTCAGAACAGGGCTCAAAAGTTGTTGAATTACTTGGGGCAGGTGTTGGTCAACGGGCCACAAACACCGTTAGCCACTCCTAACAAGCCTGCGGATATTAAACCCCACTTGCCGGAGGTATCTCAAGGTAAAAATCGACCTCATCACCAACCTCTCATTTTTAATAATTGTGTAAAGTCGGACCGGTTTTTAATGATTGTGTTAGCCGTCTTGAAGTATTTTGACGTTAGCTTCGTACCACAGTACGAGGAGGTGGACGCGATGACAAAAACTTCAATAACAAAAATTTGTATGTTCGCACCAAGTTCACCTTTTCGTACTTTAGCGTTACCTACCTTTAATTTTGACTTGGTTTGTCTTCCGTTATTAATTGGCATGCTTTTTTGTTTTTTGTTTGACAGAATACCTGGCCAGCACCCCTCAACAAACTCCAAGTAAAGTATTTTTTCACATTATTTTATACCTTTCATTAACAGTCACAGTATTCTCCCTCAATGTATGTACTTGCACCTTTTAACGCCACTCTTTTGCGAATTCGACAGAAGTGCAGCCGCCCAAAGGGTTCCGCGAGATTTATAAGCAACAAGGTCCGGAAGCTTTCGCAAAAGCCGTGAGGAACCACAAAGGTCTCCTATTGATGGACACGACGTACCGCGACGCCCATCAATCTCTGTTAGCCACAAGAGTCCGTTCGCACGATCTCCTGAATATCTCGCCGTTCGTTACGCACAATTTCAGTCAGTTGTACTCGCTGGAGAACTGGGGTGGGGCAACTTTCGATGTCGCCTTGAGGTTTTTGCACGAGTGCCCATGGGAAAGATTAGAGGATATGAGAAAATTGATTCCCAATATTCCTTTCCAGATGTTGCTTAGAGGGGCGAACGCTGTGGGCTACACGAATTATCCAGATAACGTCGTGTTTAAGTTCTGCGAGTTAGCGGTAAGTTGGGTTTCGGGGCATCAGCTGGAATTGAACGCTTGTCCTAGGTCCAAACCGGAATGGACATTTTCCGCGTGTTCGACTCTTTGAATTACCTTCCGAACTTGATCGTGGGGCTGGAAGCGGCAGGCAAAGCGGGCGGGATCGTGGAGGCGGCGATTTCGTACTCTGGGGACGTGAGCAACCCCAAAAAAACCAAATATGATTTGAAATATTACTTGAACATAGCTGAAGAGCTGGTAAAGGCGGGAACGCACGTCTTGGCCATCAAAGACATGGCCGGACTGCTTAAACCGGCAGCTGGAAGGTAAGCGTCTAACCGATTTCGTTAATTTCGTACATTCCATGTATTTTAGGATGTTGGTAAGCGCTCTCCGCGACAAATATCCTGACCTTCCGATTCATATCCATACGCACGACACGAGTGGCGCTGGTGTCGCTTCTATGCTAGCATGCGCTGAAGCCGGAGCTGACGTCGTCGACGTCGCCGTCGATTCCATGTCGGGTCTTACTAGCCAACCCAGCATGGGTGCGGTCGTGGCCAGCCTCCAAGGAACACCGCTCGACACAAACTTGGATCTGTCCAAAGTTTCGGAATACTCGGCATACTGGGAACAAACCCGAACCCTGTACGCACCTTTCGAGTGTACCACGACCATGAAATCCGGGAACGCGGACGTCTACAACAACGAAATCCCCGGCGGACAATACACCAACCTCCAGTTCCAAGCCTACTCGCTAGGTGGGTACCAAGTTTCTTAAACTTTCGTAACCGTACGGGTTTTAGGTCTGGGCGACTTCTTCGAAGACGTGAAGAAGGCGTACGCCGAAGCCAATATCCTCCTAGGTGATATTATCAAAGTCACACCATCGTCCAAAGTCGTGGGCGACTTAGCTCAGTTCATGGTCCAGAACAAACTCACGTCAGACGACGTTTTGAACAAAGCCGAAGAATTATCTTTCCCTAAGTCAGTAGTGGAGTATTTGCAAGGTCACATCGGACAACCCTATGGCGGTTTCCCCGAACCTCTACGCTCCAAGGTCTTACGAGACATGCCTAGGATCGAAGGGCGTCCCGGGGCATCTCTAGCACCACTAGATTTTGACAAACTGAGCAACGATATCAGGGAAACTTTCCCTCACGCGACTGATCGGGATGTCATGTCTGCCGCGCTGTATCCACAAGTCACGAACGAATTCCTAACGTTCAAAGAACAGTACGGACCTGTGGATAAATTAGACACGCGGATTTTCCTAGTGGGGCCTAAGGTTGGCGAAGAGTTTGAAGTAACGATCGAAAAAGGGAAGACTCTAGGTATCAAGACTCTCGCGATGGCCGAAGATTTAACCGAAAACGGAGAAAGAGAAGTCTTTTTTGAACTGAACGGTACTCTTCGGTCGGTACTTATCAGAGACAAGGATGCCGGGAAGGAGATACACGTGCATCCCAAGGCCGATAAAGCCGATAAGAAACAAGTGGGTGCGCCTATGCCCGGTACTGTGATCGATATTAGAATCAAAGTTGGCGAAAAAGTCGAGAAAGGTACGCCTTTAGTGATCCTCTCGGCTATGAAAATGGAAACCGTGGTCCAGAGTCCCGTCGCTGGTATCGTAAAAACTCTAGATGTCAATATGGGAATGAAACTCGAGGCTGAAGACTTGATGATCACCGTTGAATAAATACTAGGTACTTTGGTGTTTAGGCTGTGTCACGTCATGTACAAAAGAGCTATTTTTACTTGTTTTTCGATTATATTTTTGAGATGTTCCCGGAATTATTTATTGTTACATCCCCTTTGTTGATCTTGTTATTTTGTTACTCGACTTTTATTAATAAATTCACTTATTTTTTATTCTGGCTTTATTCGATGAATGACGCTAGAAATACGGTGTGAAGGCAGTAAATAATGGAAACTGTAATGGAGCACATAAATCTATTCTGACATAAACTTCATAGTAAACACATGTAATACATAGATGAGTAAGAATAGTGTACAAGTAAAATTATTCATGGTTAAAAGGCACGACTTGGAAAAATACAAAATGCTGAAGTTCGTATTAACGATACTCACTAATCGAAATAAATGGAATGTTATTTGTCTCAAAAAATGATGAGAAGTCGTACATAAATAGGCTCGCTTACACTAATACTGCGTGATCGAAAAAGCTGGACACGTCAGTCCGCTGACGCCACGAGCCCGAGTTTGTTCGATCACACCGCCTAACAAAAATCAACAAAACGAAAACTTCGCCGAAATACTTTTGAGCACTTGTTATACAAACAAATAAGTACTAACATACAAAACAAGATTCAACCGAAAAAAAACTGTACATTTTTGTAAAAAAAAAGAGTCATAAACAAACCCTAAATAGACTAAATAGGCCGTTTTTGAGTATATTTTATGGAGTACAGTACCTAACGAGGGAAATAATTTTTACTACATCTATCGCACAACTTACCCTCCTTATCTTCGTCGACAATTAACTAATTCCCTCATTACTTCCACAATAAGGAAGAGTAAGTCTGACCTAACAATTGTCTATACTACATGTTCAACAACCAGTTATATTAACAATTAGTAGCAACAAACACTAGTCAGCAACATCGAAGATTCAATAGCGGTTCAGATAAAGCATCTGTCTTCCGTAATGTGTGTAATAACAAAATAAGGTAGGTTTTTGATGGTTCAGGCCGTTTTTCTCATGCTTGACATGCACAAAACAAAAAAATTTAACTCCTGTAAAGTAGTCATGGAAGAGCGGGATTCGGGGAAGTGTGCACCCATTTGTCTTAACGAGCACGACAAAAAATCGACAGGTTGCGCAATTTATTAGGATTGGTAATGATTTGATCGATAATGCTGCACCGAGTGCTGTACATAAGATAACACATGAAGGAAGCCTATGAAAATAACTTTGTCGAATTATCCACCACATAAATATCACAAAGTTAGTTAAGAAAATATCGCCGGGAGTACTCGAAACGTTTTTTCGGCGAGAAGAGCACCTAATATAGAAATTTAACGAGTACCGAGCTGAAATGAAGTCACGTTATTTTAAAAATGAGGTTAAGTTGTGTACTTTGAGAATTTGGCATAACCGCAATCATACGCTACGATCTGGTTGTTTTCTACAGCTTCCCGTGAGCATAAATTCACTCATGAGAAAAAAAGTTTCGAGTTTAACTTAACTATACAAATGACTAGAAATATAAAACCCGCTGTGATACCAAAGTTAAAAAATAAACAATCTCTAAAATAAAATATATGAAAACTTAAAATTTTATAAATAACATATCTACGATTCTCGATCTTTATATTATAATGACTGAAACTGATGAAAATTGTAAAGAAAGTGGCACATGGCTGCGTTATTATAATAATTAGTCAAAACTGGTTGTTTATTAGTGGAACTCAAACAATTTTCACTACTAAAATCGCCTTAATTGAGCAAACGTGAAACTAAACAAACAACCATAACAATTAGCCGTCGACTTGTTTCCTGTTAATTAACAAAACTGGAAATAACTACATTGCATGTACCTACTTCAAAATATTAAACAAAACTTTGAACTACTTGATATTACAGTCCGAAAAAAAGTCGAGTTTAGGTGGGTATGAAATACAAAACGTCCTGTAAATTTCCGATTTGTGCCACTTTCTCTCTATCATTAGGGGTGGTTGAGGTTAGACACAAGATATCTACAACAAAACCGAATTTGATAAATAAAACGAACGGTAGACTGGCGTTACGTTGCAACTTAACAATAAATTCATTTATCACTTTAAACGCTCTAATATTACTTTTCTCTAATACCTACTATCACAATAAACGATAAACATCAATACAGACTATAATTATTATAGTAACAAGACCAAAGGACTGTAGCACTTAAAAACATCTGGGCCACCTTAACATTTTGATTGTCGAGAGTATCAAAGAAGTATTCGTTAAATAAATTACGACAATATTCATAAATATTGCACTTTGCTTACTTTACAACTAGAGATTCTCATTTTTGAAGGTTCTCTTCAGGTAACTCACAGTAAGACTTGGAAAAAAGAATGTGTGTTTTTTTTTAAGATAACAGTCACGGAACTCCGCTGCTTTCAGATTCCACCCTCGCCATCCGCGTCTCGAACTCTTTCAAAAGGGCAATTTTCGCCTGCAATTCACAACCACTGCTCACTCACTGCACTCCGATGACGTAATTCAAAACATAAATCTATTCGCCCAAAGTCGCAGCTTAATTGAGAAGCCCAACTACCCCAGGGAACGTTAGAACTGTAAGATAACGTCTCCTGTGGTAGCTAGTCCCATCCACTTACCTTATTCCTACTCTCCGCTAAGGCATCTTTGACCGCCTCGTGCTGCCTCTGCAGGTCCTCGATCCGGCTCTCGAAAATCTGCCCCAGCTTGCCCCTCTCCGACACCCCCCGCCCTACGACCGCCGTCACCGCCTCCCTCTTCACTCGCGTGAACTGCTCCCTGTTCCTGTGTTTCTTCGCCAACGCTTTGACTTCCTCGCGGTGGTCAGCCTGCAACCGCCGCATCAAGTCAGCGGTCTCCCGTTCGAATTGATCTCGCAGCGTCTTCAGCTGGTTGTTCTGCGATATTCTCATGACTTTCTCCGCAGTGTTGTAGATGAGCTCGTGGTACTTCTCCCGCAGCTCCTTCTCTTGCGAAACGAATTCGCGGTTGACGTGCAGCAGCCGCTCGGAGTGGCTCCTGGGGAGGGAGGGCTTGTCGCTCTCGCCGCTGCTCGTCTCGGGGCCGTCAGCCACGCTCGTGAGAGGCTCGGCGCTGGGTGATTCCGTCGAAAAGACGCCGCTCACGCTGCAAATTTGGCACGATTGACGTTTCGAAGAGAAGAGGGAGAACGATGGGGGAAAGTTTGAATTAGAAAATGAGGATAAGAAGAGCATGCCAGACTAAGTAGATTTACTATGAGCGATGATTGCAGGTTATGAATGTTTACGATTTATTTTTTCGACAACGTCAAGTGGACAATGGTGCACTACGTATCGCTACATCCGATACTTCAATTAAACAATATTGTCACAGTTAATTATAATAATTACTATGTTACACAAAGCGTCCCAAATATATTTCTGTTTTGTCTAAACATAAATACATGCACGACATCATTCGTTCTTCCCAGTGGCAGTGCTAGAGAGGAGAGGCAGCATACTTAGTATTTCAAGTTTTTCGTACTTGGTAATTGTTTTTTTTTTGACGTAGACGTGTTTATTAGTGTTTTATTTAGTTTCGTTGTTACGTTATGCAGGATGTTATCGACATACACACACGTATATGTACATATATTTGATAAAAAAAACTAAACATTAAAAACTGATGACGTAATTGTTAGTTTACACGTGTGCACGCCCCCTCCAGTCGTAAAGCTCGCGTTGTCACTGCCTAGACCTCGTATTCCCCCAAGAAACAATTGAAACTGTTATTGCAAAATTATCACATTTGAAGATATGTCGCCCCTCTTTTTGTTCTTAACTTAATCCTGCTTAAGTCTATACAAATTGTTTCTTGGGCCTTCCACAGAGCCAGCTCAAACGTCTACCCAACTAAAAACAGAACGCTACTCTTCTTATCATGTGCAAGTCGTTCGTGCATGCCTTAGTAGCAGTGTTGTCACATCTCTTCACATGACACCAAAACTCACCATACAGTGCAAAGGCCCCACATACCAGTTGGTTGTTCAGAACAACTGGTCTGGTTCTCCGCCCTTTAAAACGTTACAACTTGTAACATAGTAACTATTATCTGCTCAAATATCACTACTTTATCCCCCAACCCTTCCCCTTCTCCAGTTCAAGCCACTACAAGACCTTAAAACGAAAAACACTTACATGTTCTTGCTCGACAACCTCTTAACCAGCTTCATATGTATCAGTCTCGATCTCTTCTCGGAGAAGTCCCCGGACTTCTGCGACTGCAGCGTCATCTTCTTCTTCTCGTGCTTCTTCCGCAGCGTCTCCAGTTTCTTGTCCAACTCCATCCTCTTCTCCTTGACTAACTTATTGTCTAGAATCTTATCTACAGGTTCGGCGACTAGTTCCTCGAACTTCTCCTCCTTCGCCTCCGCCGTCTTGCTAACCGAGTTGGACTCGTTCGTCGTGTTCTTTTCCACGCTGGTGGCGGTGACTTGCGCTTCGCTGTCGGAAGCTACTTCCACGGAGGCGGCCCCCGTCGCCGCCAGCGGCCTCTGGACGGGGCTGCCGTTGCTGGTCTGCTCCTTCGATACTTTCGTCAGGCTGTTTTTCTTCTGTTCGTCGCCGTCGCTCGGCTCCATGTCGTCGGTGAGCACGGCCAGCTGCTGCGCTCGCTTCTCGAGGTCGCTTTGGTACTTGATCGGGTTAGCCAAGGCCTCGGCGAAGTCGGAGAGTCCGTCGGGGACGTAGTCTTTCACCACGATTTGCACGAAGACGGTGGCCAGAGGGAGCGGCTGCCCGAGTTCCGTGCGCAGGTTGACGTGCCGGTAGCCGGGACACAGCCCCACGACGGGGAGGAAGCGATGGCCGATGAACCTGCCGGATTCTTCGTAGGCGGCTATCCGAATCGAGGCTAGGTCGGGAAGGACCACCTGCGACGGAAGACTTAAGTCGCGCGTGCGCACTCAACTGAAAATTTACCTTCTTGAAGACGAACGGCTCCTCCTCGTACACCGGATTGATGCCGTTGCTCGGTACCGTCTTCGTCCGGAACCTCTTCCTTACCGTGTCCGCCGGTAGGCCATACATCTCCACCTCAACGTAAGTCCCTACTCTCTTGTCAGTCAGGAATTGTCCAGATATCACAGTAACTTTGACTGTACCAGCGATGATACCGTCAACCGTCGATTCAGCGAACGGATAGAACCGTCTATCCGTCCTTCGCATGAACTCGGGCTTGAGCAAATAACCGCACCGGAAGTTGTACTCGAAAATGCCGAGGTTGAGTTGCATGGCCAAGTCCAAAGTCTGGAAGTTCAACGCGACCAACTGACATCCGGCGTTCCAGAAAACCTGCGGCATGAAGTTGGACGAGTCGAAGCGCGTCCCAGACGGGTACACGCGGCTCAGCTGGTGCTTGTTGTAGTTGACGAACTGCACAGGGTACTCCTTGAGCAAGCTCGTCGCCTGCTTTTCGTCGAAGGACGACATCTCGTAGCTGCGGTTCTTCTCTAACGACAAAAACGGAACGTGTTCAATCGGTTTTTGGATACTTAGACTAAAGAGAACATATCAATTAAACCAAACTCGAATCGTCGTGCCCTATTTTCACCTATTGTGTCAAAAATGTTATCTTACATCTTCATTTTCCAAGTTTAAATGAGCGATTACAATGTACCAAGAACAAAAGGTGCAGACTCGACTCACTTTTCGCGTTTTCAAAGCTGTAGAAATGTACGGGCTGCACATAATTCACCAGAGCCGATATCTCTGCCCCCGCTTCGGTCTCGGTGGCGGCAGCGGCGGCAGGTTTATGGTCGCTTCCCTCGTTCGCCGCTTCCGTCGGATTATCAGCTTCCAGTGTTTCGCCGTCGTCATCGCTCGATGTATCCTCATCCTCCGTGCCGGTGGAATCTTTAGAACCCTTTTAATAAATAAAGAAATCAATATAAACACAACACGTTGATGTTTTATTCAAAATACTTGTCTCGTTTGTAACGGTGGAGGGTGATGGGGTACGTCACCGTTTCCTGTCGGCTCAGAAAAAGCCGCTTCCGGCGGTTGCACCGTACTACTCTTTTTGTGATGGTGGTGGTGGTGATGATGATGGTGGTGTTTTTTTTTATTCTTGATAATGATCTTCCTTTTCAAAACCGAAGGTGGAGGCAAGGGCTGACCTAAAAAACGGATGACCAATTGAAACGACACGTCGTGACGTGTCTCGTCGCGATTGGACACGTTTTAAGTAGGCAAAGCGCTAAGCACTCAGTCGTTCAATTCGCTATTTAAATCTGGACGTTGTTAATAGAGACATCGCACGCACCATATCACGGTTCTAATTACACATGCAAAAATGCGTAAACACGGCTATTGCATGTAAACGACCGCATTACCTGGTTCGAGTTTGAACCCCTCCAAGGGCGCCTCCAACAGCATATCTCCGAAAATCTCTCTGCAATAATTGGCGATTTTGGCTTGCTGCCTCGGATTGCAGTGGTTCTCGAACGACAAAACCACCGGAAAATCCGAGGTCTTGAAAGCGCTCTCCGCGATAGCCTCCAACACTTCTTTGGCGGAAATTTCCGGCACGAACGTGTACCCGTGCACGATAATGGGTTCCTCTCTCCCGTTCCAGAAATCCAGTTCGACGCACCTAAAAACACCTCCATTAAATTTATTATAAACACCTGACGAAACTCTCAACAGACCGACATCCGGCTAATAAACACTGCCTGTACATTTCGGTACTAGACTTGCCGGTTAATTGATGACCGGTTAAATACGTATTGTGCGATGAATTTATAAAATAGTGTGCCAAAGGATGATCCATTTCGTCGCAGAGCTCGTATTTACTCTGCGCTATTATATTGTTGTCTTCCGACATGAGGTATCGCAGGAATCCGTCGATCGACAACTGGCCTTTTTGAGCATTGTACTTGTTGGGTTCATATTGGGCGATAATGTCTTTGGCTCGCGTCGTGTTAGCGTAAGGGTGTAGGATTTCGTTCAAGCGAGGATCTCGTTGAGTTTTGTTTAGAAAGTCGACAAACTGTGCGGCTGTCATGTGCTTCTTCGAACCGACGCTGAAAAAAACAAGCTCGTGAAGAAGCTGAAAAGTTCGTCACGTGGCTATCGAACATACATGTCATTGAAGACCTTTTCGATTTCGCTGCGCTGCGTCAGGTTCTTGTAAAAATTGAAAAAATCTTCGAATTGGAACTTTTCGGGGCTTATCGTGTCATTTTTGCCGTACGGTAACCCAGTCGTTTGTAGAACCGTTTCGATTCGTCTTTTGTCATCTCTGCTCTGAGCAAACATTTTGATAATGCTGAAAGAAGATTTATTCACTACGGGTTCGCAACACAATTGCGACAAGCCGTTTTTTTTTTAACAAAATTAAAACGGCTTGTCTCATCAAACCGCATACTTTTTAATCGGAATTTTGCCAGCCTTGTCCGTTATGAGTACGAGCTTCGTGTACGCCTTCAGAAGATACATGTTAGTTGTGCCATTGATTTGGTTGAGATTATACGCCAGACTCATCAGCGAGTCCGTCCACAGTCTCGCAATTTCTTTCCTCGTACAACAAAAATTTACAAAATTAATATTCACAAAGTCATTGGCACAACATACAGTCACTGTTTTCTCTTCTAACGTATCTTGCGACCCCATCGTCACGATCTGCCTTAACTTGGGGTCCTGAAAGCATCATTTCATTTCCAGTTTCTGCCGATTTAGTCGAGCTTTTGTATTAACAACCACGTGCCAAGTGACTTTCGACGAGTCGATCGCTTGTAATAAAAAAATCTAAACCCAAAGCAACTGATCGGAAGTCATCGGGCTGTTCTTCACTAATAATTACACCAAACTACCTTTGGAATTTTCGCATAGCGACCCGTCCTGGTATCCCTGACGGTGACGATGTCCAGAAGGTCCATCTCGTGGTTCTGGTCCACCCAGTAGATGTAGAAGCCGTGTTTGTCCACGCGTAGGGTAACCGGCGTTCCCACTCCTGAATCCTGGAACATTTTTTTTCCGTTGGCGCCGGTTCAATTCTAATTGACTGGTGTATGTGTACATTAGAACAAAGTAATGGATGACGTTGATGGAAGTAAAAAAAGAACAAAGTGTTGGGTTACGGCTACCGGAATTTGGTAGCTGGGCACATTTGTTAACAGGGAGGTTGTTACAGAGTGAATAAATCTGGAAGGTATTTGTGGAGCGCGTTCAGTAGGTGGACTTTATGTTAGTCCACGTGGGAATAATAGCAATATAACACTTTTAAATGAAGTTCCTGTTGTACGTAAAATTAGGTGCCTACGAACAAGTATATTTTGTAAATGTGTAATCAAAGCTGAAGTTTGACAGATTTGTAACGGCGATATTTTACGGTCTACGAACGATAATAGTAATTTGGAGCTATTTTCTAAACAATTCGCGCAGAGGCTTAGCGGGAGGTTTTAAGAAGCAGAGGTTAAAACAAAATAAACAGAAAAATACGCCACGTTTTATTTTTTACAATAATATCTACCGTTTGCATAAATAAATGTTGTTGTTTACTCAAAATTACTTATCGAGCGTTATCTTAAATAAATAATCGATTATTAACTAGTTAACAAATTAATAAACAATTAAACAACATTACTAATTTCTTATCGCCATCTCTAAGGCAAATAAGGTAATTTGAAAGCGAATGACTTTCTCTTTCGGGAATACAGAAGAATTCCATTCACACCGATATTAATTATTAGTTTAAAAAAAAAAACACCAACTGTCTGGAAGTTGCTACATTTACGTTTAAAAGCTCAATAAAAATTGTACATCGGATAATTCTTTAAAGTCCAAACAGACGTAGCTCCTGTTTAATTAAAACTTCTGAGATGTACCAATCTTTTCTGACGAGAAATGCAACAATAACACACGGAAAAGTTAAATCTGCACTTCTACGTAGATAATCTGATCTCGGCTGCTACATCCCAGTCCTCACAAAATAAAAACTTTACGACATCCTGTTTATGTATTTTGAATTAACTCTATCATCCCTCTGATAACGAGTTTCTAAAACTTTATCCCGTTTTATCTTTTATCACTGCCCTGACCTCTTTTAGGAAATATTTAGTAGAAACCGCACTGTTCTAATTAACCGGGTAATTTGGTATTAGATAAACCTTGATTAAGGATTTTATTCTTATTAAACACTGGCAGGTAGAGGTTTAGCCTAAAATTTAACAAACCTGTGAGTATAAATGGCAAGCGATATTTCTTTGTCCAGATTTATTTCTTTTTTTAGATCCACTAAATTGGAGGGATTTAACATGCACGCGAATAAAAATCTGATAACATTTTCGGCGTGACAGTTGGCAGAATAACAAGGTCAATTGTGTTGATAATGTTTTAATCTATACTGTTGATACTATTTTTATGGCGATTTTGTATTATTAGAACCAGAATCTACAGCTTTGCGAAAAGAAACATAATTATAAATAACACTGCGTTTAAATATCAAGAGAAAAAAACATGACAATACAAGTTATTCCGTCTTTTCTCTGAAACATCGATTCTCAAAAATGTGAATAAACAAACACCATACACGAAATAGAACAAGATTTCTTTATTTTAAAAACGCAGACAAATTGCCCAGGTTCTGTTTTCGGTTTTCCACCATAATCGTGAAATTAAGTAATCTGCTGAGCGAAATCTGAAGGATAAATTGACCCGTTAAAAAGAAATTTCATCAACGTTAACCCATCAAACAAGAATCGCAGACAGACGGAAATGCAACATACTTTTCAGCCAGAAATAACTTCATGATTATACAATTTTTCTTTTGGCACGCATCTAAAACATATCCAATTTGAAACATAAACCCTTCTATTTATTTATTTTTTAGAAAAGTGAGTATATTTGGCGCGGCCATTTCTTGTTGAAATCGCACAGCTCTAACATCCAAGAACCTATTGTCTAATAATGAGTCACATTAAAAACCACCTGTACCTGAACCGACACAACCGGAATATAAATTTTCACGCTTTCTTTTTCGACGGGCCACTTTCCCGGAGCCCCGAGTTTAGGGTGTGGTGTTACCAGTGGCGGAGTCTTACACTACCCTGGAGCCCCCACAAGAGTCTAGTTTGCGAGCGTGAGGCTGTTTATACAAAATTCACCAGAGCAAAAAGTTCTAACATTCTCTGACATGAAAGATAACGTAACGAATTAAAAAAAATAGAAAAACTTTTTTCGAAAAGGTACAAAAATATTTTTGTGTTCTATCAGTGTCCCAATATGATCCTGAAAATGAAAACACATCCCCAAGTATGTTTCAATTAAAATTTTTGAACAAAACTAGATAATTAGAAATATATGTACACCTTGAAGGATAGCCAAGAGCGATATTGTAATTTCAACGAATTTCAAGTTTTTGAAAGTTTTTCTTTGCACGAATGTTGTGTTCGTTGGTTTTCTTGTAAAATATGATGAAAAATCGGTAAAAACCAAAGAGCCAAAGACAATTTTTTCACTGTTTATTAAAATTATCTTGACAATTTTCAAAAAATAATGAACGATAGGTAGATAACCCGTCAAAATCTGAAAAATGTCAAGATAATATACTTTTTTCATCCAAGAATAAGTTTCTTGTGCCAACTGTTGTAAAACTGGTACGTGTAGTGTCTTGAAGGAGTTCAAAATATGACTTGTTTAGTTTCTTGGTCCCTTGGAGAACTTTAAGTCGCTTTCCGGTATATATTGCTTTTTTCAAACACAGTAATCACGGGAAATAGCAATAGTAGATACATATTAGATGAATAAAATCGGTGTAACTTGGTGATTCCTTGGCTGTGTGTAGGTATTAACTTGTTATCTCAAAGCTGTCATTACACATAGTACTTTTTCATGTTTCTTAATCTCCAAACATCTACAAGCAAACCTCTATAATCAACCCAGAGACCCATAATAACACCGAATCAACATCTTTTGATAATTTCATCCGTCCCACCCACACCCTCGCCCATCCCGCCGCGCCGCCTCTGGTGTTTACCACCCTTTGGCAATGGTAGGCGCCCCGTCTCACCTCATCCCACTTGATGAACTTCTCTCCGTTCTGCAGGGCCTGGGGCACCTCGATGGCTTTGAGGGAGACAGCGTTGGTCGGAGCGGGTGCCGCTCCGGCCCTGCCTCCCGGAGCAGCCGACATCGCGAGGGTCTCTTCAGCACAGCATCGCACTGACACTACCACAGCACTTTCCGACGACAAAGACTGGAAGAGCGCTCAGCGCTGCTTCATCCTAGTCCGCACCTGGACGCGACCGGAGGATTGCGTACGCGGTTCCGGTTAGGTGGACGGGGTGGATGGGCTCGTCCGGCGGAGGTCTGTCTGGCTCACCATCTCGTTCGGACTAGATTATTCGACGATTTTGCATCGAAGTTGCACTTGCCTATCTTCTTGTTGCTACTGCTGCTGTTTGCCTGTTACCAGGTCTGCTGGCAGCGGCGCATGACGGAGTGGCCCGATTTGGGTCAACAACCAGCGGCAAAGGAGGAGGTTCGGTGTTGGTCTGAGCTGGGCAGGGTAGGCAGCGGAGATGGGTGCGACTATTGATGGATAGAGGGCGCTGAACATTAGCAAAGAAATCTTCTCAATGTTTTTGGAATTTTCGTTCTAGAACGTTTGAGGAAGCAAAGATGACATATTTTTCTTTGTCACACCAGAGAACATAGAGAAGCGTCATAGTTTAAATTAAATGACGGTTGAGGACTCCTCGACTTATGTTGGCAACACTGTTTGTGGTAAAATTTTACAAAGAGCACTTCTCGATTTCGTACAAACTGTTTGCACAGAACTCTTCTACAGGACCCCCTGATCACGTTCCTCACCTTCAAATGTTGTGGAAATGCTTACTTTTGCCACAAAAAAATTGTTAAATTTCCCATTTGCACACTCTTCAATGGGAAGTCGTTTAGAACATAACCTAACTTTTTATAGTCAACAACACTGGTAGGTGTAATATCGGGTTTGTAGTGGAGGCAGGGCGCTTCGCGCCCTGCACCCCATTACAAACATACCCCTAAACGTGGCACTTCTTGCTCCGTGGATCATTTAGTTTTTGGAATTCGTGCGAGTTCAACTGTGTGTGTAGTTGGTTGCCTACATGCGGCGCAACTAATAGTGTGCAAACCATAGGGCGAACACTAAATTTTTTTTTTCTGACACTAGGAAGCATTTCCACAACTTTTGGAGGTAAGGAACGTAATCAGGGGGTCCTGTAGAAGACTTCTGTGCAAACAGTTTGTGCGAAATCGAGAAGTGCTCTTTGTAAAATTTGACCCTGTTTGTTTCTAACTAGGAATAAAATTAACTACAATAGAAAAAATGTCATAATATTTTTAACGAGGCGTTTTACTTTCGACAAATTGACACCGGACTTACCAGAATATCACAAGCTGCTTATTGTTTCCTTCACTTTAATTCAGGTCACACGAATTACAGTTCGTCGTCTGAGAACTTGTTTGATCTACAAACCAGAGCGCACTCAGGCCAATCTCGACTCTAAGCGTTCGGAAACGATTTGATTTATAAGCCATGATCCGTGATCTGATACACATCCTAACCGGTTTCGACCATAATTTCTTGCTGTTTCAACTTTGGAATTTTCAATTTTTCGAAATTTTAGTTTGGGGACTTTTCGGTTTATTCCTATTTATTATTCAATGTTTGAATTTTATAATTTGTCAATTTTTCAATTTCTCGGTTTTCAGTTTTTCTCTTCAATTTTACGATTTTTAAATATTTCGATCTTTCAATTTTTGACTTTTATAAACCCTTTATTTGTCGATTTTTCAATTGATTGATTTTTCAAGTTTTTTAGTTTTTCAATTTTTCTATTTTTTTTGGTTTCAATTTTTCAACTTCACTTTTTGATTTTTCGATTTCTCAATTTTTAAATTTTTTAATTTCGCAGTTTTAGGATATTTCAGTTTTGGGATTTTTCAGTTTACTTATTATTCAATTTTTCGTTTTTACGATTTTGCAGGTTTTAGATTTTTCAATTTTTCGATTTCTTTAAGGTTTCGATATTTGGACTTCACTTTTTTGATTTTTCGATTTCTCAATTTTTCGATTCTTTAGGTTCTCAGTTTTTGGATATTTCAGTTTTGGCATTTTTCAGTTTTTCGATTCGTCAGTTTCTTTTCATTTTTCAGTTTTGGGATTTTTCAATATTTCTGTTCTTCGACTTTTCCATTTTTGACTTCTGGATTTTTCGATGTGTCGACTTTTTACTTTTTCGATTTTTTAGTATTTTAATTTTTCAATATTTAAAATTTTAGTTTTTTCGATTTCTCGATTTTTCATTTCAGCTCTTCCATATTTCAATCTTTCAAATGTTTCGATTTCTTAATCTTTCGATTTTTCGACTTCCCGGTTTTAGATTTTCTGTTTTTCAATTTTTCGATTTTTAAATTTTAGATTTTTCAGTTTTTTGATATTTTAATTTTTCAATATTTAAAATTTTAGATTTTTCGATTTCTCGATTTTTCATTTCAGTTCTTCGATATTTCCGTTTTTCATGTTTTCGAATTTTTCAAATGTTTTGATTTCTTAATCTGTCGATTTTTCGACTTCCCGGTTTTAGATTTTCTGTTTTTGAATTGTCGTTTTTTCAAATTTTCGATTTTTCAATTTTTCAAATTTGACATTTATAACTGTCAATTTTTCGATTTTTCAAATAATCGATGTTTTGATTTTCCAATTTCTTGACTTTCGAGGGTTTCGATATTCCTGTTCTTCAATTCTGTAATTTTTCGATTTTTTTTTTAATTTTTTTAAGGTTTCGATTTTTCGACTTCACTTTTTTGATTTTTCGATTTCTCAATTTTTTGATTCTTTAGGTTCTCAGTTTTTGTATATTTCAGTTTTGGATTTTTTTGTTTTTCGATATTTCAGTTTGGGATTTTTCAATATTTCTGTTCTTCGACTTTTCCATTTTTGACTTCTGGATTTTTCGATGTGTCGACTTTTTACTTTTTCGATTTTTAAATTTTAGATTTCTCAATTTTTTGGTATTTTAATTTTTCAATATTTAAAATTTTTGATTTTTCGATTTCTCGATTTTTCATTTCAGCTCTTCCGTATTTCAATATTTCAAATGGTTCGATTTCTTAATTTTTCGATTTTTCGACTTCCCGGTTTTAGATTTTCTGTTTTTCAATTGCCGTGTTTTCAATTTTTCGATTTTTAAATTTTAGATTTTTCAGTTTTTTGATATTTTAATTTTTCAATATTTAAAATTTTCGATTTTTCATTTCAATTCTTCGATGTTTCCGTTTTTCATGTTTTCGAATTTTTCAAATGTTTTGATTTCTTAATATATCGATTTTTCGACTTCCCGGTTTTAAATTTTCTGTTTTTGAATTGTCGTTTTTTCAAATTTTCGATTTTTCAATTTTTCAAATTTGACATTTATAACTGTCAATTTTTCGATTTTTCAATTAATTGATGTTTTGATTTTCCCATTTCTTGACTTTCGAGGGTTTCGATATTCCTGTTCTTCAATTCTGTAATTTTTCGATTTTTTTTTAGTTTTTTTAAGGTTTCGATTTTTCGATTTCACTTTTTTGATTTTTCGACTTCTCAATTTTTTGATTCTTAAGGTTCTCAGTTTTTGAATATTTCAGTTTTGGGATTTTTCTGTGTTTCGATTCGTCAGTCAATTTTACTTTCATTTTTCAGTTTTTCGATATTTCAGTTTTGGGATTTTTCAGTATTTCTGTTCTTCGACTTTTCCATTTTTGACTTCTGGATTTTTCGATGTGTCGACTTTTTACTTTTTCGATTTTTAAATTTTAGATTTCTCAATTTTTTGGTATTTTAATTTTTCAATATTTAAAATTTTAGATTCTTCGATTTCTCGATTTTTCATTTCAGCTCTTCCATATTTCAATTTTTCAAATGTTTCGATTTCTTAATCTTTCGATTTTTCGACTTCCCGGTTCTAGATTTTCTGTTTTTCAATTGCCGTTTTTTCAATTTATCGATTTTTAAATTTTAGATTTTTCAGTTTTTTGATATTTTAATTTTTCGATATTTAAAATTTTAGATTTTTCGATTTCTCGATTTTTCATTTCAGTTCTTCGATATTTCCGTTTTTCATGTTTTCGAATTTTTCAAATGTTTTGATTTCTTAATCTATCGATTTTACGACTTCCCGGTTTTAGATTTTCTGTTTTTGAATTGTCGTTTTTTCAAATTTTCCATTTTTCAAATTTGACATTTATAACTGTCAATTTTTCGATTTATCAATTAGTCGATGTTTTGATTTTCCCATTTCTTGACTTTCGAGGGTTTCGATATTCCTGTTCTTCAATTCTGTAATTTTTCGATTTTTTTTTTAGTTTTTTTAAGATTTCGATTTTTTGACTTTACTTTTTTGATTTTTCGATTTCTCAATTTTTTGATTCTTTAGGTTCTCAGTTTTTGGATATTTCAGTTTTGGGATTTTTCTGTTTTTCGATTCGTCAGTTTTACTTTCATTTTTCAGTTTTTCGATATTTCAGTTTTGGGATTTTTCAGTATTTCTGTTCTTCGACTTTTCCATTTTTGATTTCTGGATTTTTCGATGTGTCGACTTTTTACTTTTTCGATTTTTAATTTTTAGATTTCTCAATTTTTTGGTATTTTAATTTTTCAATATTTAAAATTTTAGATTTTTCGATTTCTCGATTTTTCATTTCAGCTCTTCCATATTTCAATTTTTCAAATGTTTCGATTTCTTAATCTTTCGATTTTTCGACTTCCCGGTTTTAGATTTTCTGTTTTTAAATTGTCGTTTTTTCAAATTTTCCATTTTTCAATTTTTCAAATTTGACATTTATAACTGTCAATTTTTCAATTAATCGATGTTTTGATTTTACCATTTCTTGACTTTCGAGGGTTTCGATATTCCTGTTCTTCAATTCTGTAATTTTTCGATTTTTTTTTTAGTTTTTTAAGGTTTCGATTTTTCGACTTCACTTTTTTGATTTTTCGATTTCTCAATTTTTCGATTCTTTAGGTTCTCAGTTTTTGGATATTTCAGTTTTGGGATTTTTCTGTTTTTCGATTCGTCAGTTTTACTTTCATTTTTCAGTTTTTCGATATTTCAGTTTTGGAATTTTTCAATATTTCTGTTCTTCGACTTTTCCATTCTTGACTTCTGGATTTTTCGATGTGTCGACTTTTTACTTTTTCGATTTTTTAGTATTTTAATTTTGCAATATTTAAAATTTTAGATTTTTCGATTTCTCGATTTTTCATTTCAGCTCTTCCATATTTTAATTTTTCAAATGTTTCGATTTCTTAATCTTTCGATTTTTCGACTTCCCGGTTTTAGATTTTCTGTTTTTGAATTGTCGTTTTTTCAAATTTTCGATTTTTCAATTTTTCAAATTTGACATTTATAACTGTCAATTTTTCAAGTGATCGATGTTTTGATTTTCCCATTTCTTGACTTTCGAGGGTTTCGATATTCCTGTTCTTGAATTCTTTAATGTTTCGATTTTTCATTTTTTAGTTTTTTTAAGGTTTTGATTTTTCGACTTCACTTTTTGGATTTTTGGATTGCTCAATTTTTCGACTTTTTAGGTTCTCAGGTTTTGGATATTTCAGTTTTCGGATTTTTCAAGTTTTCCATTTTTCAGTTCGAAATCTCAGTTTGGGATTCTCCAATATTTCGATTCTTCGACTTTTCGATTTTTGACTTCTGAATTTTTCAATGTGTCGATTATTTTACTTTTTCGATTTTTCAATTTTTCGATTTTTAAGTTTTAGATTTTTTAATTTTTAAAATTTTAGATATTTCGATTTCTCGATTTTTCAGTTCAGTTCTTCGATATTTGAATTTTTCGAGTTTTCGAATTTTTCAAATGTTTCGATTTCTTAATCGTTTGATTTTTCGACTTCCCGGTTTTAGATTTTCTGTTTTTCAATTGTCATTTTGTCAAATTTTCGATTTTTTAGTTTTTAAAATTTGACTTTCATAAACTCTCAATTTTTCGATTTTTCAATTAATCGATGTTTTGATTTTCCCATTTCTTGACCTTCGAGTGTTTCGATTTTCCTGTTCTTCAGTTCTTTAATTTTTTGATTTTTCAGGTTTTAGATTTTTCAATTTTTCGATTTTTTAAGGTTTCTATTTTTCGACTTCACTTTTTGATTTTTCGATTTTTCGGTTTTTATTATATTTCAGTTTTAGGATTTTTCAATATTTCAATTCTTTGGCTTTCCTATTTTTGACTTCTGGATTTTTTGATGATTTTTAAATTTTTCAATCTTACGATATTTTAATTTTTCAATATTTCTTAATATTTCGATTTTCTACTTCCTGGTGTTAGATGTTCTACTTTTCAATTTTTCGATTTGTTAATTTTTCATTCCCGATTTATCGAGATTTGATTGTTCGGGTTTTCGATTTATCAGTTTTTCACTTTTTTATTTTGGCCTATTTCGGTTTTTTGGTTTTTCAGTTTTCCAATTTTTCGTTTTTTGAGTTTTCCGCTTTTCCAATGTTTCAATTTTTAACTTTTGATGTTTTTCGATTTTCAGTTCTTCCATATTTCGATTTTTCAATGTTTCGGTTTTACGATTTTTCAAGGTTTCGATTTTTCGATTATTAGATTTCTCGATTTTTGGAATTTTCGATTATTTTAATTTTTCATTTTTTGTTCTCACTGGTAATATCATAGAGTGTATCGAAAACAACCACAAAAATTGTCACTAAAAACATTTAAAAATTCATACAAAATAGAACATAGTGTTTTCAAAACATTTTCCCGAAAAAAATCCATTGGGTTATTACGATTTCAACAATATTCTTAGTTTAAGACATTTTGCTAGTATAAAACACAAATAAAGAATTAATTCTTAGTTAAACAAAATATGTAAAATCATTTAAATATGTACCAAAAATATTCACTTAGTTTTTTTATTGGCATCGACTATTTAAATTTGGCGCTTGAGGACTCCAATGTCAATAAGGGTGGTTTTGCAAAATCAGCCTGTATGTCGCATCTATATTAATCTATGGTCACACTTTACTTTACAATTTAATACAACAGTACAGGACAAATAATATTGATTTTTGTTTAGAAAACTGATATAGTCTGTCCGAATTCGTTTTCCAAGTTTTTCTCATCTCGGATCTTTGACTGTAATAAAATGCATTCCAAAATTCCAATGCGCACGTCCATATTAATTATTTCGGTTTTAACTTTCCCCATGTATTTTTTTATATTAACCAGTGGAGCTAAAAAAAATGTAATCTTATTAGTAGTTCTTAATAGTCACATGTTCATCACATGAACAGAGCATACTGAGTTGTAGCTTAGAATTTTCCACCCCCAATACTCACTCCCATCCGTCATAGAACTCCCTCTTTCCTCCATCTGTTGCTTGACGGTTTCCAGCCGATCAGTCAACCTAAACAACTCCCTGTTCCTTTCGGCAACCCCTTCGCTAATCCCCTTATAAGCATCCTTAATTTTGGAAAGCTGATCCTGCAGCATCCTGTACTCATCTAAAATATTCTCCAACTCCTTGTTCAGATACTTCTCGCGGTTTCCCACTTTATCCAACGTCGTACTTATCTCCTTATGTAACTTCTGCAATTGATTTTTTACCACACCTAGTGAAGAATCCACGCTACTTTTGTACTGTTTCATTTGGTCTAAATGGGTGCGCCAGTCTCTGTTTTCATTTTTAATTGTGATTTTCAAATGGGGTAAAACCCGCTCGAGTTCCAGTTTCCACGTTTCTTCGTTCACGTTCATTTTGATTTCGGTCATCTGCGGCTCTTTGCGGCTTATCTTCACGTTGTCGAGGAGGAAGAGGTTTTCTTCGTCCGAATCGTCGGTATAAGCGGCCATCATTTCCTCTTCCACACGGTCTAGATTGATTTCGGATTCGTCGTTGATTACTTCGGTTTCTTCTTGCTTTTCTTCTGGAGCCAGAGGTCTAAAACAGTGTTAGTGTGTTAAGACAAGAAAGTGTAAAGCTTACTTTTGCCAGATGAAGTTTTTCTCGAGAGCTTTGTCCGCTAGACTGTCCAAGATGTAGACGACGTGTTCGCCAACCCCTTGTTTGAGCTTATTTGCGGGGAAATTTACTGCGATTTCCTAAAACACAAAAAAGTAATCAAAACACGTGAAAAAAAGGAGCACAACGACCCACATTTTCTCGAACTACTTGCAGAATCTTCTCAATCGTATCATTCGGGTCGTCATCCTCTTGCGGTTTTTGAAAATTGATTCCAATTTTTTTAATCAGATACGCCGCCAACAGCGCAAATAAATAAAACTGTTCTCCTGGGTTTTTAGTCACCACAAAATAGTATCTACAAAACAAAAATTTGCTAAAACCTTGAAAAAAAAACGAAACACTTGCCTATGAATGGGCTTCATTTTCGTCTCCCTGAAGAACTCCGCTTCGTAATTCAGCAGCTTCAGTTTATCTAAAAGGGCCTCCATGGTTCCGTGGGCAGGAAAACCGGGTTCCACATCCGCGGACATTATTATTATTATTCTTACGATGTTGAGGAAAATGGTTTAAACGCTAATGTCGCTTGTCACCGTTGTTTATTCGCGCGGTTGCCATAGCAACCGCGCGCATCCGCCACCAGATGGCGCTCCCTCCGACAAAAACACCAATGGCGGCTGAGTTCTGTTTACGCGAAGACAGGTCCGGCATCCGCATATCGTCAACCCGAAAAGACTAAAACCAGCCAAAATGTAACCATAAGAATATTATGAAGCGTTGTGCCAAAGTATTCGCTGTCGTTTTTTTGATTTTCGTTAGTGTGGCAAGTGTCATAAAACTGTGTTTTTGTTTCTGGACCGGCCTGCTTGATGGGCGCGATTCCGAGGAAGTCGACGTTTGGCTGGAAGAGAACCACCTGGAGAACTTCAAGGATTTGTTGGTGCAGAGAGGTGAGCGAATCAATCAATTACGACGCAAATTCGTTTAAATAATGTTGCGAATCGAGGCGGCGCCTGTCATTATTCACTTGTTTACCCATTAACGCGGCCCACTCGATCCCGATTAATGGGGGCGGGGGTGGCGTCAGGCGCAGTACGCCGCCCCCAGTCGCCCAGGGTTACGGACAAAGCCGCTGCCGACTGCAGTCGCTGTCGAGCACCCATCGCGAACCATCGCGCCGACATGGAGCCCCGCCGCCGCGCTGCAGCCCCCCTTTTTTGCATTTGCACGTTGCGGGCGCTTTGAGTGCAGAATGTGGGATGACGATACTGAAATTTGCTCAATTGGCATGACCATGCAGCCGTCCGCTAGTGCCTCTTCTGGTAAGGTAGCGATAGCGTGTACACGGAGGACTCGTAATTCTGCGGTTATTTGCTTTGCGTGCTGATAATAGCTGCGATAACGGGGTGAGCGAGAAATGGTGGATGCGCCAGTTCGAAAGTTCGATAAAAATGTGTGAATTATTTTGTAGAGAGGGTGGATAGCGGTGAAGCACGAGGGTTATTTCTGGGTTGTACCGATGTTTGGAAGTGTTTTTTTTTTTGTATTATGATTTCATTTTTTGTATTTTGTTGTTTCCAATCCATAGCTTCATACTGAAAGGTATCAAATTTATCATCAGCATTTAGTTTTCAATTTTATTTTTAATTTAGATAGTTGAATCACTGTGGCGGTGGAAAATAATTGGATTAAAAAAAACAAAAAAAATGGTAAAATAACTCGTTAGTGTCTCTGAGAAGCTAAAATATTAATAAGAGAATTTTTGGTCCAAAAAGGTTTGGTGAAACTCTGTTGTGGGAATACAGTTGAAAAAAAAGAATTTAAATTGCGAGCGCAGCGAGCACGTTCGGGTGTATTTTAAAAACTTATTTATTGCTGTCTCTGAGAAGCTAAATTATTACGAACAATTTTGTTGTTATTTAAAAATGTTTTGACACTAAGTTAATTAAATAATAATAATAATAAAGTCGAAAACTTGAAAAACCAAAAAATCGAATCCGAAAAATCGGGAAAACTGAGAAATCCAGAAATTACAAAATTCCCAAAATTGAAATGTTGACAAATTGAGAAATGGAAAACTTGAAAATTGAAAAACCAAGAGATCGAGAAAACTGAGAAATCCAGAAATTGCAAAATTCCCAAAATTGAAATATTGAAAAATTAAGAAATGGAGAACTCGAGAAATCTAAAAATCGTAAAATAGGACAATGTAAAACTTAAAAAATGGAAAAAATGAAAAATCGAAAATTCAAATATGTATTGGAAAAATATCGAAGAACTGCTAAATCGAAATATCTAAAATTTAAACAACTGAAATATAAAACATCGAAAAATATGTAGAAGAATCGAAAAATTGAACATTCGAACAATCGAAACATCAAAAAATCGAAAAATTGATTATTTATGGAAAATTTGAGAACTCAAAAAAATTGATAAATATTGAAAAATTGAAAAATTAAAAAACCGAAAAGTAAAAATTCAACAATCGGAAAGTCAAAAAACCGAAAAATTGAAGAACCGAAATACTGAAAAATCCCAAAACTGAGAAATCTAAAGATTGAAAAAAAAAATACCCAATTAAAATAAAAAAAATGCAAATTCGAGTAATGGAATCGAAAAACCGAATGAAAAAAATATGGAAAAATGGAAAATTCATAAAATCGAAAAATCAAAAAAAAATCAAAAATTCGAAAAATAAAAATATCAAAGACCTAGCAAATCGAAAAATCTACAGTTTGAAATATTAAAATATCGAAAAATTGAAGACGCGAAAAACTGAAAAATCGAACGATCGAAACATCAAAAAATCGAAAAATTTTAAAAATTCAAAAATCTAAAATTTGAAGATCGAACAGTTGAAAAACCGAAAAAGCGAAAATCCAAAATTTAAAAAATCAAAAAATTGCAAATCTGAAATACCGAAATATTGAGAAATCGAAAAATTGAAAAATCAAAAAATCGAATCCGAAAAATCGGGAAAACTGAGGAGTTCAGAAATTGCAAAATTCCCAAAGTTGAAATGTTGAAAAATTGAGAAATGGAAAACTTGAAAATTGAAAAACCAAGAAATCGAGAAAACTGAGAAATCCAGAAATTGCAAAATTCCCAAAATTGAAATATTGAAGAATTGAGAAATGGAGAACTCGAAAAATCGAGAAATCTAAAAATCGTAAAATCGGACAATGTAAAACTTAAAAAATGGAAAAAATGAAAAATCGAAAATTCAAATATTGGAAAAATATCAAAGAACTGCCAAATCGAAATATCTAAAATTTAAACAACTGAAATAATGAAACGTCGAAAAATATGTGGAAGAATCGAAAAATTGAAAACTCGAACAATCGAAACATCAAAAATCGAAAAATTGAAAAATTCAAAAATCTGAAATTTAGAGATCGAACAGTTGAAAAGTCAAAAAATTGCAAAACTGAAATAACGAAATATTGAGAAATTGAAAAATCGAAACATCAAAACATTCAGCATCTAAAATCGAAGTATTGGAAAATCCCAAAATTGATTATTTATGGAAAATTTGAGAACTCAAAAAAATTGATAAATATCTTAAAAATTCAACAATCGGAAAGTCAAAAAACCGAAAAATTGAAGAACGGAAATACTGAGAAATCTAAAGATTGAAAAAAAAGACCCAATTAAAATAAAAAAAAGGCAAATTCGAGTAATGGAATCGAAAAACGGAATGAAAAAAATATGGAAAAATTTAAAATTCAAAAAATCGAAAAATCAAAAAAAAAATCAAAAATTCGAAAAATAAAAATATCAAAGACCTAGCAAATCGAAAAATCTACAGTTTGAAATATTAAAATATCGAAAAATTGAAGACGCGAAAAACTAAAAAATCGAACAATCGAAACATCAAAAAATCGAAAAATTTAAAAAATTCAAAAATCTGAAATTTGAAGATCGAACAGTTGAAAAACCGAAAAACCGAAAATCCAAAATTTAAAAAATCAAAAAATTGCAAATCTGAAATACCGGAATATTGAGAAATTGAAAAGTCGAAACAAAAAATTCAAGAGACGAAATATGAAAAAGCCGGAAAGTCGAAAAAGAAAGAAATCGAAAAATCGAAACATCAAACCATTCTACAAATTAGTAAGTCGAGAAGTCGAAAAACCGAAAAATTGAGAAATCAAAATAGAGAAATCAGCTGAAAGATCAAAAGCTTAAAAATTCGAAAAATTGCGAGCAAAGCGAGCACGTTCAGGTGTAATTTAAAAACGTATTTATCGTTGTCTCTGAGAAACTAAATTATTAAGAACAATTTTGTTGTTATTTAAAAATGTTTTGACACTAAGTTAATAAAATAATAATAAAATCGAAAAATTGAAAAATCAAAAAATCGAATCCGAAAAATCGGGAAAACTGAGGAGTCCAGAAATTGCAAAATTCCCAAAGTTGAAATGTTGAAAAATTGAGAAATGGAAAACTTGAAAATTGAAAAACCAAGAAATCGAGAAAACTGAGAAATCCAGAAATTGCAAAATTCCCAAAATTGAAATATTGAAAAATTGAGAAATGGAGAACTCGAAAAATCGAGAAATCTAAAAATCGTAAAATCGGACCATGTAAAACTTAAAAAATGGAAAAAATGAAAAATCGAAAATTCAAATATTGGAAAAATATCAAAGAACTGCCAAATCGAAATATCTAAAATTTAAACAACTGAAATAATGAAACGTCGAAAAATATGTGGAAGAATCGAAAAATTGAAAACTCGAACAATCGAAACATCAAAAAATCGAAAAATTGAAAAATTCAAAAATATGAAATTTAGAGATCGAACAGTTGAAAAGTCAAAAAATTGCAAAACTGAAATAACGAAATATTGAGAAATTGAAAAATCGAAACATCAAAACATTCAGCATCTAAAATCGAAGTATTGGAAAATCTCAAAATTGATTATTTATGGAAAATTTGAGAACTCAAAAAAATTGATAAATATATTAAAAATTCAACAATCGGAAAGTCAAAAAACCGAAAAATTGAAGAACGGAAATACTGAGAAATCTACAGATTGAAAAAAAAAGACCCAATTAAAATAAAAAAAAGGCAAATTCGAGTAATGGATTCGAAAAACCGAATGAAAAAAATATGGAAAAATTTAAAATTCAAAAAATCGAAAAATCAAAAAAAAAAATCAAAAATTCGAAAAATAAAAATATCAAAAGACCTAGCAAATCGAAAAATCTACAGTTTGAAATATTAAAATATCGAAAAATTGAAGACGCGAAAAACTAAAAAATCGAACAATCGAAACATCAAAAAATCGAAAAATTTAAAAAATTCAAAAATCTGAAATTTGAAGATCGAACAGTTGAAAAACCGAAAAACCGAAAATCCAAAATTTAAAAAATCAAAAAATTGCAAATCTGAAATACCGAAATATTGAGAAATTGAAAAATCGAAACAAAAAATTCAAGAGACGAAATATGAAAAAGCCGGAAAGTCGAAAAAGGAAGAAATCGAAAAATCGAAACATCAAACCATTCTACAAATTAGTAAGTCGAGAAGTCGAAAAACCGAAAAATTGAGAAATCAAAATAGAGAAATCAGTTGAAAGATCAAAAGCTTAAAAATTCGAAAAATTGCGAGCGCAGCGAGCACGTTCAGGTGTAATTTAAAAACGTATTTATTGTTGTCTCTGAGAAACTAAATTATAAAGAACAATTTTGTTGTTATTTAAAAATGTTTTGACACTAAGTTAATAAAATAATAACAAAATCGAAAAATTGAAAAATCAAAAAATCGAAAAATTGAAAAATTCAAAAATCTGAAATTTAGAGATCGAACAGTTGAAAAGTCAAAAAATTGCAAAACTGAAATAACGAAATATTGAGAAATTGAAAAATCGAAATATCAAAACATTCAGCATCTAAAATCGAAGTATTGGAAAATCCCAAAATTGATTATTTATGGAAAATTTGAGAAC